TGGGGGATTTGTGACCTGAGCGAAGAGTTGTCTGAAATACTCGTAGAGCAGTCGCGGTTGCTGTGCCAGACATGCAAGAGGCGCATCATTACCCATGGAACCCAGGGCCTCCTTAGAATCAGCCGCCATGGGTGCGAGGAGCAAGCTGACCTGTTCAAAGGAGTAGCCGAAGGCCTTGAGCCTAGCATCTTCTTGGACAGAAGACTCTGTGAGTTTAGAACTCAAGTCAGCCTCCTTGGACAAGGCTTCGTACACCTGGGGCATCTTCATGAGGTTCTTGTCAAGCCACTGCTGGAAAGGTTGGCGGTTGGCAACGGTTGCTTTGAGCTCAGCATCGTCGATAATGCGTCCGGCTTGCGTGTCCACCAAAAGCATCTTACCGGGCTGCAGACGACCCTTGATTATGACTCTCTCGGGTTCAATTGCAATGGTACCGACTTCTGAGGCACAGATGATGCGGTCATCATCGGTCACGTAGTACCGGCAGGGTCTCAAACCGTTGCGGTCCAGGTTGGCACCACAGTAGCGACCGTCGGAGAAGGTGAAAAGTGCTGGACCATCCCAAGGCTCCATTAGATTGGCTGCGTATTCGTAGAAGGCAGCCTTTCCAGCATCCATGGCGGTGTTACCCTGCCATGCCTCTGGCACCATCATCATGACTGCTTCGGGAAGCGAAAGTACACGGTTCATGACAAGGAGCTCAAGCACGTTGTCGAAGGCCGCAGAGTCGGAGCCACCATCTTCGACGATGGGGAACAGCTTCTCAAGGTCCTCACCGAAGAGGTCGGATTTCAAGACGCCCTCACGAGCTCTCATCCAGTTCTTGTTACCTCGTAGCGTGTTGATTTCGCCGTTATGGGCAAGCCACCGAAGGGGCTGGGACCGATCCCACGAGGGGAAAGTGTTGGTGGAAAACCGCGAGTGGACGAGGGCGAAGTGAGCTTCATAATCTACGGATACGAGATCATGGTAGTACTGGTATACCTGCACCGGAGCCAGCTGGCCCTTGTAGACGATGTTTCGGTTGCTGAGGGAGCACACGTAGAACCACGGCTTCCACCGGGGGTCATGTGAGACGGTTTTTCTCAGGATGTACAGCTTGCGCTCGAACTCAACATCGTCAAACTGCTCAGGATCTGTGATGTCGGGCTTATTGCCAGTGCCGTAGGCAGAGGCCAGGACGACGAAAGGTTGCAGGATTATGGGCTCTCTCGAGAGGGCAGCGGGGCCAAGGAGGGTAGAGTCGCGGGGGACTTCTCGCCAGCCGAGGGTGCGCAGGCCCAGGGATTGAGCGGCCTCCTCGAAGCTGAGGGTGGCATGTTTCAGCATCTCAGTGTCTGGCTTGAAGAACAGATTTCCAGCGGCATATTGGCCAAGAGGAGGCAGCTCTACGCCGACCTCGCGGGCGAAATTCTTGACAAAGAATTTATGAGGGATAGAGCTCATGACGCCGGCGCCATCGCCGTCTCGTGCATCTGAACCGACCGCACCTCGATGGGTCATGTTACAAAGCAGATTGCGCGCATCGCTCACGATTTTGTGGCTTGGCTTGCCCTTGATATGGCTGTGAAGATGGTTAGAACAGAGACCGGACGAGCGGAGGGGAGCCGGAGAGTCTTACGCAGCGAAGCCTACACCACAGGCATCTTTCTCGAGGCTAGGGTCGTAAAGACCTTGCTTCTCAGGCAAAGCCTCGCCCCATCCATAGCCCTTTTCGGGCTGGTACGGCGTGTACTCTTCCTGAACCTCTGGTGTTTCGTTCTCTTGCTTGTGTGAGTCCACCGTTGGCAGGCCCATCCTATGGTCGACAGGCGACTCTTTGGCTCACGAGGGAAGTAGGATGAAGGGAGGTGGCGACGCCGGTCAGATCGGTCGACGGGAGGAGGGCAAGGCGAGGGGATGGAGGGGTTCAAGCACTCGGCAGCAGGAAGGCTGTCTCTCTGTAGCACGAGCTCCAGCAATGGGACGATTGAGTGTCGAGTCCGACGATGGCGAGGAGACTGGACAGACTGGGAGCTTGGAGCGTGGTGAACAAGAAGAAATGGAAGATTGGGTGGACAAGAGAAGGAAAAGAATAAATGGGTGTGGGGTTTTTTGCACCAGACTTTCTCACTTGCCGTTTCGTTGTCAGGACGAGAAGAGCCATTCACAGCCTCGGTGTTACTACGACGGAGCACAGGGCCAAGAGAAGAGCGGATGGCGTGAAGGACCAGGACTGATCTCATCAGGCAAACAGAGGGAGCAGAGGCCGCAGAGGCCGCAGTGGCCACCAGGCGCTCGGAAACAAAAACCCTCCTCCGTGGGTGCGCTCTCTCTACTCGTACTACACGTACTCTACACTGGACAGTGCTGAGGAGGAGATGGTGATGGGCATGCTAAGCCTAGGGCCAGCCTAACGAAGGTGGGGGAGCCGCCAGCCAACCATGCCCGTTGCAAAGGCATCATGCTGCATGCCTCCCGGCGAGCTCCCCTGCTCCCCTGCTCTTCTCCCCCTCTGCTCATCTGCTCCTCTGCTCCTCTGCTCAAGCTCCAAAGCTCCATCATCTTGCATGTGCTGATAAGAGCCGCCGCGGCCAATCGTGGCGGTTTTTTTGACTTCGATTACCATTTTCATTGGAGCAACTGAAAAAGATTTCGCCGCTACCGGCAGGACGACTCGACGAGCTTCACACACCACGAGCCTCGCCCTACGACTTCAGCATCCAGCATCACCTGCTTCTGTGTGTCATACCCTCACTATGCCTGCGCCCGAGCTGCATCTCTCCACCTCAATCTAGATGCCAGGATCTTTTCTGCACTTCGCTTACGGACTCGGAGAGCACCTACGCGCTCGTACGAACCTCCGCCCTCTCCTCTTCCTCGTCCTCTCCGTCAGCCTTCGCACAAATCTCTGTCCTGTCCTGTTGCCTGCCATTGGTAACCCCAAAGGAGGGAACTGCGCAGTGTCCACTTCGGCATTGGCAGCGTGCTCGTCCTGTGCAAGCTGTGTTTCCGTCCTTCTTCTGACTGTTCGTGCTCAATCATTCCGGTGTCGCCCGGTAGATAGGCTGCCAGCTAGTGAAATGAAAATTTTTTCCTGGCTTGCATCGTGGTTCCTCTCGCTCGTACACTCAGCAAGTTGTCAGCTGGACCGCCAGCACTTGATCGCCCAAACACTGCAGCTGCAACCATATCGAGAAGCACATAGTGTCATGACTACAAAATACTAAACCCTACAGTACCACAGGACAAAATGTCTGTTTCAAGCATTGCTCTCAGCCTGAGCGTCAGCAACCTGCACCCCACGCTCGGGTAATTCACTATGCACTGCATGCGTGCGTCAACAAATCAGATCGGTTGCATAGACGAAAGAACCCCCATTTGTCGAAGAACGGGGAGGCCAGCGCGGGCGGGTTATATTGTAAGCACTGCACCGTACGGATACTCGTAGACAGCACTGGCCAGTCGCTATAGCAGAAGTTTAGCCGACCAACGCCTCCGGTCAGAGTCGTCTCCGCCGGACAGGAGGGTCGTCCGTTGCAGTGTTGGGCTGTGGTCTGGTGACTGTGAGGCTGCCGACGTCGGAACGCCCGTTGCCCAAGATCTCCAGTGCTTAAAAAGGTTGCTCAGGCTGGCTCCACGGCCCTGCATAACATTTGTTTATTGTTGTGCCCTAGTCGTGTCTATCCACCTTGCTCTGACTTCAGGCCGCATATGCGACAGAGTAATGCGGGTTCCTTCATTGGCCCATCTGGCTAAGACTTCCAGACCCCAGCCGCATTCTCGGTATTCGACACCGTGTATCCATACCCAGGGTGTACGAGTGGGCGGGCTGGACTGTCTTGTCTCGTATTCTGGCCGCGGTCTCTTCGGAAATATGGACTTGACATTCCGCATAAGATTTCTGCATTCCAGGATTTCACATGTGCTGAAATTTGGCGACTGCTTTTGTCAAGGATCTCTTCCTTACTGACATTTCGGGCGCACCATGTCACGGCTTGCTTGGAATTCTCCGTTGGAGGCATCGGAATATGTGCCTAGCTACCTGTAGCCTGTAGGGATCTTTGATAGTATCTCGCATCGACACTAACTGGAAAAACAAACTTCTCGGTTTGTCAGCCGGGCGCCTCGTGTCGTCCATTTCGTCGACACATGAAAATATTTTTTGCTCCACGACCAATTTCGTGGATGGGTTTCACAGGATGTCCAGCTTCGGGGGAAACCGGTTCCTCGTCTCAGTTGGAAGTACAGTGCAGTTGTGTTCAGGTATAGTCAACGTGGGTTGCTGCCCATCCCATAGCCATTGCAGCCATGATCCTCGTGCTTGCGCGGGCATTCGCCCCCCTCGATGAGATGACTCGGTTATGGAAGGACTACATGACCGAGCATATGTGATCCTGTATGAACGAAGCAGCCGTGACTCAAGGATTCATCCATCGGATGAGGATAATTTTTGCACTCCAATCACGAATACCCAATTCGCTGGTTGCTGTGTGCTGAGTATCTGCCTAGCTTAGGTAGCCAGATCCAGGTATGCTGACTGAAGACAACATGTTGACATGCACGTCTGTCTGCCACGGACATTGGCCTCGACGCCTCCCTGGGAAGAAAGGCCTTTGTTCAATCGGAGCGCCTGGACCGGCAGTCTCTGTCGAATTTTGGCCAGCACAGGTCATCGTTTGTGTGATGATGAAGGTAGGAGCAATTTGAAGCATCCATCATAACAAGTCCCAGTAATGCTGTCGAGCTGCCATTGAATGTTATTCTAGGAGAATTCATAAACCGGTGAAAAACCCATTCACAGCGTGCGAGTACGAATACCAGGTGAGGCTGCGGAGGCTGCTGAGGCTGCGGAAGCATCACACCCTGTTCTATCAGAATATTTATTTCCCCGCATTGATTTTGTACTTTGTATTGCCATGTAAACAACGCCCTTCTTCGCTGATTAACAAACAATAAAATCCTTCTACAATCTCTCGAACATGCTTATACTCTAACTAACTACAACAAGCCAACTCACGATGATGCTCACAACCACGCTTCCCTTATTCCCTCCGCCGGCTTCCTCCCTGCTCCCTGCACCACCCTCTCATTCATCGCTCGAACCCAGTCAACAGTCACCACACCCTCCCAACTATGCCCGGCGGCACAAATCCCAGGCCGCAATGGCTCGCAACACGAATCTGGCGATACTGTCCATGGACGAGAGAAACATCGTGCAGCGAAAAATGGCCATAGCAATGTACGGGTATAGCTGGCTCAAGCCCGCCGGTTGCGCAAAGACGATGCTGGGCAGACGTGAAGAGGAGCTCGAACGTGAAGAGGTGGAGAAGCAGCTTCGCGAGGTTGAGCTGCAAGAACGTCTAGCTTTGGAGGCCGAAGAGCAAGAGCGGCTGGCGGCTAGGGATGCTCGCGGAGAAACCCAAGACGACAGAGATCTGGATGGGGACATTCCCGATGCAGAAGAAGAGGATGACGAAGATGATGATGGGGAGGAGGGTTGGGTTGAGGACGAAGATAGTGAGGCCATGATGCACACGGGTTTTGACATGGAGGGCGATCTCGACGACGAAGTTCCTGAAGCTGATGATGGAGAGGACGACGATGTTGAGAATGAAAACGACGACGACGACGGAGACGAGGAGGCTCAGGACCAGAGCGAGCCATGGGTGTACGATTCCAGGAGAGAGCCAGACAGTGACGAGGACGGGCAGGGGGACAGTGGTCAACTTTCAAGTGCAAGACACGGCAGGCACCTGCATGTCGCCGGTGTACGTGTACCGGTGCCGGGCAGTGAATACGAATACGACGAGCAAGAGGCTGAAGATCTAGCTAATGCGATGCTCGATGAAGATGAGATATTTGAGGATGAGCAGAATATGGGCATGGAAGGTGAGAGAGATCTTGACGACTTCGTGCCCGACGCAGACGAGGGTCAGTGGGAACATACCGACACGGAGGCCGAAGAGAGCGAGATGGACATTTCCATCCTGCCTGGACAATTGGGGCAATCAGGAGACAGGATGGATCTGGGACAGCCCACACAGATGCAGAGGTCCAGAGGCGGGCCGTCACGGGCATCTGCTGCTTCGCGGACTTCAGGCTCCTCCTGGATTGCATCTCCTCACACGCGATCAAGAACGAGTAATCCTCACAGACCAACACCCAGTACCAGGGGCGGATTTCCTCGTGAGACTGCTGCCACTGGCGTCATGTCAGGGAACCGACATAGAGGAACCCAAGCCCAACTGCAATCTGAATACCTACAGACACCCGCGATGTTGGACAGTCCTCTGGATGGTGACGTCGATACAAGGGACGATGACCCCTTCGCGTCGACGGGGCCCAGAGTGCATGTACGTCCGACAGTTCGCGGTGCCGACGCGATGGAGACAGCTTCAGGTTCCGGACCTGAAAGACGACGAAACGGCGCTGGTGATAGTCCTTCACGGGCCACAGCCGCGCGAGCCTGGCTTGATGGTGCAGCCGCTGCAGTTGGTGGCAGCGCCAGGCGAACGTTGTTTGGTCGAGCAGCGAGAAGAGGGCTCACCTCTGCGGCGGCCACAACGGTCTCAGGTGCTGTTAGTTTGTCTAGTGGAGGATTGTTCACACCGTCACCTGGCGTGTCAAGCCTCGGACAAGTCGGAGCCGAATTGAGTACGCCTGTGAATCAAATTGGCGGCGGCCAGGACTCAGGCCAGGAACAAGCTCAAGCGCAGAGACGAAGTGGTCGCTTCTTGAATTCGAGGAGAAGAGCCGGTCAATGAAGGGTATGCTAGCATACCACGGTCCGAATTATGATATCCAGAATTGTTATGCCAGTCAAGGTTACAATTATGATTTTGTATTATGATACAATGAATATAGTCGTGTAAGTTCATTCCTCTCACAGATCGAATAGCGTGGTATTCATGTCCTTCGTCGACATCCTCGATGGTTTACATTCGAAGCAATGTAGCCTTGGGCTTCATGCCTGCACCAAATGACCACCTGGACAAGGTCACCTCTGGACAAGAGGTTGCTGGACACCGACTCCATACACAAGGACTCTTTAACCACCTGAACTGTCTTCTTCTCCTCTCCTCCATCCCGCGTGGTAAGGCTTCCTCGCTTCGTCATGTACTCGAAAACCGCGTAGACCGATAAACGATGATGAATGAACCCGTCCCACAACAACGCCCTGCAACATGGACTTGAGTCTGAACTTTTCTGGTAGTGTACAAGAAACCAACATGGGCTTCAAAAATTGGCCGTGCAAACACGAGAACTGACTATCATCATGGATGGCGAAGCCGTGATGGATTCTTTTCACTGGCACCGCCTGATCATCTTCAAATTGTATGGCTCTGGGCAACAGTGAACTTAGTTGTGCGTTGCCACTGCGTTCAAACAAACGAACATTCAATCTCGACGGGCGAGCCGCATGTTAAATGTATCGTGTGCATTTTCCCAAGCACCCTGCCATGCTAGAACAACCATACGTACGCAAAGAGTGCCCATACTGCGATGAAAAACAACACCCATGCTTTCCACCCTACGCCCGTCCGCTCGGCCATCCTAAGCATCCTCCTCATGGTACCGCGTAACCGCACCCCAGTGTTCTCGAAGGTGTCATTGATCTGGCTGGCCAGCGCACTCGAGTCTCTTATCTCGTCACCAATCGCGACGGTGAGCGTCTTCAACTGTGAGACTTTCTGGGACAGGAGGGTCGTGGCGCTAATTTCGTTCTGCGCTTCGAGTTCCTCGAGCACAGACGTAGAGTATTGGCCCTTTGAATTCGGCGTGGCGGGCCGGAAGGAGGAATGTGATTCATGGGTCGAGCCGTTTGTAGAAGAGTATGGGTTCATGTACGGTGAAGAAGAGGACGCAGGCCGGTCCGGCTGTGAATTGTAGGCATAACCTGGGCGGGGGGAGGACGAGGATGACGGCCGGGAGCCTGGATAGTCTTGGAACAGAGCAGACGAAGGCGCCGCTCGTCGGTTGAGTGACGAGTATCGGTTTCTGCGGCAGTCAGACGTAGATCGGGTTGCTAGAGATATCAGATACGTGACAGTGGACATACGTGGACATTATGGATTCGCTTGCCACGAAAGCGGCATCAATGTGCAAAAAGTATTTGTGGCCGAAGTACGGATATGTTTGTCGACAAGGGCGTGGAAGGAGAGATGCGTTACGAATGACCGAGTGTCGCAAATATCGTGTAGGGGACAATAGTCTTCAGGAATGGTCGCACGAGTAGTTCGTCTCCTCCAGTATATGCTGATTCTCGATGGAGCCTGGTGCGTCGAATGCACTCCGACTGTTGATGACAAGGAGACTGAGACGCAACGAAACGCACAAACATACGAGGCTGCGCTAGGCAAAGTCTATATTCAGCCTCAGCCTTGCTCGATCCTTTGTAGGGCACGGAGCCCTTGTATTGCGGAGAACTGTTTCCCCGCGACGCGTCTTTCGACTGAAACCGATTACACGACATCCTCAGACTCCAAGGAGAGGGAGCGAGTGCTTGGAAGAATCCAATCCTGCGAACCGTGTCTGTGTCAAATCTACATACAGAATCCGATGTCCAGTTCACACATCCACGAGAACAATGCACAATAATGTCGCAACACCGCCATGAAAGTTTTGGATCCATTGGCGAGGTCGACGCCGACATTGTCTCCGAACTACGAGACCGTTTGACTGAGGCCACGATAAAATGCTCTGAGCGCTGCCTCTACCAGTCGGCCAAATGGTACATCCATCTATGACTGTGGGAACAAGGTCCAAAAGTTGACTCGCATAGGGCAGCCGAACTCCTGAATTCACTTGCAGAAGACCACGACCACCATGACGACGATTCCCAGATGCGAGATACGAATAATGTCCAATCCTCATACCGCATATTCTCTACGAGCTACGATGACCCGGACGAGGCAATGTTGGAGGCGAAAGAAGCGCCCAAATATCTGCTTGCAAAGGCCTTCTTTGACACCAAGGAGTTCGACAGATGCGCCGCGGTCTTCCTCCCGCCAGCGATCCCAGCGGGCGGTCTTGCGATCTTCGAGAAGACCAAGGGCCGAACGCCTATATCCACACCCTCGCGATACAAGACCAAGGGAAAACAGGCAGACACGACTACACCGAACCCTTATCCACGTCTGAGCCAGAAATCCCTCTTCCTCGCCCTCTATGCCCGTTATTTGTCGGGGGAGAAACATAAGGAGGAGGAAACTGAACAGGTCCTGGGCCCAGCCGACGGTGGACAGACTGTGAATCGAGAACTGCCTTCCCTGGCCCGCGGCCTCGAAGCGTATTTCCGAAGCCGCGACGCCGTTGACCCAACCCTGAAGCGTTCACAAGGTTGGCTGGAGTATCTGTATGGGGTGGTGTTGGCCAAGTCACGGCAGGAGACTCTCGCACACCAGTGGCTTCTGCGGTCTGTCCGACTCAACCCATACCACTGGGGTGCCTGGGAAGAACTCGTCTCTCTCCTAGCTTCAGGCGATGAGCTGTCTACCGAGCAAACCACCCCCTCTCTTCTCCCATCAAACATCATGTCCATAATGTACCAAGCTGTTGCATCTGTCGAGTTGTTCTCGACCACGGACCAGTCCAGGACCGTATCATACCTACAGACACTCCTGTCCTATTTCCCCACCTCGACATTTCTACTCACTCAGCTCGCAACCCTCCATTACCATGCGAAGGAGTATGACACGGCGGCGTCCATCTTCCAAGACCTGCTGGTCACGCATCCTCACCGCCTGGATGGCTTGGACCACTACTCGAACATCCTCTACGTAATGGCTGACAGAGCTCGCCTCGCTTTCTTGGCTCACCTCGCCACGTCCGTTGACAAGTTCCGGCCCGAAACATGCTGTGTTGTCGGCAACTACTATTCTCTCTGTTCGCAGCACGAAAAGGCAGTCTTGTACTTCCGCCGCGCATTGACCTTGGACCGCAATTTCCTCGCAGCTTGGACTCTCATGGGTCACGAGTACGTCGAGCTCAAGAACACACATGCAGCCATCGAATCCTACCGCCGCGCCGTAGACGTCAACCGCAAAGACTACCGCGCGTGGTACGGCCTGGGCCAGGCATACGAGGTGCTCGACATGGGCTTCTACGCTCTCTTTTACTACCAGCGCGCCGCGGGCTTGAGGCCGTACGATCCCAAAATGTGGCAGGCCGTCGGGTCATGCTACGCCAAGATGGACCGGCTGGACCAGGCCATCCAGGCGTTCAAGCGAGCCTTGGTGGCAGGGACGTATGTTGACGATGCCGGGGGAAGTACGCAGAGCAGCTTCACGGCCGCCGCAAAGGGCAGCAAAGGGCACGCGCAGGCACAGGCGCAGGCCCAACCGAGAAAACTTCTTGACCCGGACACACTGTACCAGATTGCACTGCTTTGCGAACGGAAGGCCGGGCCGTCAGGCGACGCCGAGGCTGCCAAGTACATGGAGTTGTGTGTCGCGCAAGAAACCGGTGGGAGTGTGAAGGGTGTTTCCCAGGCGGACAAAGTGTCAGGAAAAAGGGCCCGGAAAAACGAGGAGCGCAGAGCCCGCGCCATGGCATCAGCATCGGCATCATCGTCAGCGCTATTCGCAGGAGGACAGCGGCATTACGGGACAGGGGCGACAACAGAGGCTACTGCTGCTGCCGCCGATGACGGGACAGGTGCTGGCCGAGACGACGACACGGAGATATTGTCGTCGTCTGATGATGAACCAGACGAGGAGAACCCCGATGACGCCGCCGCCGCCGACGACGACGACGACGCGGAAGCGAACCAAGATGGATTCGGCACTGGAACCACGGCGACCACATCCAAAGCTCGCCTGTGGCTTGCGCGGCGGTGTGTCAGGATCGGCGATCTGGATCGTGCAGAGAGATTGGCAGAGGAGCTGTGCATGGACGGCTATGAGGTCGAGGAGGCGAAAGGACTGGTCAGAGAGGTGAGAGGACGGAGAGGCGGCATGCTTGGGGGCGAGTTGTGATGCACCCAGACTCGACCTGGGAAAACATTTGAAGCTTCAGCATAGGCGATAGAGGCCAAGAGAAGAGAGACTCTACGACTCATATTTTACATACAGCCGTATGCAACTCACTCAATAGATCACTTTGGCAAAGAGACCATCAAACCTGTTTCTGGCATGTTGCCAGTCTGTACCTAGACACTTAAGACAGTATCAAGAACATCAAACACAGGGAGACGAAGGAAAGAAAGTGAGAAGAGATCAACTTTTGCATTCTCCTCTGACTCGTAGTCTTAGCCATTAATTAATTGTTCGCCTTCATGAGGCCTTGTGACAAGCAGAATACCCCGTCTTCCAGCCGCTGCCATCGTGTACCCCTTCATTAACCCCGAACCTCTTCATACGCGAGCAGCTCAATGAATACCTGTACCGCCGATGCTGCTCCACCATTATCAATCCTTCCTCGCCAGTCCTGTCAGTATGAATGCTGAAGGCTGGCATGCATAATATTCCCCTCCTGCCGGTGCTCTACTCCTGCCGTTTCATCATTGGGTTGGTGGCGTCGGTTGAGCCTCGAAAATCGGTGAGGATAGGAGGCGGGATTTGCAATAAACGTCTGGAGTCAAGGTCAGCAATCTGTCAAACAAGGAAAAGCTCCCACCACAATTACAGCAGACCTGGTCTGCGATGCTCTCTCTATCAGTTTCGTCTGTCATTGTGTGGCTGTGGCCATAGAACCAAGTTCTGTGGGTACGGTGTCTTGCTTTCGTACTCGCAGTCACATCTTCCTCACGGCATGCACCTGACAGTCAATGCGGGCACTTTGTACTCGATTGACCCAGTCCCGAAAGCGAGCCCAAACACAGATGGCGATTCTGTAGCCAGGCTTCAGACTTCGGACAATTTCCCTGATGTCCTCGTCCTCGTCATCGTATCTCCAGGTGACGTCGTGTGTGTGCCACTCAAAGTCAGCATTGATGTTGGTGATGATGTGTCGTCCTGAGAACGGGCCTTTGGTTTCATCTGTGCCGGGTGGTAGAATAGCGACTTCAAACCACGTCCAGCTCTCTTTGTAGGTGTAGTGCCAGGCCGTCTCGCTCCATCCTTGGTCACGCGAGGTTACCCGAAACGTCACACTGCGCAGAGCGTGGGGAGGAAATGTCGTTGGAATGTCAGCGAGTAGATAGATCCTTCCTGCCTCTCTCTCGGTGACCTTCATCTTGCAGTTGCTCGAAGCGAGGGGAACATCGACCCAGAGCTCAGCCAGATCAATGATGTCTGGGATCAAGTCTGCTGGAAGTCGTTGTGCGAGAAGAGAGGCGACTTGAAACGCATCTGGTTCGGACGGGCCCTGCTGGAGCATGGGCAGTCGGAAAGTGGGAAGGATGTAGGACAGCATAGGAGCAAGAAAGGAAAAGGGACGGGGCAGATTCTCGATATCCTCGACATGCCAGGTGTGCTTCCCGGATGTTTGATCCAAGATGAGAACGCCAACAATGGCAGAGATTGCGGGGAGCGTAAAGATAAATTCGAGAGACATGAGATTATACATTATTGCAGAGTGTTGGCTCGGCTGGGCCATATGAGGTGGTCAAGTTTTCATTCTGGCCGACGGGATAGAAGAGTACAACAGTAGGAGGACGGAGAGCATTATCGCACGATGGTGGGTGGTGGTAAGAGTGAGAAGACGCGAGAGAGGTGAAGACTGGGGCAGAAAACTGTTGACGACGGGCAGTTCCTCGCCGCTCTTGTCACAGTCACAAATGGGGAAAGATGAAGTCAACGACGCGTCGCCCGGAGAGTTCGAGAGTCCTGATTTGGCCATCGTCAGGCAGCAACAACCTTAATTCCATTGGGGCTGCCGAGGTTGTCCCGGACACGTAAGCAGGCCACACGCCAATCAGCAAGGGGTCTGTTCAGCCTCGTGCCTCCTCAGCCTTGCCCGTCTCGTTCACTGCTCTCACCACCCAGAGAGGATCGTGCATGAACGAACCCGCAACCAGCGTCTGTATCTCGATCTCCCTCCAGCCGCTCCACCACAGGTAGTCGCCGACCATGTGCAGTCTTTCGTCTTCGTCCACCTTGAGCCACCGAGCCACCACCTTGGTGGGAAAACACCGGTTTGATATGATGAGGTGAATCTTGCCGCCAGACTTTGTTCGCCGTCGAATACTCTGCAACACCTCTACTGGCTTCGTGAGATAGTCGATGGATACTACGCAAGTGGCCGCGTCGAGCTTCCTGTCATCGGTCCCAGCCAGTCGCACCTCGGGATCTTGGTTCAAGTCCTGGACGGCCCAATGGGTCAGTACTGGATTCTTCTCCAGCTCTCTCTCGTTCATGCCAGTTCCCAGCACCTCGAGCTCTTCCAGCGATGCGGCCTGAACCACCTCGCGCGGATAATGCGAGATCCAGCTGCTGCAGAAGTCGAGAATTCGTCCCTTTCGAGGTATCACTTGCTGGTAATACTTGCGAAGGGTATTGATGGCGTTGTCGTCGATGTGCGTCACAAATCGAGGGGCTGCGTAAAAGCCAGAGTCATCTCCTGCGTCCTGCGGTGTCAGATCTGTGGGCAAGTAAGGAAATGGACCATCTGGGTCTGCTGGTATATAGCTGCGAACTCGCACGCTCGCATCTTCCATCCTCCGAGAGGTGGGGAGCACGCCAGACAGGATGGATATTGAAGGGAGGTTCCTCTTCGACAGCGCCCGAGGCATTAAACATCTGTGAGAAAGGACGTTTCCAGTGAGCAGAGGCTGGAGAAATGAGGATATGTCGTGCCATTCTAGTTAGCGAGTGTTTTTGAGTTTCTACAGAGGCTCACTAGGCCTGATGACGTTATCGAATCAAGTCTTCTGTACTCCGTATCTCCAACTTTGAATAGACTGTACAGAGGACACCACTACGCATCCACAAACACAACCCTCCAGCGATTCCTTGCCTGGATCATCCAGACCGATCGAGCATTGCACCGCGTCGCCCGCGTGCTCTCTTCATGGACTCGGGGTTATCTGATCCCGAAGCCGAGTATATGGCGGGCATCTTGTGTCTCGGCTGACAAAACCAACACCACTGCTTGCGAGACAGCAACCAACCAACGTCTCAAAACCTGTCCCTGGGTCTTCTTGGGGGCTTATTCCGGTTCGCCGCTGCTGTTCTTACCCTCATTTGGCGTGGTCAGAGGAGACGTAGCAGCGTCGTGTCTCGGCCACTCGCAGCTATTCCCGAGGCATACTTGTACCCTCTCATGGACAAGGGGTGTATGACATGTACTTTTGAATCGAGCTTATTTCTGAGGATGCCCTTCCGAGGACCTCCCTCAATAACTCGCTCTCCTACTTGGAGCCGGGCTCTACACTGTAATCAGCACTCGCGGTTCTTTAGAAAGCGTAGGATGGCCACCGCGGCCCATGTCGAGCTAGATCCTGCCCAGTCAGGTATCTACCATGTCCCGAGTATCTCTCGACAATCACGCGAGACAGGGAGCAAACTGCTCCAGGAGAACCATGAGCGGTTTCATATTATCTTCAACAATGCAGGGTGAGAACTTTGGTTACCTTGATTTGCACCGATTCTTGGGAATAACAAGACTTGCTAATAAAAACAGATTCCACAATCACATTGCCCATCACCTCTTAACGATACACGCCCTTGGCGCCACACCAGAAGAACTACGACGTGCTTTTGATTCCAACACAGGCTATCAACGAAAGCTTCCCCCAACTAACGAGCCGATTGTGCAACAGATGTCTCAGACTGATAGATTCAAGGACTATCTGGGGAAACGGCGATACTTCCATGACTACGAAGTCTTCTTTCGAAACGAAATCGAGCAGAAAGGGTGGGAAACGGTGCTCAATGAACACGTGTTTGCTCGGACTGAGCACTCCGAGAGGATGCTGGTCCACATGTTTGCAGGCCTCTTGCATCCATTGATCCACTTGGGTTTTGGGGTGGAATTCAAGCAGCCGGCCATAATCGTCGAAGCTCTGGCACAAGCAGCCATCCAAGACGGCTCGCTTGGTAAATTCCTCTATGCAGCTGAAGAGTCCGCCCGCCAAAACCAGTCATCCAAGAGTCTGGTCCAATTGATACGCGAGTGTCGTGCGAATAAGAAGCTCAGGGACTCTCCCCATGCCGAAGACAGCGACAAGCTCCTCCATGGGGTATTCGCCCGAGCCCCTGAAGAGATGATAGATATTGCTTCTCAGTGGACCGTGAAACCGGAACAACTCCAGCAGAAGACCGCGGAGATGATCAATGCTGCTGCATATTTTGCGGCTGGAGCTCAGCGCCCCGGCAAACAGGTCAAGTTTGACTTCCTCTATATGCATTGTGTCAACTGCTCCATCTTCTTTTCGGCATTCTTGAACGAGCCATGGTTGAGTGTCGAGAACAAGTGCAGGCTTCTGGAATGGAAAGGTCGCCTTGATCTGGCCTCGTACGTCTCAAGAGGAAGTCCGGAATTGTTTGCAGAAGAGATCATGTACTATAAACCACGGCGTCCCCGTGACGGATGGGCCGAGATTTCTCGCCGAGCTGTCGAGTTCCCTGATGACGGACACGCTAGCAAACTGGTGAGAGCTCTCGCCAACGGGGCAGCGGTTTGCAAGCCGTACGAAGGGCAGTCTGAAGATGTCTTTGTTATTCAGGGGGATGAGGTATGGTTGAAACTGGGGCACATGGCAATTGATTCAGTCGAAGCCGGCACTCCGCACTGGATCTTCGATACTGGCTTTGACCAAGCTTGGGCGGGTGTACCTCAACGGGCACGACTATGAGGGAGGCCGGTGTTTGTGCGGTCAACTAGGTGACCGTGTGTACAATAGGATGAGGCCATCTTGGCCTATCAGGATCTCTGCTCCAATATTTTAACGCAACGACTTGTTAGGTCTCAATGGACGGTTGGTTACCTGGGTGTATATAGTAGAAGTGGAAAGTGTCGAGGCAGATGAAACTTGTACCTGGATACCTACAGTAATGCATCCTCGTACGTTGGAATGTTCCGTCGACGACTCCGTATCCACATTCGACACATGTGTCGAATCCCCCGCATCATCATCAGCCTGATTCAGGCCCCATTCAATGATCCATTCCTCTCACCACTTCTCTCGTGGCCTCTCGTCAGGAGTGTTTATTGTATTATCTTCTTCTCGCCTTCGGGGTCGACTTCACTAAACCTCCATCATGCCTGGCAAATCTCAAGAAAGTAAAGACGACTCTATCCCGCCGCCTCTCGACCCTTTCCCCACCTACCAGACACCCTTCCCTCGATCACACAGGGACGATGCCAATCCCTTTATCCAGTTCCGTCGATTTGCAGATGAGCAATTCTCATCCTTTTTCCAAGGCGTTCCTCGTCTCTTTGGATTTCAAAGCAGCAGACACTTCGAGGATATGGTGCGCGAAAGACAGGAACGGGACGAGGGGTGGCGCAAGCAGGTTGAACAGGAGATGGAGGAATGGAGACAGAATCGTGAAGAGCTCATGCAGAGATTGACACAGAGGCTAGAGAACAACATTCCCGACCGCATTGAGCAGATGAGACAGCATCGCGAACGCACGAGACATATAGGGGACTTCGGCGAGGACACCACACAGCCCTTGCCACAGATAACACCATGGTCGGCTCGAGAGGCGGCCTCCAGATGTCCGGTGACCAATGACAGTCAATACCTACATGGCAAATCCAAGTGCCATGCATGGCGTAAAAGAAAGGAGCAAGCAACGACGGAGTTGGATGCTTACGAAGCCCTGGAGAATGGCAACGATGCATCCGGGAGACAGTCAAAGTCGTGGTTCTCGTCATTTGGCTGGGACGGAAAAAGGACGGAGCAAGCAAGGGATGAAGGTGACGAAAAATTTACTCCTCTCCAACGCGAGGAACGGCCGTCCAAGCCTGTTACCCACAATCTGTTCTCTATCAAGTTTATGGATCCCTTCGTTGACACAGGTGCCACCATACCCTGGCTCATGTTGAACAAGTATTCACCACTCTACCTTTGCAACCCTTCTCAGCCGAGAATGTATGAGGTACAAATCCACGATGCCGAGGATAAGCCATTCCGAATCTCAAGCCCGAAATTCTTTGAGCCAGCGCCACGCAATCGCGATCTTGATGAGAAGCTGGCAAGACAGCTGCCCTGGGCTGATGCGTTTGAAGACCTTATCAGCCTTGAACAAACCGGCAAAATGGTGGATAGAGACTACTCTACTTGGCGGACTCCGAGTACTTGGATTCATGACATCGTCCATAGAGGGAGCTTAGGCCCTCGCTGGGCATTCAATCAGGACGGAATGCTGGTTAAGCGTTCAATTGACGGTGGGAATCGTGCTAAACAGCAAGGGCAAGAGTACTCTTGGCCGGATGGGCTGGTAGAAGAGTCACGGCTTCTCTTGGGACGCAAAGTGAGCGACTTCCTCGACGAAATGGGCGACAATATGACAAGAACGCTTGCAACGTCGCCCATGTTTAGCAGTGTTGTGGCGGCCGCAAATGCGATCGTGGCAGCTGCTGAAGAAGCACAGAGAGACTTTGAGAACGTGACACCGGCAATTGCGGACGAGCGAGAAGGACCCAAAGAGACGCAAGACGTCGAGGTCGCTTCTAAGCAAGCGCTGTCCACAGAGTTCTCCCATGCCTTCGAAAGCACGTTCTCGTCGTCCAATGATGAAGGAAGCATTGGAAAGCGGATTGTGGCCACAACAACGTCTATCAGTCAACGCATGCTGCCGGACGGCTCCGTCGAGTCCAAACGCATTTTCAAGCGACGGTTCGCTGACGGCACCGTAGAGTCCGAAGAAAGTGTTGACGTGACCAATAGCTCAGCCGCAGAGCCTAGTTTACACTACGGTACTGCCCACGCGAATGAACAGGTTGAGCCTGAAGCAGTTCCTGCACCTTCAGGTCGTCCGGATGGTGGCGATGGTTTTCGTGAGCCGCACTCTCCATGGCACGACTCCACCCCAGTATCAGAAACCCAAGCAGAAGACACTGTCGACCGGCCACCGCAAGAACGAAGGGAGAAGTCCTCCAAGCCATCCAGAGGAGGTGGTTGGTTTTGGACATGATTGAGACTTTTACCTGTGCGAGACCAGTGCCACATATGTTGCAGGAAGGTCTTTCGAATCTCGACTCTTGATTTTCAGGTCTACCACGGGGTAATAACTGCCTTGAACTTTCAGGAAAGAATGCATCAACACAACTCGGCTTCTCTCAGGGAAAATCTCCGCTCACTTTGGTTTTCCCCTTCCGGTGCGGTGGTTCAGTTGTAGCTGAAGTCTCTTCCTAGAGACATTGTAGCCGCAGCCGCCACCACCGTGGCATTGCTTTCCGAGTACCGGGGAACAGGGGGATGAGTGAGGTATGGCGACGGCGGGATTTAAGTAACGACTGGAAAACGATGTTATGATGTTACGTAGTACACTCTGTATATATAGTATTGGTGTTGGAAATGTTATCATCTCCGCTCGACCAAGTCCACCTACCTACCTACCTAACCTACCTACCTACCTAGAGTTTTCCGATTGTCATGTTGCCTACCTCAGGCACGTTGGTATCGTCATGCGAAGACCCCTATCCTCGGTCGTCTGTTTACGAGCTCCCCTGGGCCTGTTGGTCTCGCTTCCTCTCCTCGATTCATGGCTTCCGTCTGAAACAGAGGACCGGCCAAAGAGTCGATACAGCCACGGTCACCAGGGGGCGTGGTTATTACGTCGGGCGGCCCCCGGTGTTCCCGGTGTGGTGTTTGCTGGGGGAGTGCTCTGTTAACCCTACCCCCCGATGCTCGACAAACGGCCCAGTTGATGGTACCTACTACCTAAGCTACCTAACTATCCCTACGACTTGTGGTGTTAATTTGTTAATTCTTAGTGGAGGTCCTGCCCTGGATATAACTCACTCTCAGCTCCTCATCAGCCTGGGTGGATATGTCCGGCAAGTAAGGCTCTTGTGTATATTCCGGAGGTATGGAGAATATTTATATTGTCAGGACTGATGGCATCTACGGATATGGAGAGACAACCTTGATGCTATGATAAAACTTCACCCCCTGTTTATACTCGTACACGCAGCCTCGACTCACACCTTCTGTTTATTCAGCCAAGTAATGCATCGGTCTAACTTTCACTCTCTATTTATTTACCTATGCATCAGTCAAACCTCCATCCCCTCGCTGTATAAGAGTACACGGCATGTAATACATCAATCAGACTCCCAACCCCCAGCTATCTACGTCTCTAGCACATCAATCAAACTCCTTGTCAACCTCTTCATAATAGTCAAAGAAGCCCTTGTACAGCTTCACCCCCAGGCCGGGGTCGAGAGAGCCAGTGGTCGCGCGGATCGAATGCATGCTCAGCTGCGGAATGCCACAGTCGATCGCACGGCAGCCTAGCTTGGAACTCGTCATGGGGCCGATGGTGCCACCGCTCCGGGAATCATTTCGAATCTGGAATACCTGGAGCGTGCTACCGCACTTGGTCGCTATCCGGGACAACAGCGCGGTCGAGACGCTGTCGGTGGTCATGTGGCCATTGGGATCGGCGCTCACAGTGATGCCGACGTTCAGCCTGGGTGAGTGGTTCTCGAGATAGGCGCCCAGGAAGTTTGGGTTGACGGCATGGATCACGTCGCTGGACACGAGGAATGAATTGGCCAAGGTCTGGTTGATAAGATTAGGGCCACAGGAGGAAGGTGAGAAGTTTTCGGCAATGCGCTCAATCACACTGGACATGAAATTGCTGCGGGCACCTTGACGGAGATAAGACCCGATTTCTTCGTCGTCGAAACATCCAACCATTTTCACGATGCCAGGGGACGCATCGTCGGTGGATGCTAGCAACGCTTCAACCGCGGCAAAGCAGCATAGCTTGTCGTCGATGCGACCTGCGAATATAAACTCCTTGTCCAAACCTCCCAGCTGGGCGGGCTGGATGTCAAAGAGTTCCAGCTCCCAGTTCACAATCGACGTATAGTCTTCTATGCCCAGCTGTCCGGCGATGGCCCGCACCAGTCTCTCCGGTTGGCTTGCGACGAATGTTCCCGCTGGCAGACCGACGCCCGATTCCTGCTTTCCAGAGAGATCGGAATTATCGATGCCCACGATTGGGACCATGTTTGTTTCAAGGTTGAACGGCCCCGAGGCGGCTGCGCCAAAGTGAGGCGCAAGTGTCGGGATCCTGGCAATGGGCCAGTCAAGCTTGACGAGCTCTTCCTTGATCTTCCCGTCCTTGCCTCGCACGAGAACCCGACCTCCAATACCCAGGTCTCGATCCCACCATGTCATATTCATGCCTCCGGCATAGGGAGCTACTCCCAGCTGTACGTAGCCTGCTTTGGTGGGCAGTTTCGGAACAGGCTTGACTTTGGCAGTCAGAGCGTCGACGTGGCCAGCGACTATTCCGATTCCATTGCCAGCTTTGTACTCCTTGCCCACAGCAAAAGCAATAAATGCGCTCCCATTTCGCTTTGCGTAGTATTTTCCACCAGGTTTGACGTCCCACGTCGTCCTCTCGGACAGATAAACGAATCCTGCCTCTTCCAGTCTTTTGGTGAATGCTTCGACGGCGTGGAACACAGTGGGATTGTTGGTCATGAAATCAATGTAGGGCTGGGTGTATTTCTCTGGTGAGAACTGCTTCTGCGAGGATGGAGGTTTCGGGGGAAGAGAGTAGGCACTGTGCTGCACCATGCGGTCATATCCTCGAGAGACATGGAGGGGGATGTCTTCGTGGATCGAGGTAAAGAACCCCGAGGATGTTTTGCGCACCATACTGGGGGAGTTTGAATGGAGGGATCGTGAGGGATGGTCTAGTAGGTGGTAGTTGTTTAGAGAGTGACAAGTGACGGTGACAATGAAGGATCAACAGGGGAGCTTCGTGGGAAATCGCTCCGAGCTGCATGTCGACGTCAATATCCGTATGTTTCAGCTCCACAGCAACCGTTGATAACTAGGTTCCTTACTCGTACGTGCACTACCGGTACGGATATTGAACGGGATCTAGCGTAGAAACCTACACCTCTGTACTGGGTAGAACGACGTCAACTCATCTGTGTGTAACGGATCCCTTGATTCGATTCTAATACTCAGGGCATAAGACTAATATCAGAGAGACATGAGAAGTGCTCACAGGATAGATATCTAGGTAGTGATTAATCGTTGTTGAGCAAGATGCCTAGTAGCGGTGCGGTGGGAGTGGTGACAAAATACGAAGGAAGTCTTAGAGGCCAAGGCCTAAAAAAGGGCGAAGAACGCCGAAATGTTAAGGAGCAAGGACTTGACGACACCTGAAGTTTAGGCTCTACTGGGGGGCTTATAGGCTTGAACGCCTATTGGAATAGGCATGAAAGCACAAAAGACACAGTATACTGAACACACTACCACAAGTCGTGACCCGAGGTACATCAGGAAGCATATCTCCGTTGTCCACAATCATCTTCCCAATGCGGACTATTCGACTTGTCGCTCTCAACTCCCAATCCGACGCATGACATTCTTCGTCAGGATATCGCTATCCTCATAGGACACAGTCACTCTTCCCCTTGCGATCTACATACCCTATACAACAACAAAAGATATCTTACGCCAGATTCTGCCTAGATTCTGCGTCTCCTCCGGCACTTCCTCCTCCGGCCCCGCGATCACTGGGTTTCGAGAGATGGCGTCGACGGTCGCAGCGAAGCGACTCTTCCAAGAATACAAATCCCTGTTGACCAATCCGCCCGATGGTATCACGGCCGGCCCTGTGAACGAGGATGATCTTTTCATCTGGGAGGCATTGATTCAAGGCCCCGAAGGGACTCCCTTTGAGGGCGGCATTTTCCCTGCTGAGCTCAAATTCCCGAAAGATTATCCTCTGAATCCCCCCAAGATGAAGTTCCTGGGCGAGATATGGCACCCTAATGGTAACATCCTCCTCGGCCATGTCGATTTTGACTTGGACTGACAGTTATCTAGTATATACCAACGGCGAAGTCTGCATATCTATCCTCCACCCGCCCGGCGACGATCCGAATCATTACGAGAGCGCATCGGAAAGATGGTCACCCATCCAAAGCGTCGAAAAGATCTTGATATCTGTCATGTCGATGCTGGCTGAGCCCAACGACGAGAGCCCCGCGAACGTCGAGGCTGCAAAGATGTGGCGAGAACGGCGACTAGAGTTTGATAGGAAAGTACGAGAGGGTGTGAGAAGATCATTGGGTCTATGACTGCATGAACATGTCTGCGTCGTATCCATCAGACCAACAACATGTCATCACCACCATTGTGAGCCAGCAATTGTTCAATGAGATGCGCTGTCAGCCAATGTTCCGTTCCGCGACTCCCCTCGTCAAGAACCTGAATCTCCGCTTTTCGATTAAGCATAAGCATGCGACGAAGCTCATCCAAGCCCCTGTCCAAGCCTGGCAACACAGTTCCAGACCTGTCTCTCCACTCCCTGTTCGTCAACATCGAAAGAGCCAGGGCCCGGTCTCGCATTGATAAGATCATTGACGTGTCGTCGATGTCACCCAAGTCGACCACATCCTCCGCCTTCACGCCAATCCACTCCATCTCCGGAAGATTGCAATGGTACTCCTGGGCCGTCGCCCTCGACCCGTACCGGTAGCATTTCATGATTTGGATGCCGTCTGGATCCCAGTCGAAAAGGCCAAATATCGGAACAGCTCCTTTGCTGCGGTCAAGAATGATGCGTAGAAATCGCCGAGTGGAAAGGTCGGGGTAACCCTTAGCCTGATGCTTCAGTCAGCGATGGAGCGAGTTTGGCGGCGGCTATCAATACTGTGACCAGCAATCCCGGGCCAACAATTGGACTCTGATGGTATTCCCTCTCAGCCAGGCTTTTGAATGTAGCCTGAAAAGCGTCAATCTCTGTCTACTGATTCATTTGTTTTTATACTTCTTTCTCGACGACCAAGATCCATTCCAGGTGTGAGATATCTGCACATCCGTGCTCGGTAGCGAGGTCGTCTGGAACCAGGGTAGTGTGACTCTTGTCGTTGGCTGTGACAAGCCCGATCATGAGGCCCTTCGGGCTGCTTGCCTGCGACAACCTTAGTTCATATGCCACCTTGTTGAGCCTCGTGTGTTCTTTGTGTACCACGTTCAAGTCACTCCTCGTCACCTGGAATGTGTGAGCAATATCGTCGATGTACCGATCCACGGTCTCTTGTTGCTTGAAGAGGTCCGGATCGTGGTAGTAGATATCCCTGCTCACATTGGCAATAGTCATCTCTGAGTTGAAGGGAAACGCGCCTCTTGGTTACTTTGACCCCGTTCTTGATCGCTCCGTATATCTCTGTCAAGATCCGCCCAACACAGGCTGACTGAATCAGTTGATCCCGCCGCCATTTCTACTGCCACTCACCGAACCTCCATGCTTCCTCTTTTGTCTTTCCGGGAAAATGATATCGTACTTCGCGGTCTTCCACGTGCCACCTCATGCACGCCGGATCTGCTTCATCAAAGTAAGGCACGATGGCGGAGATCCGTCTGAGTGTAATGACAGGACTGCTGTCGGAAGACACCTCAATGGCAGTGATAATATCGCTTAGGATGTTTTCGATGTTGTCAATAACTCTTTGGTTAGCAGCAGTAATGGGTCTCAGAGAATGAACCGGCATGGCATCATCTTCGGCCACGCGCATCTTCAATCCGATACGCTGAGCGATTCGATGCTGAAGTTGATCGTACTGTACGAATACGAGTGTTGGATCTCGGGCAAATCAAGGACCAGCATCACTAGCTTGACCCCGGAAAGTGTCAAGTTGTGCCTGGACTAAGAGACTCGCTTATCCACATGCTCCGAGTGGCATCATTTTCTGGATTCTCCCGATCCCTGTCCTGCGCCATCAAAGACTTGACTCCTGTTACTCTTGTCCACAGAACTCCTTTGGAGGCGCAACGAATCCGATCCTCTGCGGCAACATGATTCAACATCGATAGTAGAATTGCAATATGGCGCGCACCCTTCGATCTGCCCAGAAGCCCATACCCACGAATGGCAGCATTCGTGCGGCAAATGGTCACGCTAATGGCACACCGAAAGAGCACTCCCAGCACACTGGCGGCGAGACCCTCGATCGATCACGTTGGAGATTACGCGCAGAAGGTGGCCGTCATACCTGGCACTATCTAAAATCCGAAAAGGACGTCCAAGAATGGCCTCAGACAGTCGCCGACAAGTACTACCTAGGCCTTCCAACAGTATGGATGCCACCAATGTTACAAGAACGGCTACTGATCGATACAGAATCTTCCTGACCTCCCTCCTGCTTCGAAGCCATCCGAATCCATAGACAACTGCCTTACCTTCTACTCGAAACTCCAACTCCCCCCTGGCCACTGGGCTTGCGAATATGGTGGACCTCTCTTCCTTCTCCCCGGAATTGTCATTTGCTGGTACGTGACGGGCACTCCCATACCGGCAGAATACGAGGTTGAAATCAGGAACTACCTGTTTGCGAGACAAAACAAAGACGGTGGATGGGGGCTACATGTCGAAGGACACAGCTCTGTATTCGGGACAGCCATGAATTACACACTCCTACGGATTCTTGGTGCCAGCGAGGAAGACCCTCGCCTGATAAAGGCAAGAGGCAAACTTCACCAACTTGGCGGCGCCGTAAACGGTCCTCACTGGGCCAAGTTCTGGCTGAGCGTCCTGGGCATAACGCAATGGAGCATTGTCAACCCAGTTCCCCCAGAGCTCTGGCTTTTGCCTGACTGGGTGCCGTTCGCGCCGTGGAGATGGTGGATTCACATGCGTCAAGTGTTCCTGCCCATGAGCTACATCTGGTCAAAGCGATACACCATGCCTGAAAACGATCTCATTCGCTCTCTACGTCAAGAAGTCTTTACTCAACCGTACGAGACTATCGACTTTGGCTCGCACCGAAACTCCATTGCCCCAGAAGATAACTATCACCCCAAGTCTTGGCTACTCAAGCTCCTGATGTCAATTCTTGTATGGATATGGATACCCTTACTTCGCACAAAGAGTCTCATTGACAAGGCTGAATCCTGGGTATGGAGGCTGGTCCAGTACGAAGACCACAACACTGATTATGCCGACCTTGCACCCGTCAATGCTCCGATGAATACACTTGTATGTTTCATCTACGAGGGCCCCGAGAGCTACTCGTTCAAACGGCACCTTTACCGTCTTGAGGAGTATCTTTGGGTCAACAAGGAGGGCATGCTTGCAAATGGCACCAACGGCGTTCAAGTGTGGGACACATCCTTTACCATCCAGGCATGCGTTGAAGCTGGGCTTGCCCAATCGCCCAAATGGAAACCCATGTTGACTAAAGCCCTCTCGTACCTCGAATCAGAGCAAATCCGTGATGAGGTAAAGGATCGGGAGATCTGCTACCGTCAATCACGAAAAGGCGCGTGGCCTTTCTCGACCAAACTCCAGGGCTACACCGTATCAGACTGTACGAGCGAAGCCCTGCGTGTTGTTCTACTCTTGCAGAACGCACATGGTTACAAGCCACTCCTGGATGACAGACGGATCAAGGACGCCGTTGATGTGCTACTGACCATGCAGAATAAACACACCGGCGGCTTCGCGAGCTACGAGATCCAACGCGGCAGCGAATACATGGAACTGCTCAACGCCGCGGAAGTCTTTGGTCGCATCATGGTCGAGTACGATTACCCCGAGTGCACAACCGCCGTGGTAACGGTGCTGTCGCTGTTTCAGAAGTACTATCCCGAATATCGAACCGAGGAGATTCGCCGCATCAAGGAGACAGCGTGCCAATACATCCGCCGGGCCCAGCGTGACGACGGCTCCTGGTACGGCAGCTGGGGCATCTGCTTTACGTACGCAGCCATGTTCGCGTTAGAGTCCCTGAGCTCCGTCGGCGAGCTCTACAGCAATTCCGCGCGCGTCAAGAAGGCGTGCGAGTTCCTCCTTTCGCACCGCATGGCCGACGGCGCCTGGGGCGAGAGCTACCGTGCATCCGAGCTCAAGGTGTGGGTCGACCATCCCGACAAGTCGCAGGTCGTGCAGACGTGCTGGGCCGTGATCGCGCTGATGTACGCCGGGTACCCTGACAAGGAGCCCATCCGGCAGGCTCTCCGCGTGGTCGTGGGCCGCCAGCAGAGCAACGGCGAGTGGCTGCAGGAGAGTATCGAGGGTGTGTTCAACTGCAGCTGCATGATCACCTATCCCAATTACAAGTTCTATTTCCCTGTAAAGGCACTGGGGATGTATAAGGCTAGATGGGGGGATGATTCCTTACTCTAATGAACTAAGATGGTCATGGCCAGACAACGGTACACCTTAAAGAAGAAGACGAGAAGGGGAGATGATGGTTCTGGGGGTACTTTAATGCTCTTCTTTGACGCTTTACCCTAGGTATCTAGGGCGAAAAAACAAAATCGGACGGAGGTCTGATTAATTATGATTGATTGATTGATTGATCGCAGATTGCAAAAAGAATCACTGCAACTGAAGAAAACAAGATGATCCTAAGTACCTACGGCTACCTACCTGTACGGAGTACCGGTGCGCGTGTGATATCCTGTCGGTAACTTTTAGTAGTCTAGGTAGGTAATTCCTACAGCTGGTAGACTCAGATCCAGATTTATTAGATCACGATCACACACCGAGGTGCATTTCCTTTTTGGTTCACACAATCTGCAGTAGATGAATTCTCGTCTGCAGTATTCTCCCTGTACATAGCTATATACCTGATCTACATGTATGTAAAATCTTCAACCGTGAACATAGTCCAAGTAGAGCGCTCAGAACGCAGGCTACCGTCTTCTTGTTGAACATTCGCAGTCATTCCGCCTCCACTGCCGATCAGAACGAGGATCGGTGTCGCCGACACATCTCTTGATCGTATCCTTTGTCTCATGTATTCGTGCGGTGGTGTTAAGGCCATTGTCAGTGTGTGCTTGTAGCGCTGCGAGTTGTACCAATCAACAACCTTCCCGCTAATCAACGATTGTTGTCGCTGTGATTTGACCTCATGATCCATTGCGGCCCAGCGTCGTTGGGAGTCTGGTGGAGACCGCCGACAGGCAGGCCCTGTGCAGAGAACGTTAATCGCAATCGGATCATGGGTCAACGTCCGGTAGTGCCAGGGATGTATAGTTTGTGCTCCTAGCTGCGCAAGTCTAGGGGTGTTCACACTAGATAGTTCTGTGTGGAACATTCTGCTCGTACTCAATCATATAGACCCTCTAGGCTTCTGGTGTCGAAAATAGTTCGTGATATCGAACCTCCGCTTATACCTTTATTAGCATTTACGCGAACCCAGCAAGGCGACACGGTGCACATATGACTGTATGGATGAACGGTGCAAGGGCAGCCATGTTCGCCGAGGGTTCAATCTGGATCATTGCTGGCATTGTAATACGCTTTGGATGGATCTTCGTAAATGAAGGTTGTTGCTGTAGTCGACAAGCTTGGGACCGACCCTGGTGTTCCTCCGGATTCGGTTGTCTCTGTGCTCGACTCTCTTTTGAGGTGAAAGTTAGGCTCCTCCTTCTCCCTCAGTCGGAAAAGGAGCTCATTGAACACATGTTCCGCATGAACACCCCTCTGTTTGACACGTTCAAAGGCATTTTCAAGCCATCTAGTTGCATCACTTCGCCGGATCCTTTGATAATAAAAATAGGCGAGATTTGCAGGAAAATTGATGATATTTGCCCCCCAGGCTCCCATGTCCGGCTGGAGACAATATGGGACAGTCCGACATATGTTAGAAGCATAGCGCTCTGCATTGAGGATATCCTTCAGCAACGTTGGGTTCATGGATTCGGGCAGTTTGTGTTCTCGTAGTTCGAGAGCCTGCATGATATCATCGCCGAGCTCAGCAAGCGTTAGTGAGCATGCATAGTAGACAACGCGAGCATGCACAAAAAGATGATTCTCGAACCAAAGGTCTGTCTCGAAAGGATAGCCGTCTGTGTCGTTCGGGTCATGCCTCTGAACACGCGGGGTCGCTCCTTTCTTTGTCCCATCTCTCCACTTATCCAGTGTCACCTGGACAGTTTTACAGTCATCCAGAAGCTGGATGAGATCCTGGCCTATATCCGAGTCGCTCTCTCGAAGAATGTCCAATTTTTCAAGAAACCCAGGAATCAAAGTGGTGGTATCTGTCAAGCGATCGAAATAAGTCCTATGTCCCATCTTTACCCACGGGATGGTAAGCCACTCTTCGGTCGCCAGGTAGGTTGACTTTCTCTGCAGGATCGATGCGTATACGGTGGGAATTCGAGAGGCCAGAAATGGGTGGTGGGCTTCCCAATGTTGATGCCTCTCGGGACCTCTGAGTTGCACCAAGCGTGCCGCTCCCGCAGCATGTGTCAACCAACTCCGGGATCGAAATGCCGGGCCTTCAAAGACCTCGTACAAGCCGAGCAACATGCAAGCCATGAGGGTATGATCAGAGTACATGCGCTTTGGGTCAAACAGAGCCTCCTGCAATTCTTTCAGCGCCCTGCCGTAGATTCTGCTGCTCTCGCGGACCAGGCGAACATCCTTGTTGGCTTGTCCAACTCTTGATATTGTCAAGGCGGAAAACGCCTCTTCCAGAGCATTGTCCTGCCGGGGAACGTCTTGTATAAGTTCTGCCCAGTTCATGGGATGGCCACAGCGTATCAGGAAGGCGTCGCGACAGGCACAGTCGCCTTGGGGCATGTATAGATCCCAGAACAGACTTCGACATTGCGCTTGTACGGCGGTCTGATTCAAAGACCCAGGAAGTGGAGCGACTATGGTTCTTGTGTAAGGGAGAAAGATTGCCTTTTCGACAGCTTTGCTGGCCGGGTGGAGGATGAAGGTCCTGTCGCGTTTGTAGCCACCGCAAACATTGCCGCTTGAGGCACATTGACCGCAGATGGGACGCTTTTGATCGCACTACGGAGGATATGATATGAGTGACGAGACGCGAGAGAACGGAGGAGGCTCACATACACCCTTCTTCCGGCGGCGACAAGTGCTACAGCCTTTGCTTTTTCCAGGAACGCCGACCATTTCTAGCAACCGGCATTTCCACTAGAAGGAGTCGCAGCGGGTCCCAAGAGGGATGTGAGGTATCGGTCAATGGCGTCGGCGCAGGGCGAGGCGGGATCAGCTGAGAAATCAGCGGCATGTCATCGCTGTCTGAGTATGAATATGACCAGCGTACCCATTACAGCGACGTTATGAGTAAAATATTTATTGATGCTCCGTGATGAAACGGTTGATGTGATAGTTGCGGGCCTGACAGGTAAATGAATTGGGACAAAGGCGCAGAAATGGTTAGTAAGGAGTAGATCATCTACCTAAGTATTGTTCCTAAGGGAGCCACTTGAGGTACGTAAGTACTGGAGATAGATCACAGACATTGACTTGTGGTCTTGGAGGACAGCTGAAGAGGCTCAATATTGAGTGGAATGCATCAGAGCCACAACTCGCGTGTAGGGTCGACCTGAATCTCAGAACTGCTTCCGGAGTGACTAAGGTACCATACCAGTCCCTGAGGTGCCTCATAGGCGTCTTAACCAGCACCAGCCACACTTGGGGGCTCTATGCCTAGTTAGAACCGCCCGAGCACCACCTAAAACCAACATATCCCTACCTAAAGCCTCACTAGCCCCAGGCTTACTTGGACTCACTAGCTGGGCCTTACGATGTCAATCGTCCCTCTACCTAAGTAGACTAGTGAGGCGCCTCCTCGCATAGGCTTGACTAGGGACCCCTGTAGTCAAGTGGACACCTATAAGCCGCCCAGCGAAAGTCCCTCTCCACCCCCAGGGCACCTTCGCCCTACCACTTTTTATCTACAGCAAGACATGCAGTAGTGACTAGTGAGCCATGCGTCTCCAATCCCGCTTAAGCATGTGGTCATCCTGCTAAGATTGTCAACACGAGTACAAGGTAACGGCTCTCGAGTTACGGGAGATATAAGGTGCCTGATAGGCAAATGTTATTAAGATTCAAGAGCCCTCTGGAGCGATCCCTGGGCCTCGTTCTCGTATCCGCCCCAAAGACTATCGTGTCCCTCCCAACGTCACTTGCCCCACGCTCGACTCTGTGCGCATGTGTTGTGTCCGAGCGCTCGAGAATTGTAAACAATCACTCTCAACTTCACCATCCAGCGCTTAAACCATTTCTTTTCTTTCTCCTTGCTTCCTGAGTATTTTTCCCTACGGCGAACCAGTCGCTATGTTAATGTTGTGGCAAGGGGTGTTTTGTTTACAGGATCCTCGTCTTAATGTTTAGTACGCGGAGGAGAGGGTCGACACCATCTAATCATCATGGATCATTCCCAGCTGGCCGATCTACTAGCCCAAACACTGCCTCAGAAGGCTTCTAATGCTTCTGTCAATCGAGTTCAATCTCTGTCACCGCGACAAGCGTTCCAGTCTCACGTTCGGACCGTGAATGGCAGGTCGTCCGCAACCACCAAGCCATCGCCGTCGGCGCTTCGCTCGCCCGAACTTCAACAGTTCTCGAACCTGCACGTCGAATCTACAGGGCCTCCCCCACGTAGCCCGGCACGTCAGACTCCGTTCTATGGTTACACCGACGCGGATCTGCATATTGCAAGAGACGGGCAGCCTGCATTCGTGGCAGAGGAACGAGAGGCATGGGCGAGACCTTCACCGCTGAGGATACGCAAGAAGCCATCCAACGATATTTACGTCCTCCAGCCGCCAGAACAAGAGACTCCTGTCAAGCAACCGAGCAAAGAGACTCGGGGACTTCAACAATTTGGTCCTATGATCGATACAGCAGACTTGAATGAGAGACCGAAGACCAGCCGGGGACCAGACGCAGAGCGGGCTAGTAGTGATACTCATAATGACGACGACAATCACTCACAGCAGTTGCGGAACTCCAAATTTGCTGAAGGGAGCATGAGCCATCGCTCTGCTGGCGTTTCGTCTACCTGGCACAAACACGGCTCCATCAGCAGCCTGTCTGATCTGTCTGATGATGAGGTCACGCCAAAAGCATCTCCACAGCGCTCTTCTATCGATGTTGACGAGTTCAAGCCGCCAGCCGTCACTCCTTCCACTCTGAAACAGCGCCTGTTCAAGATCGGTCCTACTTTCAAACACAACGAGAAAGGCGGGAAGACCGACGCGCCTTTGCCGGGTGAAAGGAAGAAAAAGGGCCTGCGCAAGAGCATATCAATGTGGAATCTCTCACATAACGGCGACAAGAAGAAAGGTCGAGGTGCCGATCCGGACCGTGATCTGGCGGCACAAGTAGCGACCTCGAGCACACCGGCCCTAGTTGACAAGGATACGCTCAACGAGCGCAAGAGAAGAGCTGAAGAAGCCTATGCCCAACAGTTTGGCACGAAGAGACGCAAGTCGACTGGTAACCAGGTTCCTCTACCAGAACTGTCTAGACCACCACGGCCACTTCCTGTGCCTGAACTACCTCCCAAAACACCCCGAGTCCACAGACCCAAGCCTAGCTTGTCGTCCTCAGCGATCGCCACGGACTCCGAATTATCCGATGGCCCGAGTGGCATCGACCACCATAAGCGACCCAGTCGCCGCGAACTGGAGAAGGAAAATCAACAACTGCGGGCGATGTTGAAACAGCAGCAAACGCGACTTAAACCCGACTCAGCTGGCGTCGTTCCCCCAGTTCCAGCCGCTAGGACTCTAGATGATTTGACCAATGACATTGACCCGTCAAAGACCCGGTCTGCCAGCACTTCTGTGCGCAAACAGAAACTCCCACCAGTCCCGCCAGTGCCAGATAGAGTCGCACTCCGGAACCTCAGTAACATAAGGAACCAGCCCAAGAACAAGACCAGCAATACTAATACGCCTTCTCCAAACACTAATCCGAGTGAGAAGAGTAATGAACAGGGGAATATGGAACGGCGACCTCTGACCAATATCAACATTGCAGGACTGTCTCGACCGGTCTCGGTTATTTTAGAGGAAGACGAGGAAGCCATTGAGAACAAGACGCCGACCCCGAGTCCAAAGAGGCGTGTGCTTGAACCTAGTTCGGTGGAAAAAAGAAAGATCCGAGACCAGATTGCGATACAACTCAGAGGGGTGAGGAGAGAGCAGTGGGAGTGGCCCGAGGATGTGTTTTGAACCTTCTAAGTGAACCACGTGCGGATTTTTACGATTAACGAGACACGACGAACCGAATTACGTGAAGATGGAGGAGGCTCCCTGTATCAATGCCGATGCTCGAAGCGATGCCTTGATCGATCTCACCTCAATCAAACTCAGGTAATCATCGATGACAAAGGTGGACGACAACGTGTCATAGAGGCCGGCAGACAAGCTGGAAGCAGGAATGGTGTGTGGGAGTGAATACTGACAAGGAACAAGGTGTCTCCGAATTCAATTTGGTCAAAAGTGAGCTAGCAGTTTTGCTTTGTTTCTTTCTGTCTCAGCGATGCATCATATCACACTTGTAGCCATGATTGCTTTGTGTCCAACCGATGATGCCTTTTCTCGGCTCGACACTCACTGTCTTTGGCGCTTCATCTGCTTCATTCGTGTACATACATACGTTCAATGCAATTCTCTTGATGATCAACATGACACGGGTCCATCTATGAATTTCCATCTATTTTCCGGGCCTTGTGTCGTAGCTGTGGCAATGGGATAGACCTCACAGGCGTGGACATGGATCTGTCTTCCGCTAGTCGAGAATGTTGACATAAGCCTCAAACAGACATCGGTCCCTGTGTTGTTCTATCACCCCAACGAATGACCAAACTCAATCGTCGCTGTACCTCTTCGTCTCTGCACGGGTTGATGGAGTGATTCGCCGCCAGAATGGATTTCAAGACTTGAACAATCAAGCCACCAAAGCTTGCGTTACCAGGGAGACTGTGGTTGCGCAGATGTGAGTGATATATGATCTGTGTCGTGCATCTCAAGGCCGTGCCATGAGAGCAGATGGACTGCTTGATTTCCTTGTGCTATGTGCTCCTCGCTCTTGTGAGAGTTCTGTGAGTCTGTTGAATTGCTACACTGTTGCTAAGCCTGCTGGATGTGAGTGAGGCTGCCGTCAGTGCCATCACCCACCGGCAGCGTTCGTATTGGAATCAGATTCAAGTGATAGCAGAGTCAACGGCATGCTCACTCAGAATGACATGAGGCACGAACAAACCGTGTTCTGTTTGATTCACTTGGTTGACGACCATAAATCCACGTCGCGCTGTGTTGCATGGATTCCAGGTTTTTCTCGCGACACTCAATCAACTCTGGACCAACATCACCCACCATCCTCTCAACATACGCTCTTTTGAATCATAGAATCATCTACAGCATTCAGCATTGTCGTATGAGATGGTAATGCGCCGCCGCCACCCCTCTTCCCACGGAGGACTGCAGACTGACAATCTCACAGGCGCGACCATCCTGTCTCGTTACCATCCTTGCTCTCGCACTGAACCTCATCATCTTTGGCGCATATGCGACTGCTAGCTATGACTCGGTCCCGACTACTTTCATTACCTCTACTCTTACTCTGGCTCGTCGATATGATACGGGCAACAGCAAGAATGCCAGTGGAGGCACTCCGTACACTGTCGTTGCTGGTGACACCGCCTACAGCATCTCTACTCGTTTTGGAATATCATTGTCATATCTGACAGCTACAAATGACGAAGCTCACATTGACAATTGGGATTTCCTTCAACCTGGTCTTGTCCTCTGGATTCCGTTGCCATCAACCCCGACTGTCGCGAGCAATATATCTACAGGCAGTCCGCCTGCGAATACGGGAACGATCTACCCAGATATCGCTAGCATAACATCTCCAGGAAGTCCACCTGCGACGACAGGCACGGTTTATACCGTCCAACAGGGTGACACTGGCGAAGTCATAGCGTCCAAAGTGAACAAGCCTTTCGCAGCAATATCCGTGGCCAATCCGACCGCTACCTGGACTCAGCTTTCTGTTGGTGAAACGCTGGAAATCCCTCAAATGACTACGGCTACGCTCAGTCTCACCTCGCTGGGAGGTATATTCTTGAACTGGACATCAGTAACCAATACAGCGGCACCTACCTCGACCGACCAGTTGCCTTCGCCCTCGACTTCAGGATCATACACTGTTTCTTCAGGGGATACCGGTAACATTATTGCTTTGAAGGCAGGTTTGAGTTTTGAGCAGCTCTCTGCGGCCAACCCCGGGTTAAATTGGTCTGCTCTCACGCCAGGTCAAGTTCTCACTCTACCTCCTCCACCAGGAATCCAGTCTCATTCTGCAACCACACCAACGACCACCAATTCCCCCTTGTCTCTCGCATCCGCCGTCGCAGATCCCGGTTCTGGCCTCCTCAAACTAGAGGGAGCGTTGGCCACTAAGCAGATCGACCTTGCAAACGGAAGGGTATCTGCTCCGGACGTATACACATTCTACTCTGGTGATGGTTCAGTCGAGGCCGGATGGCCACCAATGTCCCAATGGCTGTCGTATGACGCACTGTTGCATAATGTGAAGCCCTACATCGGGCAGAACTGCATCAACAACGTTCCAGGCAATACCCCTGATGAGACGACACAAGTCCTCGACTCGATCATCACCATCGCCAACGAGACGGACGTGGATCCTCGGTTCATCCTGGCCGTCGTTATGCAAGAGTCCAACGGATGCGTCAGGGTGGCGACGACGGCGGTCAGCAACGCGAACCCAGGTCTCATGCAGAGTTACGAAGGCAAAGCAAGCTGCGACATGAACGGAGTCCCCGTCTCCCCTTGCCCGCAGGCCAGTATTTATCAGATGATTGTCGACGGCACAGCCGCACAGGTGGACGGACCGACCTTGATCAACGCTCTGAACAAGGCTCAGCAGTTGGCCGACTGTGAACCCGCGCAGGCTTTTTACCGTGCTTCTCGTCTCTACAACTCGGGCTTGAACAGTCTACAGACGAGTCTGGATCTCGGCAGCGAAACCAGCGGCACTCGATGCTACGCTAGCGACATTGCTAACCGCTTGACGGGCTGGGTCAATGGTGCGACCGTTTGCTTTCTGAGGTAGGAACGACACCGCGGAATGTCTCTCGGGTTGCGTGGGGCCACATGGACTGTGTAAATACGTACGTACTTCGTACGGCGTACTTCAGATGGGATAGATGGATAGATGAACAGAGAATGTGTGGTCTTGTCTATCTAGGTCTGACCTTAGCCAAGGGTCTTGACAAATGAGTTTACCTAACCTATCCGCACCCATGTAAGGTGAGGGTAAGGCGAGGTCTTTTAACGGTCACTCTCAATCTCAAGTCATCAGAACGTCGAGTAGGAAAGAAAACGAACGTTGGCGTGTTTGCGTGCATGCTTGATTGCCTTTGTGCTGTGCTTGTCTGTTAACTTAGATTCCCTAGATCCCTGGATACTTGGATACCTAGAGACTCAGGTACATACGAACATACCCGCCTATCCACCTACCCATACACAGTGGTGGCGGGTCACATTGTATATAAATGCTCAACGGGACTAGTTAACTTAGTGGTGCTCTCGTCAAGGTTCCAAAGATGGCAGTCCTTTTGTCACAGAGGCAGTAAATAGTGAGTACCCAACCAAAGATGCATTGCCGTGCCATGCCATGCTATACTATATACGCTACTTCAACATGATACTTGAAGTCAAGAACCAACCTCAATCGTCAGGTCACGCCGTTTTTCGTGACTTGGACAGATAGATAGACTTTTATAGGTAGGTATCTATATCTCGTCACCGCCATCGTCATCATCGTCAGCTGCCCCGTCAGTCTTGGTTTTGTGAGATCTTTTAGACAGAGTCGTCATTTCGTATTCGTCGTTCCTGCCTGACATGGCCATGGCTTGTCGTGCCGTCGGATTCTCCTCTAGAAACTCTCGCAGTCTTCGCTTGCCTTCTTCGAGGGCTTGTTGTGATGCGGCATTGGCCATGTTGAACATCGGACCCCATAGGTTCAGAGTATACGTGACGTATGCACCAGCGGCAAGGACGATGAGGAACATGAAGTAGACCGGGTTCCTAAGCACTGTGCACAGACAGACACAACGAACAGATGTCAGCCCATACCACGATATCATGAAGTACAGGTTGGGGGAAAAGGGGGATAAGGGGGGTAGTGCAGGATCAGAACTCCTTACCGGCAACAATCTCGTTCCATCCGAGAGCGAGTAAGAGACCGTAAAAGTACAACGGAACCTGCGTCATGCCTCCAATCGCGCTACGCTTGGCCTCGACGTAGACTCCATCTGCAGCCTTCTTGAACCGAACCGTCAGGTCCTGCCTCTTGGCTTCGTTGAGAATGGTCGTCTCTTCCTCCAGGCTCTTGCCCTCGTCCTCGTCCACGCCTCCGATGGGTGAAAGGTCCTCCTCGTCCGCCGCGGTTGCAGCAGCGGGCGTTGGACCGATCCAGCGATCAAGAGGAGGCGGTACGCCAGACTCAGAATGTCGAAATCGTGACAGGAGCGGGATCAGCGTCAGCGTGCTCTCCCGGGCTCGTGTATACACGCCCTCGATGTCGTCTGTGGGCCGCCATATTCTGGGCACGCCAGCCTCGTCGTATCGGAATTTGTCCTCAAAGTTCTCGCGAAGCTTGAGCAAGAGATTACCTTCCATCATTTCCTCGTCAATCTTCGAGCGCAAAACAGCCCAAGACTTTCGTCTCAGGCGCCACCGGCCAACTTCGACTTCTTCTACACTAGCGTCAAAGGAAGCTGCCCGGTCGGCAAAGCGTTTCTCGGCTTCTTGAACTGTGGCGGTGAACAGAGTCCATATGCGGTCCCAGATACCCTTCTCCGTAGGCTTCTCACCATGCTCGGGGGCTCCGGAGCCACTACGGCCGGATCCCAAAGAGTTGAACTCCAGGCCAATGCTGTCATTTAATCTGCTTCGGACCCATCTCTCAACACGTGTGGCCAGTCGGCGCATCTCGTCCCGTCGCAGCTGTCCGGAAACCTTGTCCAGGTCCTTCTGATACAGCACCATTGCTTGCTTGTAGTCAGACCAAGAAGCACCTTCGATGACGGCTTCTTTAGCGATTGATTCGAATTTTTTCAGCGCAACCTGGGTCTCCTCCTTGACAATCTCGGCAAAGTCGTACGATGCGCCCTTCTTCTGCCCAGCTTTGACGGCACCACTAACAGCGTCACTGAACTCCTGCACTCCTTGTTTGTGCGCAGCACTGAGTTGACCGGACAAGAGCACCTTCAGTCTGGCATCCGTCTTGCTTTCTAACTCAGCCCGCTTGCGTTGATACACCCCCTTGTGATATCTACTTGCTTCGGTTTCGAAGTTTTTGATGGCTTCAGCTCGAGCTTGACGCATCGCAGCGCCCAGGCCGGGGATGACCTCTGCTGCGCCGATCTTGGCCGAATCCGCCTGCTGTATTTCGAGAGGAGTAATCGTTTCGTCGAACTGGACCATGACCTCGCGCATGATCTCATCACACCGAAACTGAGCCAACAGTTCCTGCTGTGTAGGTAGGTCTAAGTCCTTGTTGTTCACAATCTGATCCCAGATGCCCTCTGCGTAGTGCGCAAAGCCATCAGCCGGGATGCGGCGATGGTACTCTGGTAAGAAAACCCCACCCTCGAACTCTCCCAGCAGTGCGTCCCTTCGGGAGTCTCGGTGGCCGTCACGAAACCGGGTCGCCATTTTGGCCACCTCCGATTTGAATTGCTCCGGTTGATATAGTTTATGTGGAAGGGCGGTGAATGCGAAGTCAAAATAGTCATCAATGCTGCTCTTTTCCAGCCCTGGTGGTTTTGATAGACTCTGCCAGATCCTGGCCATGTCCTGCATCAGGGTGTTTCGGAGATTTTGGAGGGGTGTAGTGCCGAGGAAATCTCGAATCACAAAGTATAGGAGGCTGCGTGAGGTCGACTTCCTGTCCTTCAAGAATAACTGTAGGTTGACCTCGAAAACCGTCTTCAACAGGCCCATGTTCGCGCCTTGGTATAGACCGACTTGGTGTTCCCACACATTGACCATCAAGACCTCACTTGTTGCGAGCGCGAATAGGGAGCTCTTCCTCTCGAAATCTTGATCTTCACCCCGTTCTCGACCATCTGTACCTTCGACATCCATGACCAGGATATTCTCCGCCATGTTTGGTTGCGTGCTTTTATTCTTGGATAGCCAGATTCCTTTGGTCGTTTGCCTGCGCTCCGCCTCAGACATGACAGAGAAATCGGTGCCGAAGAGCGCATTTAGAAGGGTAGATTTTCCGGTCGACTGCGACCCGAACACGGAGATCAAGTGGTAATTGAACCCGGAGTGAGATACGTTGGTATAGTTCAAGTATTTGGATAGATCCGGACTGCGGTCGACCCGTCAGCATTCGCGCCCGCGAACAATACTTCGAAGGGACAAACCTACTTGAACTCTTTGTCCTCATCGATGACCTGCACGCCGTTCTCGAAGTTGGCCTCCCCATTCTGACCGGCGGACGCAAAGTGGCCATTAACCGTCATTTTGTCGGGTGCAGTATATGCGCGGCTTGCTGGGAGTGGCCTCGGAGTGCCTGTCGAAGACATGGTGGACTGGGAAGGAGAGAGACTCGAGTTCGCCATGATGGCAACGGGCAGGGGATGACGAGCGAGGCTAATCGGAATGCAGGCCTCTCAGTGTATCAGTATGATCAAAGACATCATGTGTGCGGTCATGAACAGGGGCGTGTGGTGAGTGGTGTGCGGTGTAGCCAGTGGGAACCGACCGTTGTCCAGTCGAGTGCATTAGTCCTCGTGTCGGCTTTGGATGCTTCGAGGCATCTGATCTGGCCTTTTTTGTATGGGGACGATGTACGAGCCCGGGCCGTGGTGTCACTGGCCGCCGCTTTAACACCGACACGACTTAACACGACTTTTAAGGCTCCCGGCCAACCTTCCCTTGTAGGACTCTCCTGGTTATTACGAAATGCTCGATAATGACTGGAGGTTCATTTTGGCCGGTGTTGAGCATCAGTGCAAGTCCTAGCACCAGCTACTCCGTATATTGTTCCTTGTTGAACAACACTTGCTTGCCCCTCTGCCACTCGCCAGTATTGGCGAATGCCGGGGACCAGCGTACTTGAAGTCAACTTTGCGCATTAGTACAACTTCCATTTAGTACTCGTAATACGTTCAACCACGCCGACAAAGGGTCGAAGTTCGCTACAGCAAGTCTGTAGCCCCTTTGGAGCCAAATTTAGTTCATGCCTTTCCTGGTTATGTATGTACAAGTTCTCATGTTATGCTCTTAGCATTACGTTGGACGCGCCGAAGCTCCGGGCAGTCCGTCTTCATGAGGGTTGGTTTGCCTGGTCTTTTCTGATGCCCACATCCTTCTCCCACGGGTATACTACCCTCGTGCTATCGGCGAACGTTTGTTTGTCCCTCAGGTGAATCGGTGTCTGGCCCTTGGGCGTGTCGGGAATTGTTTTCTCCAAACCCTACAACTCTGTTAGTCCGATGTTTTGTTGTTGGAGTGGGACCAACGCCTCGCGGTTAGCGGGATAGGCCATACAATCTTTTGAAAAACACATCTGTTCAGTACTCGCTCCGGTCTTCGACACTGGTATAATTGGTGATTGTAGTTCTCCAGGCAATTCCAGTGCGCTCGGAACTCTTCCAGGCAGTTCTTGTTGATATCATCAATCCTGTCAGTAGTCCCTTGTCAGTTTCCTGCCTATTGGCAGTCGTAATCCGATATGCCTGGGGCTTGATCGGGAACACTAACACGCTTGCTGCACATCTCGTCACTTTTCTGCCCTCTTTCATGCAGTCAAGCTCTCCTCTACCGTAGGACTCGGTCTTGCACTGCATGTAGTCGTCGTTGTATGGTCGACATCTCGCGCCGATAAAGTAGGCTGCGCTCAGTAAAGGCGCCGATGTAGCTCCAATCTCTTTGACCTTTGGAATATGGTCGGGCATAGGCGTCGTGTCGACGACGACATCGGTGTTGAACCTGGGAAAAGGTCAGCTCAGCTTTCCTCCAATCCTGGACGAGAAACCCTCGTACCTTGCCTCACGATCCGCCATGTTTGCAAGGCTCAATCTGCAGCGACTTGGTTATACGGAGAAGGACTGATGCACCTCAAAGCATCTGAGGAAGACAGACCAGCGCAGCCACTGGCGGAGCTCGATCATTCCGACGCCAAGAATCGACATGCCTTTGAGCTCGCCTTATTGGGACGCGAGCCGCCGCCGCTCTAAGTTACCCGCAACTACCTGTATACGAGGAGTCCATATACTCCGACTGCTAAATCATCAATGAGCAATTCAACCTCATTTCAGAACAAGTATCTACGGGCCGACATATGGAAAGTCCGTCGGATTCAGCCCTGGCGGTGGAAAGGTCGTCAAGTATACAGCAGGTTAAACAGTCCAGGAAAATGAATGCATTGCAAAACATCTGTTCTATCATTTATATTTCTCGTCACTCGCGCCTTTTCTCTTCTATAAGTAGTAAACAGCAACACCTTTTGAATGGCAAGCTGATCATCGAAATATAGATCCTCCCGCACTGTGACGTTGCGCTTCTTCCTCTCCAGCATAGATAAACTGCTGCGGCAAACCAGCGGATGTCAGAACCGCGCTGACTTTGAGGTATCTAGCGTTGGACGCTCCCGCAGCTTGGTGTCCTTGTCGTTTCTTGGTGATAGTCGTGAGGAGTAGGGAGCACTGAAGAAGAAGCCGTTACGCAACTGCAGAACGCCCTGCTCATTCATCTCAAACTTTTTGTACTGGTCAAAGTCCAAGATCCAAGCGTCAAGGGTTGGGATAATGACGTTTCGCCTTAACATGATCAAAGTCATCGCAAAGCATGCTTCAGCCCTCTCGTGCATCCGGCAATCCTTTCCAGGCTCTGACCTTCTATCGTCGGCCACCTCATATCTATGATGTCCCGGTTATCGCGCCTACTGCCCTGTTTGACCCTTAGCAATCTCCTTCGTAGTCCCTCAATGGTGTGGTGGTAGGTATGGGGATGTATGGTTGAGCAGACAACAATCTGAAGAATGTCTCCTCCAGTCCCAAACGTTTCGGCTCAGCATTGTCCAAGTCTATCACTCCAGTGCTATCGCCTGCGTCTCGTCGTTGCCCGATTGTCGCCATCGTGCCGTAAATTGGCTTGCGTATTGCATTGGTAGAGGTGTCCTAAAACATGATTTCTTTATCGGAGACGCATAACGATGATTGCCAAGGGTTGTACGCGAGAGAAGGTTGCTTGATGATGCTCCCGAGGCCTAGTCCGAATATTGATGTTGGTGAATCTAGAAGTTACAGCCGTTGCCTTCGAAGTTTAACCCTATCGACTGTCTATGCTCAGTTGTGATATATGGCGACACTAGGCGGCCGCTGTCCAGCAGTAGCAATCGATCAAGTTGTTCAACCATCTCAGCATTCAGGTCCGTAAAGGTCATTCTCCTCGTCCGATGCGCTCGGGATGGTATGCCGCGGTCCAGGCCATTTCGATATCTTCGTCCGTTTCGCACATTAATGTGTGGAAGCGGCCACCGCTACCAATGTCGACAATGTCGCCAATCTCTGCAGCCTTGTTGTTTTTCTCCGGGTCCAAGGTGAAGCCGAGACAGGAGACCTTCTTCGTCACCACTTCCCGTAGGTATGCGCTTTTCTCCCCGATACCGCCTGAGAACACCAGGGCGTCGACCTGGCCATCTAGCTTGACAAAATAGTTGCCGACATAGCCAACGACCCGGTCGACAAAGATGTTGAAGGCGAGCTTGTGAGTATCAGGAGCGTTAGGATCGGCGATCTTGGAGAAGTCGGTAGTCCCCGTCAACGCCTTCCAGCCGGACTGTTTGTTGAGGATTTCTTCTGCAGTAGAAATGTGCAGGTCTTTGGTGCTATTGGGGCTCAGCGCACTTGCGTCGGAGGTATAGTGGAAGACCAAACTGGGATCGATGTCTCCTGTGCGGGAACCACCGGGAAGTCCTGACACCGGAGTAAGACCCATGGTAGTGTCTATCGACTGGCCATTCTTGACGGCGCATGCAGAGGCTCCGCTGCCCAAGTGAAGAGCTATGATACTGGTCTCCGAGGTGGGCTTGTTTAGATGCTCGGCCACTCTGCGGGTGATGTATTTGTAACTAAGCCCGTGGAAGCCGTATTTACGGAGGCCCTTCTCTTGCGCAATCTTCTGATCTATCGCGTACGTCTTGACATAGTCGGGCATGGTATGATGGAACCCGGAGTCGAAGCAGGCCACATTGGTGACTTGGGGCAGCTGCTCCTGGCAGGCAATCATGAGGCTGACTGCAGAGGCATTGTGTCTGTTTGCACACATCGGTCAACATATGGTGCCATGACTATGCTTAAAAAGGGGAGAAGTAACGTACAGAGGGGCCAGATCCGACAGTTTCTCGATCTTGTCAAACGTCTCTTCGGTTATCAGCTGGTCCTCTTCGAACGAGCCGCCATGCACCACCCGGTGACAAGCATAATGAATGTCTTCTTTGTTCGAGGCCTGAGGGATTTCGGAGTCTGTTAGGAAGGCATTGAGGACGTGATTGAATGCGGACTTGTGGTCGGCGACCTGGCCGAGCTCGCTGGTCTCTTTGAAGGAGCCCCGGACATACTTGAGATGAGCCGGGGGGTTGTTGATGTCGGAGATCTGGGCACTCGCTAGTTTACTCAGCTTCTTGTCTCCATCCTCGCCTTCTTCGAGGTAGAGGGTTGTCTTGAGACTGGAGCTCCCTGCGTTGATGCTGAGGATGAGGAATGAAGACATGGCGGGGGAAGAGGGGGACACTGATATTTTGGGGGTCGCGGTAATGGCTGGGCTTTGTCTTTGCGGCGTTGATGGGATCGAGGGGCATCGGCAACTATTTTGTAGGCGTCGCGAGGGACGCAGATATATAAAGTTGGGGGTGGGAATCACCGCTGAAGTCACTTAAGATGTCACACCACAGGTGCATACACAGCGATGATACTGAGGGCTTTTGGGGGACCGTGGACACTATATTATGCCTCACCTTATGTTACCATCAAACCTAGCAATGCATCTTTTCAGGCTCTTATGCTGAGGACAACGGCTCATGCATGTGGAAGATACAGCATGAGCCCGAACACTAGTTAACTACAGGGCTTGTCATCAATGTACTTCCGACAACCATCAACCGCAGCCTTATTAATGCGCTGAGCTGATGATGATGAGATAGCCATCCCTGCTTATCTCTTGCGAGAACTACATCCCATCTCAGATCTTAATCAGTCATTGCCGAATGGATCCATATAGTAGCTGTCATCGTGCACACCATCCCATCTCCTCAGCAGATGCTTTTCGCTCGTCTGTCGGATTGCGACATTGCAAGTCATGATACGGCTGAGATAGCTGCCCAGTTCTTCATGCTGCTCCTGTTGCTGCATCGCCGGACTCTCAGCATTCCTTGCCAGGTCGAACTGGTCTTCCTTCTCACCATGCAGTGACCACCACCACTGGCTGCCGCTGATCATGCCATCTTCGTCGTCGCCATTGTAATCGAACTCGTCGCCCGGCAATGCAGCACCGCTGTCGATGGCAGGTACATCTGCTTTGGCGATCCAAGCCCATTTCCGGAGAAACCATGGCTTGACTTCCCAACTTCGCTTGCTCCAAGGAACACTGTCACGCATGCTCCTCCCGTACCGGGCATTGGCTCCGTGTCGGCCCCAGCAGACCATCCCGTCGTGCATGATGTCCAAAAACAAGCTGCAATGGTCCAGGCGGTTGAGACTAGAGAGATATACTGCCATACTGCGGAAGTGTGGGAACGGGATACAATCCAAGTAGCAGGGATGCGGGAGCATGATCTGGATCGCCGTGGGACGGAGGTCGGCTGGGATCGTGTGGATGTTTGCAGTGGATGAGCTTGAGAATGGGGACGGATGGTCATTGACGTACGAGGCCCTGCTGATACCGAGCCCTGTGGCGATGGACAGGGTGGCAGCGAAGCAGGACTCCCCAACCAGCTGCAGGTGATTGAGATAGGGCGACGGCAAATGTGAGCCAGGTGGGAAGAAGGATGACCGTGCAGTTGTGCGTGACACCTGTGCGGGCGGAGAAGCGCTCCATGAAGACAGCAGTGTCGGAATGGAATAAGGAGAGATTGTCGGAGGAGGTTCTCCTGCTGAGACTCCAGAGCGACGAGACGGCGGCTGTGGAGGCTGATATAGGTTGTGCTCGGTGCCTTCAGGACAGCCCCAGAAACATCGCATGTCTACTGCCTCGGGGTCAGGCGGTAGGAAGTAGTATAAAGCGGTGGGTAGCGGTAATACTGGATCTGGCAGACGTATCTCTTCGTCCGACAAAGGACTGTGAGTATTCCATGATGGTTGTGTATGGTCGAGTACCTCGCAAGGCTGCGATACTCCTGAGCAAAGTATCGAATTATGGCCGGCTGCTGACGATGAAGGTCGTCCTTCCGCTTGGGCAGAGGGTGCCTTGAGTCGTGGTTTAAGCCTCTCTAGCTCTTCTTGAACTTTGGTCGTGATCTCTTCTTCACGTCGTTGTTTCTGCTTGTCGCGCCAGAGCCGTTGAGATCTACGATTCTGTTCGCGACGGGCCTCTGTCAGTTTCCGCTTGTACTTGGCTGGTGACCCCGCCGAGTCTTTCGTCGCAATTGCTGCGCTTGATGCGACCATTCTGTCGTCTCTGAAGAAGTATCGGCTGTCCTGGCGCCGAGGTTGGGGATGCTAAGTAATGCTCCTAGACGCTGCTTCTGCCTCCGCTTGGTAAGTGCTCAAGGATTGGCCGGGAATACCTGAAGTTGGCTCAGCTGCCGAAACGGCCGTAAGGACATTCAGGCCGCCCACGAACCATCTCATCGACCTCCCTTGCTTCGGGATTCCCTGCCTGAACTACTGTGCGCCCCAAGCATGCACTGACCACACGATGCTGCTCCGGCCAACCGCCTGGTGATTCCATTTGGCGTCGGTGACTCATGGCTTTTGCTTCGACTTCCGGAAGAATTGGTGAAGATTCGTCCCCTATGGACTCACAGCCATATGCAGATGACAGAAGTCCCTATCCACCCAGCACAACATACAAACAGCCCATGCGTGACTTGGAGCCTTTGTCGAGCGGACCTGGGCCTCATCTGAAATAAAACGACGCATATACCTGCATAATCCCTGTGACTGATGAGATGACACCAAACACCACAGCAAGAATGAAGGCGCCGACGGCAATCCATAACGCGGCCCATTCCCTACGATTGCGGCGATCAAACCACCATTGCTTAAGATGGCGAGGTCTTGCTCCGTCATACTTGGCCTGGATTGCAGCCAAACGCTCTCCAAAATACAGATAGCTGCTGCACTGATATCTTGAGATACCGGCCATCTGTTTATCGATGCGAATTGCCTCGATGTCTACCTTGTGTTTCTTGCCGATTTTGCGGACCCTCCTGGCATGCTTGACCTTGCCAGTAGGGAAAAGGAGATACAGTGTATTGAGGACTTCTTCGAGGAAGCCATCGGGGTACATTCTTCTAGAGAAACTGTCAACTCGGCCAACGAGTCTCCTTCACTACATACCTCTCATCGGTTCGCTGATATTGCGCGAGCACTCGTGCGTGGCAAAAGATGTAGAGATACTCATCACCCTTCAGCATCAGGTGTTCGGATAGATTGCTCGTCCACATCAGGCGAATCCCTCCCGCTCTGGTCAAGGAGTCCGCAGAGAAGTCGGGAGTAAGCAACGTTGAAGCCGGCGAGAAGGCTGAAGGAGAACACGGTAGCAGTTCCTGGCGAAGGCGTTCTTTGATGGCCTGGTTCAGCGGTACATCCAAACTCGTCATGCACGGCGTAACGAAAAGCCACAATCCCACGGCCAAACACAGTGCGGCCTCAATTGCCTCCTCATCCCGACTGTCGCTCACCCACGCTGGTTTCGATGCCGCAATCTGTTCAGTGATATACCGGAGTGAAGATGTCTGATCGGCTGCTTGTCTGATCAAGTCAACCAAGCGAATGACTTCGGTGAGCGCCCTGGATTCTTCAAGAGCTGAAACTGTCCGGCTGTGGAGGAGCAGGTTGTTGAAGTGTTGGACATAGGGATCTGACCGTCGGATCCAATGAGTTGCATCCGCATTGTCGGCTCGCCATACTTTTTCGAGCAATTCTTTGCGATTTTTCTCGATGCTCTTGGCTTTCCACATCTTGGCTCTTCTGAACGATGTCTCCAAGCATCGCGATTCCTCTTCTTCCGCTGTAGAGAACAAGGCACGATGGGGCACTTATAGCAAGTGTTTCGAGGTCCTCTAATGCGAGAGACCATGACGTCTGCTGGCCATGCACAGCCATCACGATATGGGCGTGCATTAGTGCAAGGCACTTTTGTTCTGATTTGGTCGATTATTTGTTCAAGCGCTGAGGTTGCCTTGCGAAGCGCCTTGATTGCGCCACAGATTTTCCTGGCCTGGCAAGTTGGACATATCCCCTCCTTCCTTGTTATGTCTGCTCTTGATGCACTCTCCATGATGCGAGACCGCATCCGGAGACTCGACTGAGGGGCCATTAGTATATCAGGTCGGCAAATATAGGTATGTACCAATACCTATCACCATAGTTGCGCACACGGTTAGATCGCTTGGGCGACGAGGACTCGTCAGGCCGAGTCGATGACCCAGCCTGAATATACTGACTTCTGTCCTACATACACCAGAGTTTCGCTCATACATGCGATACAATTGGTGACTTTGAATTCAACGATGTCGTTGACTCGCGTGCAACCCACAGCGACTCAGGATCACATCTTATTAGCCCCTACCGGACGGTATGCTCCTAGGACGACCCCCATCGCCACAGAGTCGAGTCCTCCCCGGCAGGCAACGCATATGACTAGTGAGCTTCAGAGACCGGCGAAGGCTATAACTCTTTGGGGGCAATCCACCGATCAAGAGAGGGCTGATTGCGTTGGTACACAATGGGGGCAGAAATTCAATTCACAATGGTGTTGGAACGTCAAGGGTCCCCTCAATGATGACATTTGGCGGGAAAGAACTCTTCCTGTGCTGAATAGGCTCGAAAACGATAATTGTTCCCACCTATATGGTACAGGCGGGAAACACGAGATGCGAAGTTTTCATTTTTCTCTCCTTAGCCGCACCGACGACCCAGGAACCGCTTCGCCAACGGTGCTGATTATGATCGGTGACAGAAAGATCGGATTAAAGATGAAAAAACTCTTTGAGAACCATCCCCATTTTCAAGATCTGAATACTGGCTTCGGGATCGAAGTACTGGGCAAAAGTCGATTATTCAGGTTCCCGGCAACTGACGAACCACCTCCGGGAAGCAGTCAGCAAAGGCTGCATAGCCATTCCGCTTCATCCCTATGTGGTAGAGGTGTACTTGTGCCTATGCACCCGGGAACTATGTGCAAACGGGCAACTATAGGAGGCGTGATATGCAACCCCGGGACGTGCGAATTCTTTGCTGTCACCGTCGCACATTGTTTTTCTTTGGATAGTTCCCTTGCCCGCCCGGAAGACAGCGTTTCCAGCGAAGGTAGTTCTCTGGGCGAGGACTCCGAAGACGACGACATCACGGTGCCGGCGAAAAGTGATGGTAGTGAGGTATCGCAAGCCGCCACTGACGGCGACTGGCTCCTGGACGCGATCTGTGGAGCTTACACCGACACTTCGCTCCCCCGGACAGCAGCAGCGCTTCCTCTTAGCCCCAAACATTCAGAATATATTGGATGTATCAATTTGCAGAGGCGAAACTTTGAAGATGCTGCAGCATCGGAAGAATCCGCGCAATATTCGAAGGAGCTTGATTGGGCTTTGATACGCATCACAGTCCCGAAATTCCTGCAGATAAATCAGGTTGAAACGCCGTGGAATACCTGCTTATACCCCTCATCGGTTGTGCGTAATAGTGATGCGTTAGATTGCTACGCAATTCTAGCAGCTGGTCGTTCAGGGATTAGGGAAGTCAGCTTTTCTGGAACTGTCACTAGTGTGAAGTTTCCATGGAGCACAACTGCCCAAATGCTATGGACCGTGGAGGCAGACCTAGGTATGTGATTCTCAGAGTACTACCAACTCAAATGCATGATTCCGTCTCTCATCAATTCATGGGAACTTGACTGACGTTCTCTCTTTCAGCCGAAGGGGATTCTGGCTCTTGGATTCTCAGCACGAATGGCAACAGCGTGTATGGTATGGTGGTTGCTAGTATTCCAACATTACGGATCGCATATGTTGCCCGTGCGCAAGACATTTTTGAGAGCATTCGATCAGCCTGGCATATCAATTGTGATATTGATGATATGCTTCCCAAGGAGATAGACGGGGTTATACAGATGGGCCACAACCCACTGAACACATTCGGGAGCGCAGCAAAAGCGTCAAGTTCGACGAAGCCCGCTACTGGCAGCAAACCACACGGAAGCGAAGAGCCATCTCCATCCCGCAAGATCTCGTTGAGTGGTGCGTTCAAACTGATCTCACAGTATACGAGAAAGGCATTGCAGGCTCCACAGACCCTGGGAATGGGAATCCTTCCTTACACGATCCTTCCCCCCGTACAAATCCCGATCACTCCATTATCCTTCCTGGCATCAATATTAGCCACTAACACCCCTAAGACCTCTTTCATACCTCAGGAGCCGGAAATCCCTGTCCGTGTGGACATCGCTGTGACATCTGATATCATAGCTGCTGCCGGTGCAGGACACAAGTTGTCACTAATGCTCAATGCCATTAGGTACAACAAACCCAGTAACGGTCTCGAAGTCCATAGCATCTCTAGTGAGGTCACATTCCTCGCGTTCATGCTCAAACAGATCGGTGTGGTGCTGCAAGGGAACGATCATGTCTACATGCCTGAACCTTTTTCCATCGCCCAGCGGATAGCCCATACAAGCAGCTCAGTCTTAGACGAGCTGGAAAGAACGCTGAATTATGTACAGAAATCGAGCACCGATCCTACCACAACCCAACCTACTTCCCAGCAGGGGTTCGAATTGTCGTTCAAAAAGCATAGAGTTGCATACCTTCTTGCAACTATCGAGCACTTGAGACTGAGCCTCACTGCGATGCTAGGGATATTACAACTTGCAAAGTTAATGGCTTCTACAATCCCATGGTTTGAAACCCCCACCAGGGCTTATATGTACAGCTAACGTAATATTGTAGTTACCCTGCTGAAGAAGCTTCTACGAAAGACGAAGCAATTAGACACCAGCGGCTTGAGGCTCAAAACAGTCTCGTTGTCCGCCAATGGCAGATGACGAAGATTGACAAACTATTCCAAGATTCGCAAAAGGAAGAGGAAGAAGATGGGCTAGAGCATATTCCTACGGGTTTTGTAGGAGAATTTCGTCCAGTATCTTTGGGCAAAATAGATGATACCCTGGCTCGGATCATCAGATCGTCCGCAGAAATGATTGATGCCTCTAATCAGGCTATCGATGAATTTCTCAAACGGTGGACCAATTGGCGAGAAGTGGACGAACGAAGAAACAACTGCCTTTTCCGTTGCCTACCTGATAGTTCAGACTATGATCTCGCTCGAGGCAAGGGAATGCCATTCACTGAACAACGGGCGCAACAAGAAGACAGTCTTTTAGGTGTTGGAAGCTGTTATGTCGGAGGTCCTCGTGTGAACTGGAGTATTCTGCATTCGGCCGCGGCATCCGGCGAAGTTTTGTGGAGGCAGGAACGAGATCTGGAAGATAGGCTGCTTTTTATCGATGGGATCGATGAGGGAGAGATGAGGACAAGCCACCGCTAAGCCGGTCAGTATCGTATATTCTAGAACATCCTGAACCCAGCCCACGTCGCCCTGGTTGTCAAAGCGCAGCAGCTGAGGCACTGACGCACCTTCATTCGGAGTCGGAGCAGGTTTAACAACAGTGTCGGGTTCCTCAGACCATACTTTGACAGCAGACGAGAGAACAGAGCTGAGGGACTTCATTTTTGGAGGCAAGAACAGGAAACTAATTAGTCGTTTTTTTGCATGACAAACGCGAAGCTAGAATTAGCGGAAGCCATAGATCGGGTAACAAAACTAGAGAGCAGCAAAAGAAGCAAAACCTGGATGAAAGTGGATGAAAGTGGCGATGAATATGGGTGAGGGTGCCTTTGCTGACTTCCTGAAAGCGTTGGAGCGATTGAATTCTTATAGAAACTGAGGTACAGGTAGTTCTTTGTAAATTGTACTCGTATGCTGAGAGGGAGGCTGGCCAGACAGTTACGTTTTCGTTGTAATAGTAACAATGACTCTACTGTATACTCCTCTGGGTATTACAGATACCCCAAAGTATATTAGTGGGTTGAGAAAGACATCGCTATTGTGTGGTGAAAGGGCTGATCTATGTGTGTTTCTTTAAGAGAGGGCGAGACAGTTGTTACTCGACAATAACCCGTTTTTTTATTTCTAAACTACCGCCTCTAACTTCTGGTCAATCTGGCCCTGGATATCTTTCCCCCTTCCAATTCTCGATACAGTCCTCGTATCCTTCCAGGAATCAATGGCATCGCGAAGCCTGTATGAAGTGGGATAATTGACAGGACTCTCGCCTCCTTGGAAAATGAGTAGATCGTAGACAAAGGCCCCGAAGAGGGCTCCTGTGATGGTGCCAACCCAAGGACCCCAGATCCACCACCAGTCGAACAGCGTGAAGACCTCGGTGCTGAACCCGGCCATCCATGTCACCAGTCTCGGGCCCAGGTCTCGTGCCGGATTGAGCGCGGTGCCCGTGTTGTACGAGAAGGCCATGCACAGGGACGACACGAGAAGGCCGATGATGAAGGCGTGCATGCCCGCTCCGGGCGGCGAGTTGCTCTCGTCTCCGAGCGCAAGCACCGACCCGGACGCAATGGCCGTGGCGGTGAACTCGGTGAAGAAGGCGGCAGGCTTGCTGAGGTCCTGGCGCGGCGCGGTCCAGAACGCCGGGCCGACCTGGGTCACGTCCGACGACAACGAGTACTTCTCGATGGCGTCCCGGTACAGGCCGTACACGATCCCGGACGCGGTCAGAGCCCCCAGGATCTGCGCGACGACGTACTGCCAGCACAGCCGCCACGGGAAGCCACGGAACACGGAGAGCATCAGAGACAGCGCCGGGTTCAGGTGCCCTCCGGAAACCCCGCCGGCCACGTAGATCCCTATCATCACCCCCAGACCCCAGGCGAGATAGGCCGAGAGGAGGTTGCCGTAGTCGTCGGGTGCCGTCATGCGCACGATGCTCCCGCACAGCCCGATAGTCATGAAGACCAACGTGCCCAGAAACTCGGCAAACGGCTGCCGAAGAGGCGCCCTGCACCTGCCCCAGAAATTGTAGTAAGGAGGTTCCCCATCAGACTCGTCCGTCTGGGAGTACGAATCTGCGCTGCCGTCGTCGTCCTCGGGCGCGAAATCCTCCTCCCAGTTGATGTTGTTTGGATTGTGGGGGTAGCTCAATCCCGACTCGTGCTCTGCAGTGTCGGCTAGCCCTTGCAGCCGCCTGCGCGCAGCCTCGACCTCGGCCGCTTCACTCTGTCGTGACTTTGTTCGTCGGAGGTAGTCCAGATCTTGATACCTCCTTTGGCGATGTGTCGAGCTTGCCGTGGAACGGACTGCGGCACTGTTGAACGGGGTGACCTGGTCCTGGGCGCTGATGTGCTCGTCGGCAAGGTCCTGCGTCTGCCTGCTAGGCCGGGAACGTACCGATTCTGATGCCTGCTGCGATACTGAGGCTAGGTCCCGTTCGTCGGGATGATAGGTCGACGCCCGGGCCGTGGTAGCTCGACGCAAGAGATCTGGAGGTTGTTGCTGGTGGTGGTTTTGTTGTTTTTCTGCACTTGGACGCCCTCTCCGCTCGTGAGCTTCTTCGTTCCTATCCGGTGTGACGCCAACTTGAGGTGCCGGCTCCGTACCGCTTGGGGCCGAAGGCTGTATGGACAGTTCGTTTGTAGGCTTACGCTGAAACTCTGCTCTGGTGTGGGACGTCGGCGATGGTTGGCGGTCGCCGCCATGGTAACCTGCTCGTGTGCGCCTCGACTCCATCCTCGGGCGTTTTACACGGGGCAAAGGCGCCGCGAATCCCCAGATCGGCTTCTTCGTGTACTCTTCCCCATGACGGGCATCGTTGTTGTGCTCGCGAGATGCTCGACTGACGACACTGGTCCCCTTCCGGCTTCCAGTCTGCTGCCTTTCACATCGCGTCGAGGCTCGCGGGCCGGCGAGGGTGTATGGCGCACTGATGGTCCGGGGATTTGGTGGGCCTGGCTGTCGATTGAGCTCATGGCTATGAGAGCCTTGAGTTTCTCCATCGATGGAACTGCCGCGGTACGACATGGTTTGCTATCGAGAGGCCGGTGTGAAGAAAGAGAGGACGCATAGACAAAATGGTCCAACCAGAAAAAAAAAAAGAATTCAAACACTCACACAAAACTTGAAGCCATACGACGAGCACGTCGGTGGGTGTCAGGGAGAATGACGGATAGGATGAATCGGCACTCTTCAACGGTACTCGTACTCGTACACCTGTGTCCAGTGGCGACCTGTCACCAGAATAGCACATCCCCATGTAGCAGTAGCAATGTCCCCATTATAGGACGGCAAGGATGATGATATGGGTATCAATCAATGCTTTCCTGAGGCTCGAAGGGGGAAAATTTCTCTGAGAGAGAAGAAATGAGGAATGAGTGGATGGAACGAGGAACGAGGATCAAGGATCGCCCGGACAGCAGATCCTCATGGCGACGTCAGTGGTGGATGGACAGATGGATGCGTGCGGATACGAGTCGGAACATGCATCCTCCAATGGAAGAAGAGCGAATGGATAAGGCGTTCCTGAAGATCGCAGCGGGACGAGGGGAGAAAAGTCTTTTGAAGCCACGAAGACCACGGCGAATGCCATCAACGCCATAACTGGGATGGTGATAACCTTCCACAGATGTTCCCCTTGACTGGGAGTAATCTTCTATAGGCGAAGTTCCCCTTGACTAGAAGTATCCCGCAGTAAGACACTGATAGAGAATCCAATCAACGCATCATTCTTGATCGTAACTTCGTAATGTCCCTCTACAACATTGGAGTGCTTCTCCGGCTCAACCTCAATATAACCGTCCTACCCCTGCGCTTCCCCCATTGACCTGCAGGTCTATCGCGTACATCGCACGGACCCTTTTGCTGCCGTCGTTCTGGAACCAGCCCATGTTCAAATCTGCATGAAAGACAGCGAGCTTACCATCCTTGGTAATGTCGATACCGCCCGGGATGTACACTTGCGCCGGGGTACTGCCGGTCTGCAAGAACGAGTTGGGTTGCTTCGTGTACGGCCCAGTAATGCTTCGGCTCGTGGCATAACGGATGTTGTAGGGCGTCGTGGTGAAACACTGGGAGCTGTAGAAGAGTATATAAGTCCCTGAAGAAGCGTCATAGGTCAACGCGGGAGCCTCGATATTTGGTCCGTCGTCCGGATCGTTCAGCAGAACAGTGAGCGGACTGCCTATGAACGAATAACCGTCGTCGGGGCTGACTTCTTGCAATACCAGCGGCGTTGGGGCGATGGGGTCGACGCTGTTCGCACAAGCACCTCCATGGCCGACTGAATTTCCATCCACCTTGTAGATGACATATTGACGGTTCGTGGAGGGATCCTGGAAGCCATCCGCATCGATGGCTCCGCCGGCGCTCAAGTCACAAAACAGGGGATTCTGGACTGGTGTAAATGGCCCTTCGGGATTCGGAGCGGTGGCTGCCGCGACGCAATGTCTCCCCGGGCTTTCGGCCATGGCAACCGAATAGTAGAGCACGTAGATGCCGTTCTCCTGTCGATCCAAAGTTAAAAGATCCTGTCTGGCTGCGTGTCCGTTCCTTGGACAAGATGTTAAGCACGTACCAGTTGTGTCACGTCAGGAGCCCAAACGTGAGGCGGCGAGGCAGCCCAGGACGGCAGGCTAGGCAAGGCATCCCAACCATCGTGCACCGTCCACGTTGAAAAGTCTGTCGAGGATGCAATCAGAATATTAACATCAGCCGGGTTCCCATTGACGCCCGCATAGGCCATCCAGCTCCCATCGGTCAATTGAACCACAGACGGATCCTGGAAATTTGAGGCAATAACCGGGCCGCTGACCTGCCGCTTGTGGTGCGGCGCGGCCAGTGCCAGCATCAGAGCCGCAAGAAAAAAGAACGACAGCAACAGCATGAGTAGAAAAGTACGAGCACGCTGAGAGGACGATTGAGTTGAGGCATGGCTGGGCCTTTTGATCCATTTGATCTTTTTGGGATCTCCCAAGAGGGAAGATGTACTTGATTCGGAATGCATCGTGGGCTCCATCACTCGCAGCTGGTGCGAGATCTTCACCTTTCGATTGTTGGTAAAGAGTTGCACGCAACAGTCTCCACAGATTGCGGTAGCTGCTGGTCTTTTCAATAATGCCAGCGCTGGTCACGGGAATGCACGCCATTCAGTGATGAAAGCATGCTATGAGACACGCCATAGACGGCCGCGAGCATGCCATGGAGCAATCCCGCAATTGGTCGGTCGGTTGGCGAATCCGACGAGGCTCAATGGTCCAGCGAGGAACAAGATGACGCGACACAAGCTCCGTGAGAACAGAGAGTCTCTCCGGCAAGCGAGTCCAGAGGCAATAAATGCTGCATGCCCATCAATGATGGAATGAGGATGGACGGGCCAGGGAGTGACAAGGGCGCCCGCGCACAGAGTTTTCCGCTCTGTTTTCCGTTCCCTTTTCGGGTGCGGATGATAGGGCATGCGCAATATTGTAACAGTCGATCATACTTATATAGAAACAAGAGGCCGATCAAGTACAGTGTTCGTGCACGAGTACCAGTCCTGTAGCATGCGAGGAGATGGAAGAGAGAGAGGATGTCATCGAGAGCCCTGCGGACGGAGAAGAAGAGAGATGATGGCTGCGCCAGCGATGCATTTTCCTACGCAGTTCGGTTTGTTGATCAAGAGTGGACGGTCACTTGTTACTGATGCCAGCCTCTTCGTTGGGCTGGTCGTGAAAGAAGGAATAAGAAGAGGTGGTCAGTGGCCATTGAAGGCTGCGCCTTTGGTATCTTGACCTTCCCGACTTTTCTTTTACCCCGCGCAGCCCAACGACGAGGACACTCAACACTATCACCATATGCCATCGCCATCGCCCTCACAGTCGCCATCTAATGCTCTCCTTCTCCAATCTCATCCTCTTCGACTTTGTCTCTGTCTCTGTCTTGGATCAACCTGCACCCATTTGTCACTTGTGATGCGCGCAGACTACACCCCCAACCTCGATCTGACCACGCTTCTTCGCCCATCGCTTTAACGATACCCGTCGAGAATGTTGCCTCAGCAGAGTCCATGTTGAGGTTGATTGGGGGATGTATACGCTATCAGATAGTGTGAAGCAAAAAAACAAGAAAACAAAAGCACTTTGCGCAAGAAAATGGATAAAATTGACGGCGAAGGTCAAACGAGCCGAGCGAAAATGCGTTCCACAATCTTGGACAGAGCAGGCCGTGTAAGATGCGAGAATTGTTCTCATTGCAGCAGACAATCAGGTAAGCCATGCAGCCTGTGATCAACCCAGCCATTAAGTTGCAGGGTGAAAATCTGCTGTTTCGATACCAGCAGAGTCAAGACGGTCAGTGTCACTTGTTGCAGTCTTGTGGTTCGTTTGTTTGTTTCTTGCTACATTCGTTGGCCAGTACACTGTGCGATCCTGTAACTCACCTCCAGAGCTCATCTTATCGATATGTCGAGTGTCAAATGCTTCCCTACCCGTGGGGCCTCCTTTCCTCTCGTGAATTTGAGCTCTATTCGCGGTCTCTGGTGGACTTCCTCAGCTCCATCACCGTTGCCAGCATCCAGCTAAGACCCCGACCACCTCATCCGAAGACCCCATGTCCGGATTCAGAACAGTGCCAAGAGGAGGAAATCGGATTCCCGAGCGAGGTCGGCCAGTCTCGCACACTTCTGCAGCATCATCGAATCTCGGTCGTGGATAGGAAGCGGTGGCTCCTTGAGATGCCCCGACCAGGTACCGCACGTGGAGCTCGCGCAGGTCCTCCTGGACTGCATCGCCTCCATGGTTCAATATTCTGTTTCTGATGCTCCGATGGTCATCTCCGTGAGAGCATGTTTTCCCACTTACGGACCATGGCATCAGATATTCCGCTCAATCGTCTCTGCCGTCCAATGGCGACCTGTCCGGAAAGCACGCCCGACTGCCTGGAGGACCACGAGTCTTCGCCATGAGTTCCTGTGCCTTGGCATCGTTCATCTTGGTCTGATAGCGCTGGTGTTGTACATGCGCTTTCGCTGGCAACGTGGGTGGCTTGATTGGAGGATAGAGCTTGTTACGCCTTCGCACGCCTTGGCACTCCTCCGGCGCACTTGGCGTGCTTCCGCCACAGGCTCCTCCTGCTCAAACGAGGCCGGAGTCACCGTCAACCTCCTCTTCTCTATGGCCGCGCACGAGCCTGGGCAAAGCTTGATGGCGCCACGAGGGGATCGGACAGAGCTCTGTTCGATCCAACTCTGCAGGATGTCACCATCCGACTTTGTCACCAGACGACTGGTTCGAATCGGTTCCTGAGATCTCGTGGGCGAGATGTGGAAGCTACAAAATGGGAGAGCTTCCTCGCCTGTCTTCCACTCGCCTCCAGCCTCTTCTCGAGCTTCGAGACCGCATTGACGTACCGTTGGCGTAATAGCACCATGAGAACTCACTTCGGCCACAAGGCGGCTTTGCTGCTTGGCGCCTTGTGCACCCAGTGCGCTGCTCAGACATTCCAGAGACTCGGTGCCTGTCCTAGCTTAGGATGCATTCTTCCCCCAGACCAAGTTGACTTTCTTCCTGGGCAATACTTCGATATCCGTGTCGAGGTCCATGCCCCCATCAATGGCAGTGAGGTTGTCCCAGGTTACACCACTCCCGACACCAACTTCACCTTGACTGTGGCAAAGGATGGGGCCAAACCGGAGCCGGCAGCCACCTTCTTCAACGTGGATGAGCCCAAGCTCGAAACCTGGAACTTTACCTGGTACGAGGATCTCTTCGCTAAGGCCGCGCACACTCCTTCTCTTGTCAAGGTCGCGGCCAAGGCATACAGGCGGGTGGCCTTGTATGAACCGGGCAACTACATCGCTACTCTCAATTACCGCAATGGGTCACAGACCTATGCCAACTGGACGGTCCGAGATATCGCGCCCCAAAGGAAGGCCAAGAATATTGTCATGTTTATTGTATGTGTGTCGCTGTGCTTCAAGTCCTGTGCCGCAGTCTAACCAATCGCAGGGTGATGGTATGACAACCAACATGATCACAGCTGCTCGATTGATTGCTCATCAGCAGATCAATGGCAAGTATCAGACCAAGATGGCCATGGACTCGTTTCCAGTTTTGGGTCACCAGATGACACACTCACTGGACTCATATATCACTGATAGTGCCAACTCCGCGACAGCCCTCTACACCGGCCATAAGTCGACCGTTAATGCCCTGGGCGTCTATGTGGACAGCTCCAAGACTCCTTTTGATGATCCCAAGGTCGAGACCATTGCCGAGCTATTCCACCGACTCTGGAAGGGCGGCGTTGGAATTGTCTCGACGGCCTTTATTGCTGATGCCACTCCGGCCGCGCTAACCGCCCACACACGTGACCGTGGCCAGTATGGCGCCGTGGTTGATTCTTTCCTCAATGGAATCACCAACTATACTTGGACAAATTGGACCGGCCCCGATGTGCTTTTTGGAGGTGGTGCCGAACAGTTCTACCCCGGAAAGGGCTCGTTCCAGGGCAAAGACTACTATGCCGAGTTTGCAAAGAAGAACTACTCAGTTGTCCTGAACAACACCGCCTTGCAGGCGACCTCAAACTCCTCCAAGACCTTGGGCATCTTCTCGGTCAGCAACATGGCCAAGTGGCTCGACCGCAATGTCTACCCAGAGAACGTTGACAAGCCCAAAACCGCACCAGACGGGTCCAACTCTTCTGCCACTGATCAGCCGGGCCTGAAGGAAATGACCCTTAAGGCCCTCGAGATTCTACACACTCGTCATCCAGATGATGGCTTCTTCTTGATGTCGGAAGCGGCAAGTATTGACAAGCAAATGCATACACTAGATTACGATCGTGCTCTTGGTGAACTTCTTGAACTTGATGATACCATCAAAGCCACATTCGCCTACCTCGAGTCCATTGGCGAGCTGAATGACACTCTTGTCCTCGTCACTGCCGATCACGGCCACGGTTTCGATGTCATGGGCAGTGTCGACACCAAGTTTTTAAACGCTCAAGACAATGACCGTGACAAGCGAGGCGCCGTCGGTACCTACCAAAATTCTGGTCTGTCCCAATATCTAGTGGCAAACCACTCTGCGCCTATCGGTAGCGACCAAAATCTCGTCTATAGCCCTGGTGTCAACTTCCCCGCCAATTGGGATCCCAGGTACACCTTGTTTTCCGGGGTTGCCGCCTTCCCTGACCACAGGGAGAACTACCAGGTCCACAAGAAGGGACCTCGCATTCCCGCGCTAAATATCACCGGCTTCGATAACGAAGACTTCTTCGTCAACTATGTTGACGCTGTTACTGGTTTCATTGTCAACGGAACCCTTCCTGTTTCAGTAAGCCATGTGCTCTCTTTTTGTTTCGTCTCCATTTACCTGTTGCGACTAACACTCATCTTCTCCCACAGGCCGATCAAGGCGTGCACTCCCTTACCGACGTTCCCGTGTTTAGCCGTGGACCGTGCCAGGAAAGTTTTGGCGGCGTGTTTGGCAACATCGATATCTTTTTCGGCATGGCCGCATGCCTTGGCTTGAGCCGTACCAGTCCTTCGCCCTAGACGAGATGTAGTGTGTAGTGCAGACAGGGCTAGGCCTGTGGCTATAGACGGGGATATTCTCTCATGAGGCCACAGGGTGTGCTCGAGAAAAGTCTCCGTAATGATAATACGTCTACTCTATGTCGTGTAGTATGCATCCCTGACTTTCGACGGTGACAGTCCCCAGTGTAGACGAAGCTCTCTCCTCTCTTGTCCTCGTCTTCCTCGGGTATTTGGAGAATCAGTTAGGGAAACGGGGCCGCAGCACCTTGGCGACCTGTTTCTAGGGAAGAGAGCTTTGACTGTGGCCTGTCAACCTTTAGGCGGGAATACTGCCTGTCATCGCCCACGCTGCCAGAGCCTAGACCAGAGGGTCATGGAAGTACTAGCAACGGCTCCAATTGCTCTGATGCATCAATGTATCAATGCGTCAATGCAGTTCTCGACTGTTGTCGCCCGAGAGGATCTGGCTGTCCTGCTTAGACTGCTCCGCCTTCAATCCCGTGATGCCCTTCTAAACGTCCTGTTGCTCGGGGCACCTGTGCGTCCGCCTTGTTCTCGACGGGAACCGTAGGACCGTGCTCTACGGGCCATCTGGATCGGTGCAAGGGACTGTCTCCTCTGCTATGGGCTGTAGTTCCCCAGCCAAACTACGACGAATGCACGCGTTCCCGAGTTTCACCACTGCTAAATATGGATTGTGTCGTCCAAAACGGCCAGTGGAGAAATGGGTAAGTCGTGGTAGCATACAATCACCTTTTTATCGCCGTGCAACACTAGTTCCTATTTTTGATCCTAATGTTCTCTCGAAGAGGCATCACGCCTAAGTTATGGACTGCTGCAATCTCCAGGTGAACAGCGCAAACAGTAATAGAGTAAACGGATATTCTTTAGTGCTTGGCTAACAAACCTTGAATCCGGACGTGGTGAGAGAGTTATGCCAACAAGAGCGTGCTTGTTCTCGCACCTTAAACTGCCGCAGGGGTTGGGGATCGTCGAAATCACCAAAAAACCTATTTATAGGCGTTGCATCCGGCGGTGGCATCTCCAGGACGATCCAGAAAACTGTGCAAAGCGCTGTTAGTGAAAAGACTATTTCGTTGGCGTGACGACGGGCCACGGGATACTTTGACTTGGCCGACTTTCAGTTAGACGCTCGAGCACATTTCTATTTCTAACCTCATATCGCTTTCAAGACCTCAAAGGTTGTGAAACCTCTCGACGAGTCGAGTCGCCCATGAGTGAGGGACCTTTTCGTTGCCGGGATTTGATCCAGCATGCCATGTCCGCAAAGTGATGGAAGTTGTTCTCTCCTTCATCGCAGCACCAAAACAGGCCACTTGTTAGTATGAGAAAGTAAATATTGAGGCATATTCTTCTCTCATGGCTCCCTGACACCATGTGGCGTAGTGGGACCTGGCTACACGGACCGTCGAGATCTAAAGTTGGCTTCTGGAACATCGAGCCCCTATGCAATGTGCACAGGTGCTCTGACGGTCAATGGACTCGATATTACTCGGGGTAACACTCTAGAGACCTAAGATTAGGTTCTGCACAAAACCGACAGAAACTGTATATCTAAATTTGATACCTCGGGGCTCGAGAAGAAGAAGGATATAAGGGGTGAGAGAAGCCCCCCTTCTGTTTGACGTTTTTCATCCCCATCATCCTCACTCTTTGAATCCTTCTTCGCATCCTCTGTACACTATTCATCTGTACCGCACAAGTCATTCCTTTGTGGCGCCTTCGAAAAAGAAAAACGAAAATAAAATGCTTACACAAGTCCTCCTCCTGGCCTCGGCGAGCCTTGCCCTGGCCCAGTCCTCGACAGCTGCCCTTCCAGCAGCCAGCCCCATCACTATCGTCGGAGGAGCCTACAACGGCCAGCAGATCGTAGGCTACCACGTTGGGGCAGCCCAGGACTTCCAAGTCGCGCTATCATCGGTTCCTCAGGCCAGCAGCGGAGACACATTCTACTACAACTCAACATCCAGCCTGTTCATGGACACATCAGTCTTTGAGGGTGAAGGACTGCCATGCTATATCATTAAAGCGTCTGAATACTCGACCAACTCCGGTCCCCTCGAGTGTGGTGCAGCTACCGATGCGTCATACCCTTCAGCCGGTACGCTGGGCAGTGATGGCTCCGTCAACATCAACGGTATCCAAAGCTGGTGGGTTTGCTCTGTCAACACCACTAATCCGTACGGCGTCATTGCGAACACCGTCGTCGGCGGTTTCTCAGCTGCTGTGCCAAATGGACCCGGCATGTTGAATTGCTCGGCCATCACCGGATTGAAACTGGCTGGTGGTAGCGTGTTCTCATCTACGACGTCGTCTACTACTGTCCCGCCGAAATCCTCGTCGACCACAACTCTTCCTCTTTCTTCATCCTCCAAGAGCTCAGACAGCTGGGGCACTTCGACCACCGTGACCACCGCTGCGCCAGTGACTACCACGGTACCTGCATCGTCGTCTAAGGCGCACTCCTCTTCTACTTCGCCAGCGGCCTCCACGTATACAGGAGGTGCTTCCGCCAAGGATATCTCGAAGCTGGGCATGCTCGTTGCCGGTGGTGTAGCTATGCTTCTTTGAAAAGGTCATAGAAGATGAGAGAGTTAGTAATTGGGGACGTTTTTGTCGGATATCCACAAACTTTCACTTTATTTTGTTCTGACATCGTTTCCATGTGCTCACTCACATAGTTGATAATGCAAGATTGAAAGCGATATCCTTGGAAGTAGATAACCATGATGAATGGTGCCATGGACATAACCTACTATAAGACACCAGCTACACTGGATCGAGGAAAGGGGACATGGCCTGGTCACTCTTGAAGTTGCTAAAACGGCATTTCTTGTACCGTTGATTAGCGGAAGTGTAAAGACTCGGTACCTGGGCGGAAGATGGCCGAATCACGCCGGGTACATGATCCTTGTCTCTGGGGTAAGGTGTTCCTGGGGGAGCGTTAGCTGAGATGCCTCGTCCGGGACCGCTAGGTACTGTGAGGGTCCGTGCCACCCAGGCCCTTCAGAGACCCTGGAGTTCGGCCAGTGAATGTCATTCGTTCCCCTTCTACGCCTTGATGCGGCGACTGGTCAAACTCGGTCTTTGGTACCGAGTGTAGTAATGTGGAAATGTAAAAATTGATTTAGGAAGTATTTCGCAAAGTACGGGAAACTGGGCGTTTGGTCCTGTGAGAGTCAGAGTACGAGTATTCCACACAGCATGAAATTCGATGGGTTTTCAAGGGAGGACTCCTTAATTTTCAGGCCGGCGTGCATGCGTTATCTCATCAATCTCTTTCAACCTTTGTGGACGAAAAAACTCGATGATCGGCGCATGCTAAACACAAGCCACCATCTACGACGAGGCTCATTTACGTACAACCCGCTTCAGCTACAGAGTAAGCTATGTACAATTTTGGTTCGTGCTGAAGCCACAGGCCAGTCTACGTCAGTGATTTTCATTGACCTACACCTAAGTATCTAAGCTTCCCAAATGGCGTCTTGTTTGCGCGCTTATCTTCACCCTGTCGGAGGTGCAGCATCTTTCCTTTTTTCTTTCCGGGGTTCTGGGAAGACACAGAACGTACTTACAGAAATCTACAAAATATAGCGCCCTCGGCTGAACACAAGTCGTGAAAGAGGGAGAGAATGTCCACCTTGAACGCGGAGTCGGACTTTCAAGAGAAGCCGCCTTCGCAGCCAGCACCCAAGCCTTCGCCGTCACCGTCATCTCCTCCCGTCGAGGCGTCTCGATATCTCATCAAACGACCCAAAGCGCTACAATGGTTTCACAACGGCACTCTCGAACGAGAATCCGAGGAGGAACGGCAGGCCGGCCGCTTCGAATTATTTCTTGACTTGCTGTACGTGGCGCTTGTGGCAAACTTCACCGAGGACCTGGTCGAACACGCCTCCGGCGCAGAACTGGTCAAATACCTTCTGATTTTCGCACCGGCATGGCACGTCTGGAGCGATCTCCGCGAGATCATGAACTCGTACTACACCGACGATCTGGTCCAGCGCGGCGTGATACTGTGGGTCATGGCCCTGCTGGTTCTCTACGGTAACAATGCGACGCTTGTGGCCGAAGACATTGGCGCCATGAGGACTGCCGTCGGGGCGTTCATGACAGCTCGACTCACCGTCGCGTGCGTCTATCTGATTTCGTCGTTTGCGAGTTTCCAGCATCGCGCCCAGGCGAGGGTCATGGCCGCATTCATCCTGCTAGGTCTTTTGATCTGGATCCCCTTGTACTTTGAGAGCGTGAGCCTCCGCGCCAAAATTGCTGTTGCGGTCGTTGCAATCGTGTATCAGGAAACCGCGTGGATTCTCACCTTCGGCACATGGATCAAGCGATACTTGCGCCTGGAATACAGTACTGCCGTCGACATCAGCCACGAGATCGACCGGCTCGCTGCCTTCTACATCATCATTCTAGGGGAGTACTTGTACAATATCGTCGTGGGAAACCCTGCCGCGGTTGGACTCAATCTCGGTCTCCTGAAAGCTGTGTGGACACTGATCATTGCATTCTGCTTGAATTGGTTGTACCTCAACGGCGACGGTGGCGTGGACAGCGTACACCCAATCAGGCGCTCCGTTGTCACGGCTTTCATGTTTTTCGGCCTGCATATGCCCCTTGCTGCATCATTGCTGGTTGGTGGGCACGTCTGTGCTGTGAGTGCTGGGCATGAAGAGCTCAGCCGGGGTGAGCGTTGGTTGTTGGGTGGCGGGTTAGGTGTGGGCATGTTCTGCCTGTGGATCATGTCAATCTTGTTCCGTGGGCAAGATTCAAACGAATTGATTATGCCGAAAATGCCCAGAACAGGAATGAGATTGGTCGTCGCCATCATTCTGGTTCTGTTGCCGCTGGCCCATGAAGATCATTTCAACCCCGTCCAGCTCCTTAGCACAGCTATGGGTTTGATCTTGTTTGTAACCATCTGGGAGACGGTCGGAGGCCTGATGAAGGGGGCCAGAGTGTATGAGAAATGGGAGGCAAGGAATCCACCACAGCTTTGAGTAAAGTCAGTGGTCTAATGTTCTGAAAATCAATGGACTACATGGAGTCAAGACACAGGCCCTTTGCTGCCAGTGTTAACCATCAGGTCAAGCTCCGAAATCTCCTTACCTTTACAACTCCACAACTCCCCAACTCCCGATCATCCTTGGTGTTCGAGTATAGCGATGCTAGCTCTCGATCCCGGGTGCCGCTTGTACAGAATCGTTTTCCTCCAAAGATTTCAAGGAGCCAACCAGGTGAAACATAGATGGCTTGACGCTCAGCCATCTTCTACCAATGATCGTTATCGAATGCCATTTCATCTTCAAATCCTTAGGCGTAGTCAACTCAAAAGTATCGAAACTTTCCCCTCTATCCATGACCGAGCCCCAAACTTCAGTGAAAGGTCTCTCAAGCCTGCGTTCACGAATCCGTGGCAATCCCGGGAGAGGATCGCGTCTCAAGGGAATCGGCGGGCTTACCACAATATTCGGGGACTACTGCCACTAGATATGGGACCATGAACGATTGAGCCTTGTCACTCACCATAGTTCCTGCAGATCGGACAATAGTGAAGACACAGTGTTCTGTCAGTTAACATAGACTACCTCGAGAACGAGCAGGGAGAGACTGTAGTCGATTTCATGCGTAAATTGAGCTTTTCAATCATCGACCTATGCTTGGGGCCAAACCTGACTGTTTGCAGCTCAAAACTGCCGTGGACCCGCCGTGCATCCCGAACTGTTGAAAGATCATGCACATGCAACACACTCCATTGGTGGAATAATATATACGTCCACGCAACCAGCGCTCAGATCAGGGCTCGGATTTTTGAGGTTGTCTGAGGTTTGGGCGAATCCGAATATAATACTGGCAATCCATGTAACAAAGACCAAGACTTTGACTTCGGCCGAGTGTTGACGATAAAGAAGTCTCCTACAACGTCCCTTCAGAATCCTTGGGACTGAAAGATTTGGACATGGTTGTATCTCTCACGCAGGAGCGCGTTATACGAACCAGTCTCGTGGAGCGAAGCTTGCGAATACCGAGCTGCACAAAGTTCGTTATCTTTTCATAGGATGGGGGAGGCCGATAAGTGCAACATCAATCAATCACGCAACGTCAAAGAAGATTCCTAATCGAAATCTTCAGGCCGCATTATTATTATGTAGCCGAGGGTCCTGGCGATACCTTGCGACATTCGGGTGGGTTATTGCAACATCGCCGGAAAGGGGAACTGGTGGAGCCAGCCGATACGGAGAAGGGATCCTCACCAGCCCAGCCTTGGTTTCTCACCCCCAAGCATTGTCAGAACCTCCAAGCACGACCGCCCGTGTGCTTCGAAAGCTTCCATGATCCTCTGTTTGTGACGAAGCCGTTGGGTTTCTTTCACAGATAGACGGGTTTAAGCCGCTTATTCTGCTGAGAACCCTACAGTCACAATACTTCCAAACGCCATGCCGGAGCGTTCTAGATCGATGCTACGGATCTCACACGACTTCTGTGCTGATCACGCCAGTCTCGCGGTCGATGGCACCATGGTTGCTCTACACCGAGAGAAACCTTCATGTCCCTGACGCACCCATGCATCCTGGACTTGGATGCACATGGTAGATGGTCCAGACCCCGCCCGGCCACCACTTATCCAATGCTTTGCTCTCGAAGATAGCCGCCACATGGCTCCATCCCATCACGCAATTTGCTTTCTCGGACACTGTCGGTTTCTTTTTTCCATTTCCATGCCCTAGAAGAAGCTAACGCGTGTGCAACGACGTATATAATAAGGATCCTCCCAGGATAGGTCTCGTTCTAGATCAGAGATGACCAGAGTTACCCAAGCAGCTACTGAAAATGTCTAGCAAAGAAGGTCTCGTTGAAGCGACGCCCGCCGGAGTCTCGACGCCCCGCAGGCGACAAAAGTGGTATCATCTCTTTGGCGAAGATGTTGTCTATGTATCAGTCGACGACGGCTATGCGCTAAGCTCAGAAGCCTCTTCCTTGGACGAGAACACTGTGGACAACCAAAGGAATGTCTTTTCTGCTCCCGAAGCCACTGATATCTACAAGTTTGTAGATGGCTTCGAGGGCACCCACCGCTTCGACCTTTCCGCGACATGGGATGCCCAGGAGGAGAAGAAGCTGGTGAAACGGGTAAGGCCCTTGCACTGTTGTATTTTGGGAACAGTAATGCTAATGCTAGTCTCAGATTGACTGGCTCATTGCTCTCCCTGCATGTATCATGTTCTTTGCTCTCCAGCTTGACCGTGGCAACATCGTTCAGGCTAATTCGGACAACATGCTCAGTAAGTTCATGGCCGACCCTTTCATATGCTGGAAGCGCTAATCCCTGTCTAGAGGACCTTGGGCTCAACACAAACGACTATAATAACGGCATGACCATATTCTACTGTTCGTTTTTGTTCGCAGAACTCCCATCACAAGTTATTGGGAAAAAGCTTGGGCCTGATGTCTGGATCCCTATTCAGATGGTACTCTGGAGCGCCGTGGCAATGTCGCAAGCCGCAATGCATGGGAGGACCAGCTTTTTCATTTGTCGCTGGCTGCTCGGAATGCTCGAAGGAGGTAATTATTCACCAGTGCCGGATCCCTACTGCATACTGACATAGGTCCAGGTTTCATTCCTGACACGATTCTCTATCTTTCGTATTTCTATAAGAACTCTGAGCTTCCCAGACGCCTCAGTTGGTTCTGGACGTCATACCAAGGCACGCAGATCGTTGGTGCCTTTTTGGCATATGGTATTCTTCACCTCAGAGGCCACAGTGGGCTGCATGAAGGCTGGAGATATCTATTCTTGATTGAAGGCTCCTTTACTGCACTGATCGGCATATTGACTTTCCTCTACTTGCCACCATCTCCTACGCAGACGGCTCGCAAGGGCTGGAAAGGTCTTTTGCGACCCAAGGCCGGGTGGTTCTCCGAACGCGAAGAGACAATCATGGTTACGCGAGTTCTCCGTGATGATCCGGGCAAGGCCACCATGCACAATCGTCAGGGCTTGACGGGGAGCCTGATGTGGGAAGCTCTAACAGACTACGATATGTGGCCAATTTACCTCATCGGCATGTCCTGGGGCATTCCGAACGGCCCTCCACAAGCATACATTACGCTCACTTGCAAGGCTCTCGGCTTCACCACCTTCCAGACCAATCTTCTCACCATCCCGGCATACACTCTATTTATCCTACAGCTGCTATTCTGGACCTGGGTATCAGAGAAAATCAACCAGCGCGTTCTTCTCGGCGTCATCGCCCAACTGTGGTGCTTGCCGCTTCTCGTCGCCCTGGTCACTTTACCGCCAGTATTCGCGGGATGGAAGTGGTCAAAATGGGCCCTATCTACGCTCCTGGTCGGCGCTCCCTACATCCACGCAATTCTCGTAGCCTTGACATCCCGCAATGCTGGCTCTGTCCGCACTCGTACTGTCGGCTCCTCGATATACAACATGTGCGTCCAGCTTGCGAGCATCTTATCCTCTCAGATCTACCGCAAAAATGACGCACCATACTATTACACCGGCAACAAAGCCCTCCTTGGGGTTTTGGGCTGGAATATCTTGGTTTTCATCGCTATCAAGTTCTACTATGTCACGAAGAACAAGAAGAGAGACAAGATTTGGGATAGCATGACCCGAGAAGAGAGGGTTCACTATCTAAAGACGACCACGGACAAGGGAAACAAGAGACTTGACTTCAGGTTTGGTTCATGAGTGCTACCATGAGCCGTTGGTATGTGCACCGAGACGATGATCTACAATAGGCCGTTTCTTTGCCTCTGTAGGGGTGACTATGACGAGTGGGGGAGTATTTTATCATGAAGACATATCATAAAGCCAAACTTGTAGAGCGATGCATAGCGGTAGAGAAGAAACTAGGTAAAAGAAATGTTGTATGCAGTTCTTAGGGCTGCAAGAAAACTGTCATTATTTGTATCTCAACCTTGATTACAGTCATAAGATTGATTTGTGCTCAGATGTCTTGTGTATGTTGCGGATTGTCTCAACGTATCAGGCACACACATCGAGACCACTCCACGTGAAAGTGCAAGTTCGGTATTGACGACTTCAGCGTCCAAGATTGCGTGATAGGCCATGGTATCTCCGAAGAGTGCAGAGGCGTATCTCTCGTCATTTTTGCTAAGAATGGCGCAATACGCAAAGCGGCCGAACGGCTCTCGTTGGCACTTACACTCGCAAGATAAGCGACTTCGTATGGAGGTGGATGCCAGCCCGGGCTGCCGGGATGTCGTGATCGTTCTAGATTATGCGTGAGCAGTGCCGGAATCCGAACGTGATTTCCTTTCCCAATCATCATATATTGAGCTCCTCCTGCCAACTTGAAGCTTCATCTTCGTGCAAGAGGCTAAGACTGAGACTTGGACTGAGACAGAACCTTCAGTTACAGAGCATCGGCGGAAAAAAATGGCTCCCAGCGCAACTCTACCAGTCAGGACAGCCGACTCGGTCGACGCAGACACGTCCAGACCCAGAAATGAGAAGCCACTGAAAAAGAGCGGCGTTCTAGATGCTGCGTTCGAATATGACGAACTCACCCCGGTAATCGGCAGGGAGTATCCCAAGGCCAACATCGTGGATGATATTCTGAATGCATCCAATTCAGACCAGTTGCTTCGCGATCTGGCTATCACCAGTGAGTACCACTGTACCTCCGACCAGGAGATACTAGCAGTCAGTCGCTTGCAGTCCTGAAGGCTGACGAGATCGTTCTTGGCGGAATTTGTAGTCAGCGAACGCGGCGTGGTATTCTTTCGCAAACAAGATAACCTCACCAACGACTTGCAGAAGAAATTCATTCTCCGATTGGGCGAACTCAGTTCACGTCCGACTTCGTCGACTCTGCATATCCACCCGTTGCTCAATGGCAACAACGAGTTCGGCGTCCCTGACAACGAGATCAGCACCATTTCATCCGTGGCCTTTAAGAAATTCTACCCGGACCGAGAGCGCCAGCGTCGAAGCACTCGCAAGTACGATGCGTCTGCGTGGCATAGCGACATCCAGTTCGAACCTAACCCTGCCGACTACACCAGTCTGAGACTAGTTCAGCTCCCGTCCACCGGTGGCGATACGCTGTGGGCGTCGGGATACGACATCTTTGACCGGTTCAGCAAGCCCTACCAGAAGTTCCTGGAGGGCTTGACGGCGACATTTATCGGCGACGGGTTTTTGACCGCCGAAAAGGCAGGCAGAGCGACTCTGTACAAGGAAGCCAGAGGGTCCCCAGCGAATGTTGGCGGGGAATTGTCCGCCGTGCATCCGCTTGTTCGAACGAACCCTGTCACGGGCTGGAAGTCTCTTTTTGCCATCGGCACCTTTCCCAAGTACATCAACGAACTCAACGTCGAGGAAAGCGAAGAACTGCTTCAGAAGTTTAGGTTGACTCTTCAAGAAAACCATGACCTGCAGGTCCGGTTCAAATGGCGAAACGAGAACGATATCGGTAAGTTTGACGCCTTGTTTCCGTAGCCTCGACGTGCCTCATGCTGCATTTGCTTGGTTCACAGACTAACAGGTCAAAACAGCAATCTGGGACAACCGCAGCGCTTTCCATGCCGCTACATTCGACTATGAAGGCCTGGGAGACCGATTTGGTAATCGTGTTGTCGGAATCGGGGAAAGGCCTTATCTTGATCCAAACAGTCTCACCAAGGCGGAGGCACTTGCTGCGGAGGTCAAGGTAGAAGGATAAGTGTGAAAGATGAGGACCCTAGAAAAGTCAAAAAGAAAAAGAAGACATGCAGTAACAAAACTCTGTAGACGGATATAAAAAAGATCCAAGACTTCCTAGAAATGATCTAGGGTAGGTTCACAGTCAAACCATAAAGATTAACTTAAGTAGAAATGATGGAACTGCGCCTCCGCTCCACTTCATCGGCGCGAACCGGTGGGCCCTCATAGTTGCTCCTCCCCCAGACAAAGTACCATAACGCGGAAATAGTCACGCCGCCGACGACCACCACTGATGCATAATTCATAGTATCTAGCGTCACCGGGTAGAAGAACGGGAAACTAAAGACGGGGATAATGAACAAGGTCCAGGCTAATAAGCGCAGGGAAAGTCAGCAGTCAGACTCGGAGATGAATGGGTCTCAGCGTGGAGCTTACCAATGGTGACAATGTTGCAGAATACACCCAGATTTCCAAAATCCCAGGAGCCCTCCTTGAGATGCTTGCGGCCGCCGATAAGGGAGACGATGACGGGTATGACGTAGGAAATGGTCAAGAAGATGACCCCGGATCCGCTAAAGGCGTTGAAAGCCGCAGCAGACCCGAAGTAGATGGCACCTAGTAAGATCTGCACGACCATGCTAAGCATCATGGCGTTGAACGGCACGTCGAGTTTAGGGTTGATTCGTCTCCAGAGTCCAGACCCGGGCATGGCTCCGTCGCGCGAGAAGGCCCAGATGGCACGTGACGACGCGGTGGTACACGCGGTGCCACAGCAGATGGCCAGGATGATGATTGGAACAGTGAGCGCAAACGCGCCGCCTTCGTTGCCGACCGCTGAGCGAAGAATGAAGGGTAATGGCTGGTAGTAGGGGTCGCTGATGACATCGATGATGTCGGGCAGGACGAACATCAACGGAAGAAGAAAGATGATGCCACACAGCCAGTTCAATCCCAGCGCCCAGCACATGGCTTTGGGGACTTGTTTGCCTGGGTCGCGAACCTCCTCGGACATACTGGATTTGTGGAGAATATGTTAGGGTGAACAAAGACGCATAGAAAGCGGAATACAGCGCGGAGAGTAGGCTTACGAGATGATCATGCCGGTGGCAGAAGTCGCGTAGGCAGCGTGGAGGAGCCCAATACAGAACGACCAGCCTGGAGTCCAGCCGGTGTTGGCCTGAAACTCGCCCAAGGCGAAGTCACCGCTCCTTCGGCCGTTTTTGGCGATGACAAGAACGCATATCAATATGGCAAAGACACCTCCAAACGTCCAGTAGATGGTCATTGTCTGGATACATTGTTAGGTACATTACGACATGTCGCATTTGGGGGAGAGGGAGAGCGGTCTAAAGCAACCCGGAAATTTTTGGAAGAGAGGGTGCCGAAGAGAAGAGAAATGAAACCAAGAATAGCCTTACATCCAAAAGCGGGAGCCATCGATTACCCAGGGCGGATATAGCGTTGCAGATCAGAGTAATAGCGAGGAAGATCAGATAATACTGGTATGTCTCGGCAGCAAAGATGCCTTCGCCGTTGTCATCGTGGAAAACGTTGATACAACCCACGACAAACAGAGTGGTTCCGAAGTTGACCGAGAGAGTAATGATTATGTTGCCAAGGGTATATGACCAACCACAGATCCATGCGGTAATCTTGCGGTAATGCGGCGGAGAGAGCATGAAGGTCTGATAGTAGACCCCTCCGGCTGTGGGATAGACCGAGGTGATCTCGCCGAGAGACACAGCCAGGCAGAGGATAATGGCGCATACGCCGCACCAGCCCCAGATGACTGCGACAGGTCCGCCGCCCGCGAGAGGGTATAGGAGCGTGGTGGCTAGACCGTAGGGGACAGAGGCCAGCACAAAGGACATGAACGCAACCTGGAAGGTGCTTCGGCTGCGAACCAGCTCGGCCTGGTAGCCCAGGATGTTGAGGAGCTCATCGGCTTGCTCTTCGCCGGGACCAGAGGCGACGCTGTGGCGTTGTTCCTTGCTCTCGTGAGCACCGTCGCCTGCGAACTCGTGGGAATGAGGAGCCATGGTGAGTGGTGAGATCAATGGAATGAGCGTAATCCGAGCACTCTCGAGACACACGGGGCTGAGTTAAGGAGAGAAACCTCGCCTCGGTCGAGAAATGCAGTCGTTTTATGCCTCCGTCAAGTGAGGTCCAGAAGATCTGGAAGAAGATAAGAAAAGAACGAAAGCGAGAGAGTGATGAGCGTCAAGGATGAAACTCGTGGGAAAAAGCTTGAGGTCCTGGATCATCTTCCGCTGGGGGGCGAATGACGTCTGGATCCATCGTGTCCATCGTATCGCAGTCGGCAGAAGCGACGGGGTTGAGAGGCTCAGCCAGTCCCAAGGATTCCATTACTGCTTCAGATGGAGACGGCGACCCCAACGTAGCCTCAGCCCAGATTTCCCGTTCATATAGTGTATCTTGGCTCCATAAGAAGCCCACAACGCGTGCACAGACGGCGAGAAGCATCAGAGTCAAGAGCCCGGGCCAAGAGGACCAAGCCAGGCCAAGACGCCAAGATTCACGTGTCGCACGGAGAGCCCGGGACCGCACGTGACTGGCCTCCAGTGTTGGTGCGCCGGCGCGAGGAGGGTGGATTGATTAACCCAAACAGCCAAAGACACACGCCGCTAATAATGTGGCTTGTACTCGGTACGAAAGTCTGGAAATTGCTACTACATCAGTCTCTCCCAGCCATCACACACACCGATGAGTCCAAATGCGACTATGCTATCACCTACTGTCGATAAGTGAAACCGTCAATTTGCACAAGAAGATAACAAAACCTACATATCGTGGAAATGACACAGGAAACAAACTAAAGAGGAAAGGTGACATGACACGACACAGTGATACCCCGACAAAATCGAAACGCGTCGCATCCCAGTACATACTACACAACCCATCGCCTCTCCAATGTATGGTCCGTGAAGTCCCTTGCTCACTGAGGCCAATCACCACTGCCTCTGATCTCCTATCTGCCGACTCTACCGGACGGTGTTCTCACGGTCACTTTTTGACCAACGTCGAATTTTCCACAATGACTTCTGGGAACGCAGGAGTTGCATGCTGCAATAGCGGCGATGGAGGCTGTCCCAGGACGAACTGGAAGAACGAACCGATGAAAGTTGTTGCAGGGAATTTAGCCGCTGCTTCAAGTCCTGATATTGATTCTCATCAATCGTAAACTATTAATACAGTTCTGATTCGTGCACTTCATGCAGCGTGTCTCATATTACTAGAATTGTGTCTCTTATGGAGGTGGTGAGCCTGTGACCTCTGGTAACCCGATGTAAGCTCTGAGCACCCGCTTCTTATCCGCCAAATCTGCACCCTGCGTAGGAATACCCAGTTGTTGTAGTACAGAATCTAAGCGTCTTCTTCCCATTCGTTCGAGTTCCAATGAGGTTTGAGGAAATTCGGGGATTGCGGCACCGGTAGTAGCGTTGATAAACGATACAAGATTGTCGTTTTGACTTTGAAGGTATGTATTCTGAACCCGGGCTGTATTGTTGTGATTTCTATAGAATTAGCATGGTAAGATTAAAATAAGTTGAATTGTACATACGACGCAGTAATTACAGTCACAAGCTCTTGGCGAACATTTGCAATGTCTTGTCGAATTGCCATCATGTCTTGTCGAATTGTCATCATGTCTTGTCGAATTGTCATCGTGTCTCTCGTTGACTGCTCCCTTATTGCACGAAGCTCGGCGAGAAGTTGCTGGCCGCCGTCAAGTGAAGGTATATTTGGTATCTTCAGTATCTCGGTAGCAATGATGTTGAAGTCAGGCTGCGGACCAAGATTGACTTCGTCAGCCATCGTGGCGGTGAGGGTAAGGGTGATTATGGTGACAGTGATTTGTGGCGGGGGTTACAGGGTTTGTTTTGGTTCCGGAAATGGTGAGGGTGCCGAGGGGGGGTGAAGGAAAGCGCGCCTCCAAAAGCGGCGCTGCTGGTTGCCAAATTGGGCGGGAAATTTCCCTGCAACCTGCGTTGAATCTGTAATGTAGGATTACGATGGGTGTCTATGTGCTCCAAGCCTTCCAAATTAACGCCAAATTGCGTACTTGAGCTCAAGGATGCGAGAAGTACTGTGGTATGCTGATAGCAGACTTTTTGGATAGGCGGCTTCGATCGTGGTTCAGGGGTTTCTACCAGTTAACAGGCCTTCGATGTCATTACTGCGTTGGTAGCCTTTTTTATCTGAAAACATCATTAGCAAAGATAATTCAAGTCTCTAATGATTATGGGGCTGAAGTCATTGGAACATCGCACATCGCGTAAATTCATGCTTAATTTGAAAGAAGAATTGATCAGTCAGTACCAAACTTGTTAGGTGACTACCTATCTCATCAACAAGCCTGAGAGACTGAGACAAGCAGAAAAGGACAGCTACTGCTGGTGCTGTAAGCGTATCTGTGGTGGGCGTGATGCTAGAGTAGTGGGCTAGCCACTCGTAATGTACAAGTATATAAATTTATCACGTTTGACGGCGGCAAGATCCCGTAAGTCGAAAGTATGCGGGTAAATGTAAGTGGATCGAAGTAGTTGTGGATATCTCAAAGCAGTATTTTGCTCAGAGTGTCGCCAGCTTCGTCTAAACATTTATGCACTTTGTTTCGCGTCGAATCGTCGTAAGTGAAGCTCGAATATTTTGCTCCAGGAAAGCTCGGATAAGATATGATGAACCCGATCTGATATAATCTTATCTTATATATCTCTGTAACTCCTGTAACCTCGTGTCACTTCACCAACCACTTTATTCGACGTGTCTGGGTCATAACCGTCATGGGCACTACCTCCGTTCGCTCATCATCGCGCTCTCCACCCTCCTCTCCAGGCTTTCGCTGGAGAAAATTCTCGAACCTTCACAACAATGACTTCTCTCTGACGCTGGTCCTCTCTCTGGGACTTCTAGCCATGTCTTCTTTCAATTACGGGTTCGACGTGCAGGCTATGGCTGCAGCCCAAGCAATGAACTCTTTCGACGCTCAGTTTGGGATTTATGCAAAGAAAACGCATAAATGGAAGCTCCAACCATACTTCCTGTCTCTTCTGAATAGTTGCCATGCTCCGGCACAGATTGCGGGTACAGACTCCATATCAGTGTAGCGACGCTGGTTAGTGTGCTGCTAATGAGCCTCAGGAGTCTATGTTGGTAGTGTCATCAGTAACCGATATGGTCGACGGATGTGTGTGTTTGTCATGAGCATTTACGCATTGTTTAGCTCAGCCATTATCTTCTCATCCCACACGAAGGCTCAGATCTTGGCTGGGAGAACCATCCACTGTGCGTTAAGCTATTCCTTATTATGTCGTGAGTCAACATTCTAATTCTGCTTCAGATTGCTACCTTGGAATGGAGCTAGCTGTAGTGCCTACTACGCTCGCAGAACTGTCACCCCCACGCTTTAGAAGTTCTATGGTTGGCCTGTACTGGTTGAGCATCAAGGTTCGATCCAATATCTGCGCTGGCGTTACCCGTCCTGCCAATAACACTTGTAAAGCTAGGTGGCTTGATTATTAGTGTCATTGCGAACCGAACATCTCAAGTGAACACAAACTGGGCCTGGCGCATTCCATTTTCCCTTTTCTTCATTGTTCCAACAATCGTGGCGAGCTTGATCTGGTTCCTCCCAGAGGTACTTCGAGTCAGCTGTGCGTCGTTATCCTGCTTACGACGCCATAGTCCCCAAGGTGGCTCGTACTACGCGATCGACATGATGAGGCTGCCAAGTCGCTCCGACGCTTACGAAAACCAGAAACATCCGACGCTCAGCTGATGGCCGAACTGGACGAACTCGAGACAGCAGTTGCACAACAGCCTCATAAGGGTAAGTTCATGGAGGTTTTCCGGGGCACGCATTTGCGGCGAACCATGATTGCTTGTATGGTGAACTTCTTCCAGCAAGCTAGCGGTCAGTCATTCTCCTCTCAGTACGGCACTCTGTTCGTGAAAGGTCTTGGAGGCGTTGACCCATTTACAATAAACATGGTCAACAATGCCATGAATGTTATAGGGATAGTGATATGCTTGCTTCTTAGTGACAGATTTGGACGAAGGTGGCTATTCCAATCTGTCGAACTAGGCGATGATGTACCCATGCTCACTACTGATTAGACCTATGATTCACATCAGCGGAGTATTGCAAGTTGGAGCATTGTTGACCATGGGAGCTCTCGGTGTCCATGCACATCCCAGGCTTTCAGAACGACGAGGCATAGTCGCCATGCTCCTTGTCTTCTCATTCGGTTATTCTGTCGGGTGGGCGCCGCTGACATACCTCATTGCAGCGGAAGTGCCCTCGCCACAGTTGCGCGAGCATACGTTGCGTCTAGCATACACTATCAAACTGGTCACAGAGTACGTCTCCTTCTTCCTTGGATAAAGCGTCGGTATTAATACCGTCATGCAGGTGGACTGTAAGCTTTACCTACCCGTATTTAGAGGACGACCAATATGCTGGATTGGGGAGTAAGCTCGGCTTTATATACGGCTCATTTGCTGCTCTGGCCGTGATTTGTGGCTACTTCTTTGTCCCAGAAACACGAGACCTCGCATTGGAAGAGATTGACTGGCAGTTTAGCAATGATGTACCGACACGAAAGATCCGAAGTATCAATTAGAGTCAAGTCAAAGATGTGTCCAGCAGGTGCACTCACAAATCGTAGGCACTGAGTGTCAAGAGGTCATGGGGGATAGAAAATGCAGGATGGTACCTTCGAACTGACGTCGGAATTGCTGATCGTCCTCGATGATCCTGTCTCCTCTGTGTCCTTTATTGTTTGCCGGAAGAGAATACACCATTGCCACAAGACAATTGCACAGTCCAGGCCTACAGCAATAATCAGAGTTTGGAGGGTTGCTCCTACAATGTCAGAAGCCTTAACTAACGCGAGGAGATGACAAACCTGCCACACTAGCACTTCTGTTTAGTGGGCAGATCTTAACAGTGTATCTAGAGTTTATATATTCTTATAGTTATGCACCTAATAAGTAACCACCTAACTATCTAGATAGTAATGTAGAATCATAGATTGCATTGACGACCGATGTTCCTGCTACGAGCTGCATCTGTGACGTAGCCGACTTGCCCTTCCCATCCATCTGGAATCAAGGTTTGGCTTGTAAAAGACGCATTTGGCCCATTCGGCCCGAACGTTCTGACAGTCAAAACTCTAGTACGCGTGCAAATAGCTTGTCAAAACCTGTCCCACGGGGTTGATGTACAGATTTATGGTTGCGCCACCTTGTACGGAGTACGGGGTGCCTGAAATACGGGACTCCGCGGGTAACAGACCATCCTGGTCAACTTTCTGTTGCTCAAGCTCCCCTATCTTTTGAGTGTGGGCCTGATGGACGGCTCACCTCGTCATTCAAGAATAGGTAAAAAAGCTCCAATCGGCTATCTGAGCCAGGAAACTTGTTCCCAGGGAAGAGGCGACGTTCGGCCTCGCGGCAACATGTACGAAGTCATGATCGATGCCGTTCGGTGCGAATATCGGACACAGCGGGGAGACGAATGAGGGGAGCGCCGCATCAACAGGACCACGGTGATATCGTACAACATGTCAGTCAGCAAACATATCATAGGATTGTTTGTTACGGCCTTAAGTACTGGTATAAGTTCTACTCTCTTGCACTGAGGAGCACCTATCTGCGCCAGCTGACTCTCGAGGCTTCCCATTTAGAGCACGAGAGACCCATCTTAGCTTTAGTAAGGGCATCCGAAATGAGCGAAGCAACCGAAGAAAGAATGATTGTTGAGCGTGATGTGCCCATTCTCATGGATGATGGGCTTGAACTTCGTGCGGACATCTTCAAACCGGCGGAAGGTGACCGCTTCCCTGTTCTGATATCGCTGGGCCCGTACGGAAAAGGATACAAGTGGGAGGTTGGCTGGACCCCATCATGGAAATCCTTTTGGGCCAAGCATCCTGACGCTCTACCGGGATCGACACATGCGCATCTGATATGGGAGTGCGTCGACCCAGAAGTGTGGACTGACTTTGGGTACTCAACCATTCGAATTGACTCGCGAGGAGCTGGCCGCAGTCCTGGGGTTCTCGACACCTTTGGACCTCGAGAAGTTCAAGACTACTACAACGCGATCGAATGGGCTGGGACACAGCCTTGGAGTAACGGAAACGTCGGAATCGCCGGCATTTCGTATTTCGCCATGAACCAGTGGCTGGTTGCATCTTTGCAGCCGCCTCATCTCAAGGCTATGATCGCGTGGGAAGGCTCGGCCGACTTCTATCGCGACACAACTCGGCACGGCGGTATCTTGTCCAACGGGTTTTTGAGATATTGGTATGATAAGCAGGTCGCCTTGCTGCAGCACGGCAACCCAAAGGGGCCAGAAGACCCTTGGCTGGGGGCTAGGTCGACGGGACCCTTGGAGCTGTCGGAACTGGAGCTCCAGAAGAATCGCGTGGATGCTGTGGAAGCTCCCTTGCGCATGGAGTGGGATTGTGAGTGGTACCGAGAGCGGTCGCCGGTATGGTCCAAGATCAAGGTGCCTTTCGTCAGCGCTGCAAACTGGGGAGGTATGGGACTCCACCAACGTGGCAACTTCACAGCCTTTGAGGAGGCGGCCTCGAGCGACAAGTGGCTGGAAATCCACCCCGGAAAGCATGAGGAAGCATTCTACCTGGACTATGCGGTAGAGCTGCAAAAGCGATTCTTCGACCACTACCTAAAGGGTATCGACAATGGATGGGAAAAGGAAGAGCGCGTGCGAATGAAGATCCGACAACCCTTCACCGAAGACTTCCATGAGCGTCGCGCCGACATATGGCCACTACCCCAGGTGAAATGGACCCAGTTGCATATTTCTGTCGGCGACAGAGCTCTCGCATGGGAGGCAGTATCGAGCAAAAGCCAGGTAACCTTCGACGCGCTTGGGGCACCCTTGATCCTGAAGTCTCAGCCACTCGCTGAAGAGATAGAAATCGCCGGCCCCCTCGCAGCAAGGCTGTTTATCTCCTCCACAACCACAGATGCAGACATCTTCCTCACCCTCCAGGCGTTCTCGCCGTCTGGGGAGGAGGTTGATTTCCAGGGCAGCCACGACCCTCACACACCGCTTGCTCAGGGTTGGCTGCGCGCGTCCCATCGCAAGCTCGACCCCGAGCGCAGCAAGCCTCACCAGCCCTACCACACGCACGACGAACATTGGCCCCTCGAGCCTGGCAAGGTGACAGAAGTCCACATCGAGATTTGGCAGACTGGCATCGTTCTTCCACCTGGGTACACGCTGGCTTTACAGGTCAGCGGCCATGATTTTGAACGAGGTAAACCTATAGTGGGAGGGGAAATGGTGCTGGACGGGGTTGGGCCATTCCGTCACACACACCCTGTGGACCGTCCAATCGAGAAGTTCGGTGGTAAGACCACCATTCACAGCGGTGGAGACCATTGTTCTTATCTTCTGGTCCCGATTGTTTCTGTATAGAAGGATCCATGTTTACTGTGGTTACGCATCAAAGAAACACGTACCAACTTCCACTTCACGCCGACGTCCGCAGGACCATGACAACAGTATGAGACCCTGTGCTACTTCCGGGACACTGAATGATGATTTTCTCTTTATGAAAGTACCGATCCACCAGGAGAATATCCATGTTTGAGATCCGTGTACAAATGAGCGATCACGGGTAACCATAGTGTAATAATCAACCAGATTGAGCCATCTCGATGAGGGACGTGGAGATGACCACCCAACCTCTCTTCAAGAGTGTGCTTCCTTGATAGACCTAGCAATCTGGGACGCTAACAGGGATTTTAAACGGTACACTCGTTGCCAATCCACTTAGGCTGGTTTCCTTAAATTCGTCTCTCATTCCCTTCGCAGTCAGACGCATGGCCCGAATGGCATCGTCCAGTCTGACCTTTTGGGTACCGCTGTCGCCACTAAGCGCGAGGTTAGCGCTCGAGATGGCCTTGACTGCACCCAGAGCATTTCGTTCTATGCAGGGAGCCTGGACCAGACCGCCAATGGGATCGCAGGTCAGACCCAGATTGTGCTCAATTCCAATCTCAGCAGCTTGTTCAATGGTTTCTGGCTTAGCTCCCATGCAGGCCGCAAACGCTCCGGCAGCCATCGAACACGCGACGCCAACTTCGGCCATGCACCCTCCTTCGGCAGCAGAGATGGTTGCGCCACGCTTGTACAGCATGCCAATCGCCGCAGCGGTCAACAGAAATGTCGCAATATCACGCTCTGGATCATCACTGACAAACTCCACCACGTACTTTAGCACCGCGGGAATAATGCCAGCTGCACCATTGGTCGGAGCCGTCACTATCCGGCCGCCGGCCGCATTGGTTTCGTTGACCGCGATGGCGTAAACAGTCAGGTAGTCCATAGCTGCCAAGGTGGTGCGACGAGAAGGAGACGGCATAATTGGGTGATCGAACGAGCCGTGCACGGTTTGAGTCTGTCGCCGCCACAGGCTGACTTGTCCTTGGCTCAGGGCTGTATCTGGCACGCTGGGTAATGACGTATCGGTCTTTGCTGATGATGGCTGCGCCAGACTCTTCAGGCCCTTGTCATTATCATTCTGAGAAGAGTACAGACCTCTTGTGAGGCGACTGTACAGTGCGGGCGCTCGTCGATGCAGTTTCAGTGAGCCTGGAAGAGTCGAGTCTCGCGGCGCTTGGACGCCTTCGAGAATGCTGCTATCCATAACACCCCAGAGCCGAAATAGCTTGCGGTAGATATCATTTTCTGAGTATCCGAAGCTCTTTTCATTCTCAAAGACAAGTTGTGCGATAGTCAGTTGGTGCTTATGACATAGGTTTAAGAGGCTGGCAGCGTCGCTGAAAGGGTAAGGCGGCTGTTGCGACTTGGTAGCCCGTTCGGATGTGACATCTACATCTGCGGTGCCACTAATGACGGGGGACATGGTGCCAGAAGAAGATCCCAAAGTGTCTTCGAGTAAATTGTCTGTTTTCTCAGTGGTATTGTTGAAATTCTTGACCCCCGAACCTGTTCTCCGGTCTCCGGCTGCGTTCGCACGGTGAGTCTCCTTGTAGTATATGTTCTCTGCCAAATCAGCAGGATGATGACCTGAATCTCCAGGCTCAGCCGACGCAAGATCTGACCGGTCGTTTGAGTCTGGAGAGGAAGTAGGGGAGATAGAAAGCGCTCCGTTGACAACGAATCCTCCTCCAACGCTGAACATGTCATTGGTCGCCAAGACATCTCCTTGATCATCATATACTGTTAGACGCATACCATTGCTGTGGAGTGGCAGTTTCTGCCCCCATTTCCACACAAAGTCTCGTTCATAGTTGAAGGAAACTTCTTTCCCCGTGTTGCCCGGAAGGCCGTGCCCCAGAAACAGCTTTTTGGTAGCCTTGATCTCGTCAAAGCGCTTGGGAACATACGAAGTATCAACCGTCTCGACATCTGCACTTTCAAGACCGAGGAGCAGAGCTGACGGTGTCATATGTCCCTCGCCGGTTAAAGCCAAGCTACCATAGAGATGCACGATGATTCTGTCGACCTTAAGTAGAAGACCGGCTTCGACGAGGTCGGCAACAAAAATAGCGCCGGCTCGCATAGGTCCAACCGTATGAGAAGATGAAGGGCCAATTCCAATTGAAAAGAGGTCAAATGTGGAGATAACGGCATGTTCATGGTCTGCTTCACTGTACATGCCGGTGCTGTCTTGGTCGAAATCTTGATTCTGCATTGTCGAGGTCGAGAAGCAATGACGCCAACGAGAGACGGGGGGTCTAGACTCGGTGCGCCGGCGTTCGAGGCAGTTTCTGGCCGTGGAAACATTTCCATATCGTCTCTTGCTCCATGGCCTTGGAGTGTTGAGAGCAGAGGGTTTTAGTGTTCGTGGCGAGATAAACTTCTGTCGGAGGATTGTATTCATTCCCGTAGATTTCAAAAGGTAGCCAGTTTGTACGAAGCAGACACCATGGAACAATATTTTGCTCCTTTTCTGGCTGATGATAAGCTTGTTGAGAGCTGAGAAACATTTCAATGTGGAACTGAGGTGGACGAGTAATCCGAGCTTGGCGCCCTGTTACTGGCTAGGGCGGAGAGTGCGGGCTACGTGGGGAAGGTCTGCCGATGGACGTCCCATTCGAGTCTCTGTACGGAGTACGGAGGCGTGCACAAAATGTGGAATCAGACGCTAGTTACTAGCGTGTTCCTAGGGTTCTTGGCATACTAGAATGATGCCAAGTGCCTAGAGATTGTTAACTGCCTCACCAAAATTATATGAGGAGCAACACAACAAGGTCCTTCAATGCATCAATAGCGTATCACTCACATATTGATAGAATCCACCTCGGCGTTGATATCTAGAGCCTTACAAGGCTGAGTTCTTATATAGACAATCATGGTGTTGATGATTTTACTTACCTCTATGCCTGCGGGCTCCGCATGATGCTCCAATGATATTCTTTTGATTAACTCAATGATCTTCTGTCTATCTTTTATATGGCTCTCCCATAGAAATCATGGAAGCTTGTTTATTCTCAATATAGTTATCCGCATTATAGAGATTCTTCTCTTCTTGATCGACTACGTCTTTATAGTTCTTCTCTTTTTTCTCCTCGTTAATTTAGTAATGCTTATAAATCTCTTTAATCTTACGACGACCTTTATAGAATCTTTTAGTTTCATATCTCTCTAAATATTTATTGTCTCTCTTAAGTTCTATTATCTTCTTAATATTATAAGGAATACCTTTAATCCATTTTTGAATCTGTGATTATAGCAATACTTTCTAAGCCTCATTCCATCTTTTATTGAGTTCTTTTTTGCCTCGCGCTAGTCTATGAAAGCTTATTCTCTTCTTTATCTATGGCTAGGCCTTCTTGATAGCGTTGAGATCAGGGGAATTGCTAGGCCAAAGGAGTCGCTTGATGTCGACGAGCGAATAGACAATAAAGATAAAGTGCTGAGCATAAGGCGTTATATTATTCTCTTGAACTATAGTCTCGAGGCCTAGTTACTTTATAAATAGAATCATTTTAGATTGAATAATCTCCTAGATAGATATAAGTGATAGTTATCCTGTTTGTATTTCACTTACCTTATAATATCGATATTAATCGATGCCTTCTTTTGATGTCTCTCTTATAAGTTTGTCTTGTTTCTTTATAAAACGTTATTGAGGCTTCTTCTCTGGCCGATTTCGCAGGCCTAGTCACGCGAGACTAGATTCTAACTCTCAAACTAACTTCATTTTAGGCTCTCTCATTTTATTTAACTTATCGATTTCTTTTTATGCGGTCTTTTTCTCTTTTACGGTCTCTATCTTCTAGATATAATATGGACCTTTCTTATAATATAAAAAGTAATCTTAAAATATAAATTTTAAGTAGCCTTTTTAATAATTATGAACAGACAACTTCTTAAAGGCCTTGTTCGCGCTTCGCTAAATATGTTAAGAGCCTTAGCGACAAAGAACAACATTTATTTCATTACTCTATATCACTTTTTTTTAGTTATTAATTATTCAATATTAATGGGCAAGACAGAAAGCAAGTCGCGCTTTATATTGAAGCTTGTTGAGGCTAGGTTTCTTTATGAGCTTTATATTTAAGAGCTCATTTTTATGAAGAATAAGACCAATAGATAAAGTGCTAATACCATACTTATAGACAAGAACTTCGATTGATTTTTCGCGACTAACTTTATCGCGGCGAATATCATTAAGAACCTTTTTCTTAACTATCTCCTTAATTTTCTTCGGTCTTCTTAGTCTATATCTATCCTCAATGAAGTGATTCAATATACGAGTATTAACTTACGGATTAAAACCTCTCTCCCTTGCCTTCTAAATGATGCTATAAACACTTCGCTCTAATATCTTGAGCCATAAAGCAATATCACGAGATTTATAGCCAAGTGAAGACAGAGTAAGAGTCTAGACGTGTTAAGCGAGGGTGTATCGAATTTCATGGTCGTTTGATGCTTTTTCTTGAGGTAAAGGCCGAATCGCAGGAGAGTTCTTTCGTCTAGGCCGCTGAGATTCTCTCTCTTTGGCGGTCTCTGCAGCTGAATCAAAAAGAGAAGAGGGTATGACGATAAGTGCTAACCTTCCGAGAGGCTCGAACAGCAAGAGGCCTCATTAATATCTATATCGCTGGCGGCGCTTAACAATATGTGATGACTGCGCTTATTGATAAGCCTCTAACTCAACGCCTAAGAGGCTCCAATCATGAGAACAATATATATGATATAGTGCGATGATGTAGTTAACTGATGTAATCGATGCCTCAACCTGGTGAGGTTTGCAAAATATCTCATACAAATTACTAGGGAGGTCTTACACCGCCTCCCCTCGGCTACATTTAGCGGCTGCGCTAAGATTTAGCGTGTGATTCAACATTTTGTGCACGCCTCCGTACATCAAGGGACCTTTGGATGCTGGCGTCAGACCATCTCAGCTATCTTGGTTCATGGGTCTTAACCACGGCTCTTGCGAGTGCGCCATCTATATTCTCGCGGTTGAATGCCGGGTACTTGCCCAGACAACGGGTCCCGAGTACAATCTCTTCAAAGTAAGGCTTAGTACATGTTTGATGTCCAGTTTGGGAGTGATAGATACTCACCATGTATCAGCCTCGACACGTCAATGCATACATGTGACTGGCCATGGCCTAGATTGGTGTAGCTAGGGTTGCTCGTGCTCAGATATTGCGGATTGACTGTCAAACTGAGCGTGGGTTGGTTGTAGAGCGGGGCCAGGTCTTGCGGCTGATATTGGTGTTCTGGTTCTAGCAAACGACCTTCATGTATGGAGACAGGGCCTGTTGCACCGAATACTTGCTCATCAGGCAGATTTGTTGGGAAGAATTTCGGATACGTGTTGAACGTTGCTACGCCCTGTGACCCATCAAAGTCCATGCCTATTGTACGAAAGTATCGGGCCACATCAGAAGCGTTCAACCACGCACACGACGAATCTCCGGCCCATAGCATGTTGTTATCACTCTCAGGAGGAGGCACAAGCAACTGATTGCCCTCACCATCAAAATGCTTGATCAGGATCCTTTTTAAGCGTTCACGTGAGTAGAAATCGGGAACTTGGTTGAATACCTGGTGGAACTTTTGCGAATAGCTCTCGGCAGCATAGACAAGTAGCAAGCCGCACCGTATTGCTTCCATATGCAGCCTTTGAGCAAAGCTCGGGATAATCGAGATCATGGGCCCTGGCTTGGGTAACCATGACATGATCTTGACTGCATCAGTGCGAGATTGCATAATCTCGCAATCGGGGTTTTGCAAATCCGATAGCTGATTGTCTTCCGTCCAAAAGGATGTGGCGGGCACAGATTCCACGAGTATCTCCTTAGGATCCCGAGGGTTTCTCTCATAAGACGTATCAGAATGAGTCTCCACTACGGGTGGCTCATTGATCACTGCTGTAGGACTTTGGCAAGCCAAGATGTCATCGTTGCCTCTCTGGTGGACCTGAGAAGCTCGAACAACGGAAAGAAAACGTTCGATCGATTTCTGTACTGCTGTGGTCATCTTTGGGTCGTGCTGAAGCCATCCAGACGCCACTAGCTCATCAGTCAGGTCGAGGAAACACGAGTTCAAGTCTTCGACAGTCTTGTTGAGACTTGCAATACATGAGTTCAAGGACGCTATGGTGTCCTCTTTGCGCTGCCTAAAGGCTCGCTGAGCACGAGAGGCTTGCTCTCGCCTCCTCTGTGTATCAGTTAGAATCCCGATTCCACGAACGAGCTTTAGTATTCATACCTTAGCGGCTATTTCGTCTAGCTCCGAAACCCTGCGCTTTGGTTTGTGCTTTTTGGGCTGCGTCCCTTTCCCCACGCCTTTGGGATCTTCCTTAGCATGCATCGGGCCTGACTGTTCGCCAGTAACGCTTTTACCCGCAGTCCAGACAGATGGGTAGACAAAAATGTGGCCGAAGAAAGAACCGCCGACTAGTTAGATTGTTGCTTCGCAGCCGCATGGCGCGACCTGAACAAGCTAGAAATCGGCGGTCGGGATGGATTACTGATCAGGCTCGCAATTTGACCTTCTTAGCATGAGCCTCTAAGCACCACTATCTTACATAGGTCTAATACAAGTTCCTCCCTCACGTGGATGTCCGCCAAGGTCATGACGCTTAGCGGTTGTTGACTTGGATTCAGCCAGCTCTTGAAGCTTCGGATTTCTAGAAACTCGGATATGGATTTCTCCTCTGCATCTCCCCCTGGTAACCCAGACGTGATAATCCCTGCCATATGTGTATTCCAATTATCTCTACCATTCTCTCTGGACTCCTCTGATACTTTACTTACTTTGATCACGGAGCCAATCCCGGAAATTATGTCATGATTTTTTCAAGCTTCACAAACTTCAGCCGCACGGCACAATTGTGCTGATTACTAAACGACAATCTTTGGCCGAGAGAAGTCGTCAAAGTATTTAGGTAGGGCACTTTTGAGCCAACTATTCTGACTGTCAAATGTAGCTAGGGAGTAATCATTGACTTCAATATCCCAATCATCACCGGCAAGTGGCCCGTCCAAGTACATACAATGGCCTGGGAAGCGTCTCCGCCCTGTTCTTTCTCAAGTTGTCCCGACTCTCAAGTCTAATTTGGGGCGTTACTAAGGCTCCGCCCAATAGTTTTAAGCATTCTAGTCTTAGGCTGTTCTCGGGAGGAGGAGGCGACACCATGCTAAGTCAAACGGGATCCTTACTAACGCCCCCGGTATAGACCTCCCGAGATCTCAGAACTTCAGCCCTGAAAACAATATGTCTTTTGGTTGGGGTGGCGCGTCATTCATCGATATCTACGAGGTAACAGGCTGCCACAATTTGCACATGGGGGACTTACAAATGAGAAACTGAAACATAGACCACCCTGCATCTATAAGAGGAGCCTTAAACGAAGTTCCACGCTCTGGGATTTCTCTTATACCTCAACTTTGTGTTCATTCATTGCTTGAATTTGGTCGATAAACTTTGCATCCCCAGTGCTAAGCTATTTATTGAACATGATGATCGAAAAGAATACAGATACAGACTCGCCGCAGAGAGAAGCTGAGATGGGCGTTGAGCAAACGGTGGACGTCTCTCCCAATGTCAGTCCCAGAAGTCACATTGCTCCCTGGAGATGGGTCACCACATGCATTGCATTATACTTGGGAGCTCTTCTGTATGGTATGTGCGCGTCTAGCAAGCCTTTAGACCCGTCCGCTGACTGCAAATAGGCCTCGACACAACCATTGCGGCAGATGTCCAAGCACAAGTCTATGAAGACTTGGGTCATATCGACAATCTACAATGGGTTGGCCTTGGCTTTCCCATGGCATCGGCCGCAACAATCCTGACGTTGACCCGAGCCTATGGACTGTTCAACGTGAAGACTCTCGTCCTATCAAGTGTTTTCGTGTTTGAGGTTGGTAGCGCCGTGTGTGGCTCTGCACCTTCTTCCAATGCATTGGTCATCGGTCGAGTCATCGCAGGTATTGGTGGGGCAGGAATGTATCTTGGGTAAGCAATATACCCCTGTGAACTGCGACGGACAATTGATATCCTATAGAGCCCTGACCTACATATCCGCATTCACCAAGAGATCAGAAACGCCCTTGTATAATGCGCTTATCGGCCTCAGCTGGGGTGTAGGATCCATTCTTGGGCCGGTGGTTGGTGGTGCGCTCTCCGTGAGTAGTGCAACCTGGCGCTGGGTATGTTTGACCTCGTCCTCGGATCCAAACTTGTATTGACCCACTACAGGCGTTCTATATCAATCTCCCCCTCGCCGCCATCCTTTCGCCGGTATATTTCTTGTTATTTCCCTCACGCAACCCAAGACCTGATCTTACTCTGAAAGAGAAGCTGAGCAGAATCGACTGGGTGGGAGCAAGTCTGAATGCTGCGGTGTTCGTGCTCTTCATGGTTGCCCTCAGCTTCGGCGGCTCAACATATGCTTGGGACTCGGCAGGATCCATAGCCCTCTGGGTAGTGTTCGGGGTTTGTCTGATTGCATACATTTTACAACAAGCTTTCTCGATTTTTACCACGGACGAGGACCGAATCTTTCCAGTGCATTTCCTCAGGTCACGGACACTGGTCTTGCTATACTTTGCCACTGGAGGTGCGGGCGCAGCTCAAGCTATCACTCTCTACTACACTCCTCTTTTCTTCCAGTTTACTCGAGGTGATTCGGCGCTGCGTGCGGCCGTTCGCCTTCTACCTTTCATCTGCACTTATATCTTCTTCGTCATGGCAGCAGGCGGCTCACTCCCTTTGATCGGCCGATACAACCTCTACTACATTGTTGGAGGGAGCCTTGTTGTCATCGGCAGCTCGCTGCTATTTACGATCGACACAAACATATCCAGCGGTAACATCTATGGATACGAAGTTTTGGCCGCAGCAGGTATTGGTTTAGCCTGGCAGAACGCATATTCCGTTGCTACAGTCAAAGTCTCCTCTATCGAGGAAGTGCCGAAGGCCCTAGGCTTTATTAACCTTGCACAGATTGGCACTGTTGCAATCTCTCTCGCAATTGGAGGATCACTATTTCACAATTTAGGATATCACGAACTCAAACACGCATTTGCAGAAGCCGGCTATCACTTCCCCAACGACTATATCAGATCGGCACTAGCAGGCCGTATATCTCCTGTTTTCGCCTCCGCCGATGAAGACATTATCCATATTGCGATCGAGGCTGTGGCAGAAACTATCCGAAAGATGTTTGGGCAATCTATCGCTGCGGGAGCCTTGATCATAGTTAGCTCGCTGCTGATGAAGTTTGAGAAGATAAGCCTTGGAATCGCAGCTGCTGGCTAGAACTAGGCAGAAAAGCAACAACAATAGTCCGCTATGCCTGAACCGTGGAAGTGTCAGTGCCTGGTATCTATCAGAGAAGGACACCCGCATGTTGTTGAACATGCCAGTCCCAAAATGCGTTGACACTTGAGGACGAACGTGGGAGGGCTCAGCTAGGTGATCACAGAGCCCTCTCAACCGCGTACAACGACTGGAGAGAGAGGAGAGTGCTGGACAAAGACGTCAAGGGTACGTCGGCCGCATTGATTGGGTCCATACAACTGTTGAGACTCCCGGCCAATCTAGAGTTGAAGCAGAAACTGGAGAAATTGGAAGACGTGGAACCGGCTTATAGTCTACAGGGAGGAGGGAAGAGGAAGGAGTGCAATCGGGTCGGCACTCAGGCGATGCATCCTGTGCGTCCAGCCACTTAGACTAAAGCATTTCTTACGCCTATATAGATTGATAGCATCCCTGGCCCTTTCAGACCGCGGCAAGACAACTTCTTTTCTGGACATCTGATACGGAGTAGGTCTCTCGTGCTACCACACGCATATCCAGGCGACTTTACTTCGCCGCCTTCATCTTTGCGATCCTCTCCAAAGTAAGTCTTACTACAAGATCTTCGTCCCAAATCGCAGTCACCGAGTTCACTGTTGTCACAATCTGTGCCCAGGCGTAGAATCTCGGCGCCTCTCGCTCAAGCGCGTCCGGTAAAGAGCCTGGCACTAAATGATCATGCTTGGGTAGCGCTAGAACACGAAGAAGAAAAGGACCAAGCAACACCTGGCGATAACGAATGGTCAGCCTACTTGTCCAAATTCACAGTGTCTGGTTTGCTGGTGGCGTGGACGTACCTCTGCTAGAGTCGGACGCTCAGACTCGCCGAAGAAGGGCGCCGCATCAGTAAGCAATGGCTCGACATGTCTAGCAATAGCGTCGACATACTTGGTTGCCATAGCCTTCTTTATGTCGGGGTCATTCGAGAAGACAGTCGAGTCGAAAAATAAATGCGCTTTGGCAAAGTATACCTCGACAAAATAACCCGTCTTGAAACGTTGCAATGCGCCACCTGCTTCTGAGCTGGCTTTGAGAAGGTGACCGGGGTAAGCATCGGACAGGAACTGACAAATCAAATTGGACTCTGTCAGTACAAGGTCACCATAGACAAGTGCCGGTACCATTCCATTCGGGTTGATGGCGAGGTAGTCGCGCGTGCGAGGAACGGTGATATCGATGAGGCAGGTCTCAAATTCAAGCCCAATTTGTCGAAGCGCAATTTGAACCCGGTGCGCAAACGGACAGTGGTGAGCCGTGTAGAGGATGATGGGAATTGCCATTACTGGCAGTCTGACTGTCGTGTAGGACGGCTTTGTTTGCTGTGGACGGTACTAATACTGCAGGTAGACCGGAAGAGCATAGCAATGCTGTCAACAACACAGGACATATGCCAGCTATGTCGCCTGAGCGGATCATTTAAGACTTTCAGTCCTCGCGACATCATATCCTGCCACTGGAAATCTACATGTTTCGAATCATTACAAAGAGGGGCTGGACAAGCCACGAAGCACGCGATAGGATGGCAGTCGGAGACCTGGTTTCTTCCGGATCTATTCAGCAAGACTCATCGTGCCCGTCGACAATGCAGAATAGACTAAGAATTATGACGAAGACAGTACCTTTCGTCGGGATTTGCCGATGAATGTGCCACCAATCGCCACTGTTTGCAAGGTCGGGATTTCCCGACACAGTTTTAGATACGGATAGGTGATCTCCAAACATGTTGTTCTGCTTTGGCCCATCACGCCATGCACCGAAGGGCGTTCAGTGCTTTGACTGGGGGGAAACTATTTAGATAATGGACTGGGATATCGATATGCTGTTTTCTACCCTTCAGAGTTTGGCAAAGCCTTGACGACAAGACTGCATCCGGAAACAAAAAGTTCTTACCCACCAAAATCCTCAGTACGTGCAGGGGCCTTTTTCCAATCAAACACCATGCAGCCATTCCAACTTACCGCCACCGGCTACAATATCAACTATCTGCCACAGTACATTGCTCATCGGCACGGATTCTTCCGTGAGCAGGGACTGGACGTGAACACAACGATTCCCACCCCCTGGGATGGCGTCCTCGATGCTCTGGCCGATGGTTCTGCCGACATGGCCCTCGGTGGACTGTGGGTGCCGTCCATGTATCGGGGTAGAGTCCAAAACTATACCGTGTTTGGCCAGATTGCGAACCGCTGCCCTCTTGCCCTTCTGAGACGAACGAACTGCGACGAGACATTCAGTCTCTCTGACGTGGTCGGCAAGACGGTGTTGATGAAATCCATCGGCGGTGCCAGTGTCGGTCTCTTCTTCAAGATGCTGCTCCGTGAGAACGGCATTGATCCGAGAGATCTTGACTTCATACAGGATCTCGACGGCGTGATGCTTGGAAATTTGTTCCAGGGCGGCATGGGGGATTTTTTTGTCACTGACAATCTGTCTGCGAAGGCAATGGTGGCAAAAAACCCCGACGTCTCGATCGCAATGGAGATGGTCACGCAGGGCGAAGTGCCATGGAGCGTCTACTACCGGGAAACGTCCACCGTTACGCCAGAGGTACTTGATGCGCAGAGGCGCTTCTGCATCGGGCTGGACAAGGGGATCCAGTGGGTGCTTCAGCGCGATGCAGACGAGTTCAGGGACGAACTTATGGAGCTGTTCCCAAAGGTTGCCATCGATGTTGTCATTGACGTGGTGAATTCTTTCCGGCGAAATAGCATGTGGACTTCGGCCACCATACCTCGAAAGGCCTTTAACCGATGGCAGCGAGGTCTTACTGATGCACGTTTCGTACAGAAACCACTAGAGTATGAGGATCTTGTGGACGAGGGACCGTCGAAAGACGCACAAACCATGGTGTCAATGGTGTCACTTCCCTAGTGAGTTGAGATCACTATAGCATATAAACCACGCGAGATCACTGTCCGAAAGCTATACATAGTCAAGACAATGCATTTCGATTTCGACTTAAAACGTTGAAATACTAGTGACCGGTTAATCTATGGACCGAAAGCCTCGACAGTAGGGACAAGTGCTGCCACCGTAGATGAACCTGGTTCTGTCATCATAAAGTTGAATTCTTCAAGGTCGGGCCACTGCGCAGCTGTATTGAGTAGCTCACTGAGATCGAAATTATCAGCTGATAAAACGGCTGACATATTGTCTGTTTGGTGAGCATCTGTCGCGCACCCTTCACGGGGGACTTTCAATTGCTTCATCAGATCCCTCACGTGATTCTCAAATTCCACACGGTTGTGGTGAACTTCCTCGATATTCCTCGTAACCAGCCAGTCGATCGTTGCGGAAGAAAGAGTATCAAACGCATCTCGACATCCCGTGGCGCCTCTGAATGTCTCAGACATGGCCGAAAGAGTTGAAGCACAGGACTGGAGAATAGATATACTCTTTGACACCGGGTTATTGTCTCGGATCTCCTTAGATTGCCAGAGAGCATAGACAATCCCTAGTCCAGCCATGAAGAGATGATGCACCGATTTCCACAACATCTCAACTCGCCCTTCACGTTGGAGGACTTTGAGCCCGGCGATCACTTTGGCAGCAGCTCCATAGATGATAGATAATTCTTCCGCCGATTGGTACATGTTGCCTGCCTGGGGACGATAAAGTAGCAGGACGGCGTTGTTGTAGATGACATCCCAGTATGATTGAGATGCAAAAATGGACAGTGGTTGGGCCTTACCAGGCTCTGGGATGGTAGCTTCCCATTCTTGTAGGCGTGGCTGGATATCCTGTAGCCAGACAGTCCAGCTTGGTCGTGGATATGCCAACTTCGGAGTCCATACGCGAGTGTGCTGTACGTGTTTGATTTCTGATTCGAGTTTCGCAAGGGTGAATAGGTGGTTGTGCGCTCGCTGGGCATGTATGTCATAGTCGCTGCAGTATGCTTGCCCAAACCCTGGCCGGCATCCCGTCCAGGGATTCGGGAGTTGAACCTGTGTGCTTTCGTCAAGAATGCCAAATGGGCGACCAAGAGTGATGCAAAGTAGGCGGTCGAAGTGATAGGTGCAGTACCATAGCCGTCGTCTTTCGTTCAAAACCACAGGATCCATGTCGAGCTGCTGCAGATCGTTCTCGAAATGTAGGCCCACGTCGATACAAAGGCGCAGGGCGAAGCCCGTCAAATGCCATAAACTTCCCCGAGAAGGGGACAACGCGACAAACTGCGCCAGAAGAAGGACTGAGCGAAGGGTATCGAGGTCGCTTTTTGAGTATGAAAGGGTATTCTCGACCCAACTCAGTGCCGAGCGAAAACATCCATCACTTTGCGACGGCCGTCCACCGGAGGTGTGGCGTACGTCAACCAGCGCAATAGCAAACACTATGTATGCGATGAACATGTCTCTTTCTGAAACCTTGGATGGTCCTTGATCTGAGCCAAGTGAACTATAGGCGCTGTCAATTGCTTCGCCGACTTGTGAACGATCGAGAATCGGGAGATGAGGCGTTCGATACTGAAAATATACCTCGATCAGATGATCGGCAACATGACGTGGTGGTAGCGAGGCTTTTGCGGGAGCGGACTCAAAGATAGATAGCTCTTCGAGTGGTGGCTGGTCGGGCAGAAACGATGGTGACATGCTGTCGACTTGTATCGCTGCCAGGACTAATTTCGCGAAGGAGATGCCACTACTTTGTCCTACAAAGCGTGGTTGTTGACACGGCTCTGCAATAACGTTCCTGACCTTGGTCACTAGATCTTGAACAACGGGAGTTCTATCGTTTGAGACCGGAATTTCTTCGAGGAAAACTGTACTTGACTCGTCGTAGGCTTGGGAAGTCAGGGTTGTATTGTCTGCGAGACTCCGACTTCGCTCTGGACTGGATTGTGGATGCTCTCGTAACTCCTGAACTTGCCGGGTAAGCTTCGCTACCTTTTCTTCGAGATCCGAGACGTAACTCCGTGGTATCTTCGATTGATCAGCATGGTGTTCTCTCGGGTCATGGGGAGCCGGGATACTCACATCGGCCCCCTTGCCGGAGTGATACACAAGGCACTGGACATTGCTGTTTGCACAATTGGAGCATTGTGGGTATTTTTGGTCGCACTGACGATAGTCTAACATCAATCGCAAGACCCCTAGACACTTGCACTTGGATTATACCTTCTGCTTTCTCCGACGGCACCTGCGCGGTGATAAGCATTGTATCGCAACATAGTCCGAAATGATCACCCACCTCTGACAAGCGTTGACCCCTCCCTTGTTTCTCTGCTCAGTTCGCGGCATATTGTGGATGTCGGGTTTCAAGCCTACAAAGTTGCAATAGGAGTTGTGGTCTTGTTCATCGGGTTGTTGGCGTCGACGGGCCAGATTAAGCAGATTTGCTGATGCCACCGATAATAGTATCGGGATCTTCCGATGGATGCCGCGCTGCGATAACGGACGCGACACTCCTATTTGGCGGTCAGAAACCGTATCTGGGCGTCGATAAGCGAGATCGTAGGATCTGTGAGTGCTGCTGCCTCCGGTCTTATCGCGTATATCTGGCACGAACAGTATGGACAAGGTGCGTCGACGTGGAAAGTCGAGCATCTCAGAAGGCAAGATAGATATTTAATGTCTCAACTCGACCAAGATGATCAGAGGGCCTTCATCAGTTGAACTCTGCGTCTCAGAAACACGACTCCACAAGATTGCCCCGGTTCCCTGAGTTGCATGAATCAGCGACAGTCCAACATGGAGAAAATGGTCAAGGAAGTATCTGTCGACACTGCCACCTCTGCCGACGACCATGGCGTTGGCACCAGCACGACCATATACATTGATCCGGCAAGAGAAGCAGCTGTACGGAGAAAGTTCGACATATATGTGGTTCCGGTTTCTGTCATCTATCTGGTTCTGTCAACGCTTGACCGCAACAATGTGAGTAACCCTATCTGATTTCCTGGGACACGTTCGCTGATTTGTGTCAAGTTGGGAAACGCCCGCGTATTTGGATTCGACGAGGACGTAGGGTTGAAAGGAGGCCAGTTCGGCAATATCCAGACGCTCTCCAGTGTCTGCACCGTTCTTTTTGAGGTTCCATGGGTCCTTGCCACACGCCGATGGGGAGCAAAAAAAGCAATCGGTACTGCATTCATCCTGTGGAGTATCTGTACACTTGGAACCGCGTTTGTTCAAACCTACGGCCAAACAATCGCCTGCCGAATGTTGCTCAACGCTGCTGAAGCTGGTCTGGCTCAAGCATTCGCATTCTTGTTCTCTACGATCTACCCTCGTGAACTGGCAGGTAAGCGGATCATGACCACAAATCTCGCCCAGTGCATTTCGGGAGCCTTTGGAGGCCTCTTCGCCTATGCTGTTCAGACCATGGGTTCGCGCCATGGGTTTGCCGCATGGAGATGGCTCTTCATTATCGAATTTGGTATCACTGTGGTAATCTGTGGTGTCGGTCTATTCTTTCTGCCGGGCGAAGTAGAAAAGGCATGGTTCCTCGACGAGGAGGAGAAGGAGACCATGAGGCTCAAGAAGCAGCGCGATTATATGATTCGAGGCGAAGAGAAGTTCGAGCGCAAGTGGATCAAAGTAGCCTTGACCGACCCATTTGTATGGCTTCTCGGTCTTGCCTTTTTCACCTCTTCAGTTGCAATCAACGGATTTGGAGTCTTTTTGCCCACCATTATCTCTGGGCTTGGGTGAGTTTTAATTCTTATGCCAGAGGTTCATCAACTAACTGTTGACAGATTTGCCTCCCTGAAGGTTAACTACATGACCATTCCAGTCTATGTACTCGGCGCCATTTCTTTGTCAATTCAGGTCTGGTACTCAGACAAGATTAAGAAGAGAGCGGTGTTCATTGTTGGATGTTGTATTCCGGTTGCTGTTGGATATCTGATGTGTGTATGGTCTAAGAATCCTGACGTCGGTTATGCTGGCATGTTTGTGTTGGTCATAGGTAAGTCTCGACCACCTCTTCCTTTTCGACGGTTCTGACATGGATTGCAAGGGCTGTATCCTATATCAACCTTGGCTGTGACGTGGATTACGACCAATTTGGCCCCTGATACCAAACGAGCAATCGGCCAGCCCTTTGCCTACAGTTTGGCTAATGTGTCCAACCTCATTTCTGGACAGTTATACCCTACTCAACAAGGGCCGCGATACATCCCGGGCAATGCTATTTCGGCCGGTCTCACTATCGTTGCAGGGTTTCTCTATGCATCATGTTGGTTTTTGCTTCGGCGACGAAATGCACAAAAAGCAAAACTTATTGCTGAAGGAGCAACCACAAATGGTAAAGAAGGAGATCAAAGCCTTGAATTTACGTACATTCTGTGAGCGGTGTAGAATCGTGCTGTCCTGCCGGTGGAGGTCTGATATTGTCGGATTACGGATGACGATTGGAATATCTGTCCACCGCCCTCAGAGAACAGGGGCGAGACATCAGTGGAGCTTATAATGATGGTCACAGCAATTATCCAGGTGATTAATCACGCCCATGGATTCAGAGTGGTCAAGAATTTGAAAATGATTGCGTTTTAGTTGAACTTGAGCCCATTGCCCAGCCCGTTACATCTGATGTTCCCACTCTCATTGTCGCGGCTGCTAATGGAATGCGTTGCCATCTTTGTTTCGCCCAACAGCAACCAGACCGCTTGATCAGGATATGCCCAGACCCATCCCAGACCTTCTAAATCACTCTCGTGTTCTTAGGTACCTCGTTGAACCCCATCACAGCTGGGATCTACTCGTACTTCATACGGTTCTTGAGTATGCCAATCACGAGATAGTGACACTGACCACATCTCCTGGTTTCAAATCCCGAGGGGGGTGCATTCAATCGCCGACTCCTGAGCGAACAACTCGTCAAAGCTCGACATAAACAACCAGCTGTGTATACGTCCCTACGTTGGACTCCTGATATGTCGAAGGCTTGTTTACGATACTGTAACTTCGTGAGCTTTTTATCGGGGTGTAACCATTGTTGTAGAGAAGAGCGAGTGCGTCTGTGCTGATTGGCGCAGCCACAGGTCGGTCCCTTCAGAGTCGAAGTCCTTTTGTCGAATTCGCGAGGCAGAGCGCATCTTAAGGTGCATGTCATCGTATCTGGATCAGTGTTTGTGGTTTGAGAGGCGAGGATCGGAGATCCCTACCTCCGACTGCTACAATGGCTCCTATGGTCCTACGTACTTATAGCGGCAATTCTCGTTCCTACTTCTAGTTAGCCACCTAATTTTCTTCACGCCGCCACAGCCACATGGGTGAACCTCGACTCTGTTCATCTCATCCTGATAAGGGACGCGGTCTTGTCGGCCCAGATCAGAATCTTCCAATGTATTAATATCCTGCACCTTGTTCGGCAACAATATCGGCCATGGCTGAGCACCAGCTTCAAGACCCTCTCCAGACGGGTACTACAATAATCTCACCAGACCCTGCCACGAGCAGGCGAACGGCTACAGTAATCACTGAGAGGCAGAGGGCTCTTCGAGCGTCAGCAGCCTGATGTTTCATGGAAATGGAATTCCACTAACTAATCTGATGGAACAGATGTGATAGTTGTCGACGGGCTAAGGAGAAGTGCATTGGAATCCCATGCAAACGTTGCGTTCGCCTCCAGCGTCGATGCGAATTCACGAACGTGGGGAGTACAAGAGGGCCAATCTCAAGGACCCGTCGTTCCAGGTAAGTCATTCGATCTGGCGCTTCAACGTCGCGTCCAAGGCTCATGCATATCTACAAGCCGCTCCGTCGAGGACGACGTCGCAGAGCAGTTTCGCAAACGTGCAACTTACCTGGAGTGTATCCTAAAGCACTATGCACCCGAGCTCGACTTCGGAACAGAGAGCCTTCGCCAAAAAGCGCATAGTCTTGTGTCGGAGGAGGCTGATCCTACTCAAGCAGCTGAGGGTAGCCCCTCGAGTGCTTCTAACGGAGACATCACCATACAAGATGAGAGCTGTACCATCAACGCAGTCAATGAAAACATCGCACGTAAGGTGCCTCAGTATGATGACCTTGAAGTGGCCCTGACTGTTTGCAGACTACTCTGGTGAATTCTCGTACTGGAACTTTTCCATGCGCCTCAACAACCAAGTTAAAGATCTGATGGTAAGCCACCACAAAACGATCTCTGCTAAATTAGTCCTCAAATTCTCCGTGCTAGGTAACTGAAAACCAGCAAGATATACCACACTACTGGCGCGTGGAACAACTTGGTTCAGGCTCCCCTGCGGTATCAGAAGCCAGTTCAAATCTTCCCCCACTGCAAATTGCTCAATTTCTTGTCCATATTTTTCTCAAGCATGCCATGAGTAATTACTACTATTTTGACTCGCAGTGGTTGTCCGAGAAGCTAAGTCTTACTTATGGTCAATCTCAAGAACTCGCCTCAAAAGACGCAGGCGTATTGGCAATCATCCTGGGTGTTTTAGCTGTCGGCACCCAATACGCGCATCTAGACTCTCCAAGAGGTGCTAGCGGGAAAATCAGCTCACAGAGACACAGCGACGACGAGCTTGGTGCTGCATTCTACCAACAGGCCGTCCGGATGTTGCCTGAGGTAATTCACCTGGGCTCAGTTGAAAGTGTTCAGGGATGCCTCCTGTTTGGGTTGTATGCACTGCCCATAGATGCATCTGGCATTGGTTATATATATTTGAACTTGGCGATAAAGTTTGCCATGCAAAATGGGATGCACCGTCGAGCACCAGAGCACATTTTCAGCCGGGAGATTCTCGATAGGCGGAACAAACTATGGTGGACAGTATATTGTCTCGAAAAGTAGTTCTGCCACCTACGGTGAAGGTTGTCCATGGCTGACTTTATGACAGGAAAATCAGTATTTATCATGGAAGACCTATCTCCATTCGCCCCTCTGACATAGATGCGGATTTGCCATGTGCAGATACCGAAGCGGAAGCAATTTCAGAAACCATGTCAGAAGCCTCGAGCCTTCTCATCATGATTAAGTTGATGGATTATCTGGGAAAATTCGCTGATGATATGTAAGCTCCCAGACATTGAAAGGAGAAAAACATGCTGAAATGGTTGGTGCAGCTCGATGCTCCGTACAAGCCCCAGATCACAAACCCCTGGTATTCTTTCACGACTTATATCAAAACGAGACAAGCTCAAGTTATGGTGGGACACATTGTCGCTGAGAAAGCGCCCTCTGTCGCGCCCAAACATACATCTACAACTCGAAATCTGCCTTTTACGGATGTTTATTGGTCGACCTTTCCTCGCTGGCCGCGACGTCCCGGGCCTGACGCCAAACTTTGGCTCTGAAGAACCTAGGGTTCCAAGAAAATCTCCCAATACGACAGACAACCGTTGGGAGCAACAATCTCGTCGCAAATCACGCACTTCGACACTGGTGGACGACTGTGTCGCAGCTGCGACCGAGGCCATTGATCTCTGTCAAAATCTGCGGGATAATGGCGGTGGTTTGGCAACGATGTCCTACACTGAATATAGCTCCTGCAGAGCGTCTCTCCTTGTTCTCATTGCTTTTTGCATTAGGACTCAGACTATTCAATACTATAACCACCAGCAAAGAGGCCTCGAAATGATAAGAGACATGGCAGCCGCAGGAGAATCCGCAAGGCACGAAGTCCTGTTGATTGAGGCTCTCGGTCGGGCGGTGAAGCGTCTTCATCAGTTACATCTTAAGATGCAATCGCACAATACATCTCATCAGCGACCCGAGGTTGATTATGATCGATTCAAGCAGTGGGGAGCTGCATGGAAAGCGGGCAGATCTACTGAGGAGCTGGAAAGGCGTCAGGGACAAGTTGGCCTTAGCAACAACCAATCGCAGAGTACTGATCGCATGGACCGAGAGGACCGTGACTCCAGAGATGCTACATACGATGCCGACAGCGCCACTAACAATCTGAGACATGGACCAGCTCACGTTCCAAGCAATGTCTCAGACTTCTTCGCTCCGGATGAGCTACCAGCCGTTATGGATCATGGATTTTTCAACTGGGATAGTGCATTCCCTGGGCCGAACAGTTTCTATGAACAATCTGAAAGGCAGTTGCTCGAGAACTTTCTTTCGATTCCTGAAGATGAGTTTCAATTCTCTACAGTCTTCGATTCCGGACAGCACATGGCCGCCTTTTCCACCATAAACCCAGGCCAAAATCAAGAATTTCACTAGACGACATTAACCATATATCTATGGATATCGGACGGTCCTGATCCTCTATATTTTCGCACCCATATCTAGAGTCAATGTTCCCGTTTTGGCAATCAAGTACTCCTCGATGGCAACATCCTTTCCTGCTTCTTTGCCATATCCGGACTCTTTGATCCCGCCGAATGGTGATTCCGCGCACGAGCTATTGCCTGGAGACAAGTATGTCAGCAAGGCACACGAGGTGCTCATCCAGTCACATGGGCAGAAGTGGCATACCTGTATTCATCCCGATCATCCCCGCCTCGAGACTCTCTAACAGTCTCCATGTTCGATCAACGTCCTTGGTAAAGAAGTAGGAGGCAAGGCCCATGCTGGTGTCATTTGCAAGACGGACAGCCTCATCCTCAGTATCAAAAGCGTACAATGCCAGAATGGGTCCAAATATCTCCTCCCTGTACGACAGCATCTTTGGCGTCATGTCTGACAGTATTGTTGGCTCGAAGAAATAGCCTTGCAGACCCTCGGGCTGCTTCCCACCCAAAACGATACGTCCACCATTCTTCTCAGCGTCCGCAACGTGGAGCTTGAGTTTCTCCACGGCTCGTGGAGTCGTCAAGGCGCCCATGGTGGTTCCAGCTGCGCTGCCATGGCCAATCCGTATCTGCCTTGTCGCGTCAACAAGCATTTCTTCGAACTTTTTGAAGACCCCCCTTTGAACAAAAACTCTATTTGCATGGGTACAGGCTTGACCGCAAGTTCTCCACTTCAGGATTTTCAAAGCTTCCAGCGCTGCGTGGAGGTCGGCGTCGTCAAACACAATAAACGGGCAGTTCCCTCCCAGCTCCAGCGTTAGCTTTTTCAACCCTTCACTGCAATGCCGGGAGATGAGACGGCCTATAGCCGTGCTACCGGTGAATGTGACCTTCCGGACCAGGGAATGCTTGCACAGTTTCTCACTGAGCTCAGGCGTGTGCTCAAAGTCCGTTGGTAGTACGTTGAGCACGCCACTCGGGAAGCCTGCTCGAAGTGCCAGGTCGGCGAGGGCCAAGACACTGAACGGCGTCTCGGGAGATGGCTTAACGATCATGCTGCATCCAGCCGCCAACGCCGCAGTCACCTTCCTCAGTATCATCGCAACTGGAAAGTTCCACGGCACGAGCGCAACACAGACGCCAATTGGCTGTTTAATCACAAATGTTCGACGATTCGAGACGGCAGGAATCGCCGTGCTGCCACGGATCCGCTCAGTCTCTCCAATGAACCACCAGACAAAGCTGAGCCCGTAGTCGACCTCAAGCAATGCCTCGGCCATTGGTTTCCCAGTTTCATAAACAACGATTTTGGCGATGTCTTCCTTAGCGTCAATAATTAGGTTGTGCCATGCCAGCAGCCATTTGGCTCGTTGCCTAGGGTTCGCGTGACGATAGTCTATGAAGGCTTTCTGGGACGACTGGACACAGTCTTCCACGTCCAGAGCCGATGTTGCTGCACATGATGCAAAGCGCTGACCCGTACCGGGATCTTGGTCAGTCAGTCAGAGATGGACAAATCTTCTTCAGACCCAAATCCTGCCGACTTCAAACTCACCTGTAACATCAAAGCGCTTTCCGGACTTTGACTCTACCCACTTCCCATGGATAAGAGCATGCTGATGTAAAAGGGTGGGGTCACGAAGCTGGAGGTAGAGTCAATAAGCGTTTCATTTCGAAGAACCTATAATTTGGCGGCTGGCCCAAAACATACACTGAAGGGATACTGCGTCATTTTGAACAGATGGGTTCTTTTTGAATTGCTGCTATGCCTGACTGCTATCAGATCGCCCTCGACGGAATGCAAGACAGTTATCTATGTAGAATGGTGATGGAGGCCATATGTATCTACAGATATCTATTGGGTACACTGGTCCGGGATCGTAATCATTATCCGGACGCCTTTTGGCAACAGTACATTCCTCTGACAGTAGCTCACCGGACCGGCAAACTTTCTGCTCGCTCCTGTGTGTCAAGGCTTACCGGGACGGAGGCGGATACTCCTGCCCTGAGGTGGACCGCCTGAGTCTGGAGGTATTCGACATTATCAATCGTGGCTTGCGGACAATCCGGTTTTCGCAGCCGGACCGGCGACGAAGGTCACGTCTGCCTTACTACCGGATCCTCTAAATGTGATGTTGACATCCTCTCTCGCGCATTCCGCTCTGGTGAGTAGCGTACAAGCGCTGGTTGTGCTGTGGTTGAAGATGGCTGATGTGGCTTCCGCGAACGAATCCTCTAGGAGCAGGCAACAGTTTAAAGAACTTTTGCAATATTCGTTGATCCTAAATTGAGGACGTTATACGGTAGGCACGTTGCTAGTTTTATATTTGAAGTGGTCCAGCGCTGCGGATCTTCTGTTCGGCGACCCTTGGTTCATCTACAATCAGAAACGTACATCTGTCTATTCAATAAATTTGGCTGTGAGAGAAGCAAAATCCGTTGCAAAGACCTGAAGTTTAACCACAAATGACGATGCTCTCAGGGCTAACGAATAATTTCATGTTGTCGTGGCCCCATACGTACAAACTCTCCAGATTGTAAAACCTTCCTCCCACGTACCGTCTCACCTTCTAACCCCATAGGATGTTGAATTTTTGAATCCCGCGCTTGGGCTTCGGCACTGGCTCCGGGTTCGCCTCGGCTAGCAGGATGAAGCCGCGAATGGGGGATTCCGCAAGCGGAACCAGTTTTGTGCCCTTGATGTATTTGTATGCGAAATAGAGAACAATGACGACAGGTAGGTTCAGGTAGCTTGAGATGAAGGTCTCGGTATCCCAGCGTCCGCGCATGAATGTCTTGTACCCGCCCGTCAGGTAGATAATGATGAACATGCCCAGAGACGCCCAGGTCGAATACGGTTGGAAAGGAGCGGCCCAGGGCAGCTTGGTGTGTCGATCAATGTTCTGCGCCTTGCAGGCATAATAGAAACGTAGATAGGTGATGCATATAGTCATCCAGTTGACCAGAGTGCTAACTGACACCAAGTCCTGTAGCCAAGTGAAGGCGGTACTTGCGCCGCTCGACAATGACATGTATCCCAGGCACATGAAGATACCAAACAGGGATATAGCGATGTAAGGCACGCCAAATCGATTCAAGCGCGTGAAGAACGCTGGTGCGTGGCCGTGCTTGGCCAGTGCGAACAGAATACGGGGGCCGCCGAGGATGTTAGCATTGCCGGAGGACCACGCCGATGTCAAGACCACGGCATTGATGATGCTCGGGACCACCTTGATTCCTGCGTCTTTTGCCGCGATAACAAAGGGAGACCGGGCTGCATTGGCGCTTCCGCTGAAATGGGCAACAAATCGTGTATGTCAGTGTTTTGGCCTGAGAGAGTTATGGTACAGAAGGAGCGGTGCTTGTTACTCACGTCAATAATCTTGGATCATCGGACGATACGACCAAGCCCACCATGAAAATACTTATAATGTAGAAGATTAGGATTCTCCAGAATATGCGTTTGGTGGCCTTGGGAATGGCCTGGCGTGGGTTCTGTGTCTCTGCTGCGGGTAAGGTGATGTTTTCGATACCAGAGAACGCATATAATGCGTTGGACATGACAGTCCAGAAGCCTGTGAAGAGCTCAGTTGTCAGTTTTGGTTCTTTGAACAAGTGTAGGTGGGTCGTGCGGCAGGGTAAAGCGCTGCCCTGGGATTCAAGGGACAGAATCTCGAAGTGCCACAGCTAGAGTCTCTTACCCAAGAACCGACCAAGTGACCCACTGATTCCCAGATACTGCACGAAAGGACCAGGATGTTTCCAATACCTAAACCCGATAGACTCGCCCGATGGCCCTCCTCCACAAGTAATGACCAAGGCCATAATATTCACCCCAATGATCAAAAGAATTTTGAGGGTAGAAAAAAAGAATTCTATCTCGCCATAAACGCGTACAAAAAGAAACGCGGTGCCCAACATTAGCAGGCCAAATATGGTGATCCACACTGCGTTGCTGACAGAGGTGGTCCAGAATTCGACGAGGACAGCAACTGCAACAAGCTCGGACGGAATTGACACAAGGTAGCCGTAAACCTCATTCCAACCATTAGCAAACGCCAGTGCTGGATCGACAAAGTATTCAGAATAGCGGACTATGCCACCACTCAAAGGGACAAGAGTGCCCATTTCGCCAACCGCAAGCACTACCGAGGCCGCGGCCATGCCGATAATCGCGTAGCCCAAGAACGCTCCCAGAGGCCCTGCGTGAGCAATGGCGCGCCCAGAACCGAGAAAGAGCCCTGTGCCAATGGTACCGGCGAGGGCAATCATCTGGATATGTCTCTGCTTCAGTCCTTGCTTCAGCTCCTTAACCTCGGTCAAGACGCTTTCGTCCAGTCCGCCAGGAAGATCTGCCAGGTCTCCCCGACACGACGTAGTGGTCATGGCTAATGTCGATTCCATGTCACCTTCGGCCTTTCCGGCATACTGGGTTTTGGTCTCAGCCATATTCAAAGAGGCTATGGGTTTGACCTATGGTTCGGAGTCGGACAAGGATCGTCCGAAGTGGTGGTTGCAGGGTCAAATACGGAAGACGTCGACTGTGGAACGTCGAAGAGAGGGTTCAAGATGATGTCGTGTGGCGAGGCGACGGATATCCAGTTCCACGCTTCCTTTATACACAATTTCGAAGCTGTCCTTGCGGCCTCTAGCATGGTAGTGATATCTCAGCCATCATTGATGACCACGGGCATGGACAGAGATAACGATCCGTACAGGGATAGGCGTTCCCCTGTCGAGACTGTGGTCAAAACCTCTCGGTCCGGTTGATCCCATGAGAACCATTGAGTGTTCTACTTGATAAGTTCAATAGCAGTTCCTGCGAGGTTGTCCATCTTTCGGGCTGTCTGGCAAGCAGGTTAGTTTTCCGGCCCGGTTAGAGTTTGCGCTAGGGTAGGAATTCACGTAACCGTAGATCAATGGGAGCCGGTGGTGAACAGTTCCAGATTTTTTCCCCAACGCCCAAAAAAGGATCATCTAAGCGGTGCTTATCGTTGCTAGCTTCTTAGTGCCCGCCTGAGGCTGCCATCAGATAGGAATAACGGAATAGTAATACGTATTGTACACGATAGTAGTTGCTGTTCATTTTAGGTCTCGGCTGTTGATGCTATAATCTAGAAAGATTGTTGCATCTTGTCCTTACAACGAATATGATTTCAATCTGGTCTGTGACTTCGTAACACCGCCTACGACCTCCAAAGTCAGCGATCCCAAGGAAGCGTAATCCAGCAAGATATCTACTCCAGACTGGTTAGAGGGTTTTTGATCAGCAAGTACTATCCCGGAGCGTTGGGACCAAAAAGCCCGAAGACCAGTTCTAAGATGGTAATCTACGCAGCCGTCTACTGCCAAAATAAGCCTCTCATATGCTCATATACCAGACAAAGGCCATCGTTACAGCATTATTTCTCTTTGTAAGCCTGCTTGGTTCGTCTGATGTGTCGGTCTACTTGTCCTTCGGGCCTGGAGCTGTCCTTGGCAGGAAGATTTGTCCTGTGCCCAGAATATCACCTTCCTCCTCACTGTTGTAAACTGCCCGATCAATCCGGGCTTGGCTGGTTTCAAACAGCCTAGGGATGCCAGTCTCTGTGAAAGGAAGCTCTCTTCCTTGCAGATGCGCGGCGACCAGTTTTGCGACCCCCTTGGACCCAAGCCAGATCAGAGGCATCCCATGGCCATTGAATCCAGCATTGACAAATTGCCCATCGAGACCAGGGACGGCACCTATGTGTGGGTGTGAATCAAAAGAATAACCCATCACTCCTGTCCATATATCTGTAATGGTAGCGGGGTATTTCTCCCATCCGTTGAAGGTTCGCTGCATATAGTTGTTGTAGTAGTCTTTGGCGGCATCAATGAGCACGCCGTCATCAACATTTCTGTACCATTGTTCTCTGAATGGACTGAATTTGGCAGCTGCTCCACCCACAACGATACCGCCGTCGGTTCTGGGAATAAGGTAGGACAGAGCTTTATCCTCATCGCGGATTATGTAGGAATTATTCAGCAGAGGAGCCGAGGACTCAGTTTCCACGGGAGCAGCAATATGGCAGCAAATTCCTTTGCATGGAACGACGTTGTGGTCGTACTGAGGCAGGAGACTTGCAACATATCCATTCGTGGCATGGACGACTCGGCTCGCGCAGATGCTGCCTCGATCAGTATGGACAGTCCAGCCGTGACTCGAGTCAGCTTGCACTGATGTGACGGGAGTGTTTGTCTGTAAGTTCACTCTGCCAGTGGCGAGCACGACCTTGAGCAACCCCTGGATGAACTTGGCCGGCCACATAGTTCCAGCAGTGAATGAAGCCGCTGCTTTGGCACCCTTAATACCGGAATACTAAAGAATGACGATTTCTGTCAGTTGAAACCATCTCTATCAAATGGAACGTGCTTGAAGCCGAAAGATGCAAACTTACACCTTCTGCAGTCTTGGGGTCTCTAGTGAAAAAGACATCTTTCATGTAGTCCAGATTATATGCTCGCATTTTTTGATAGGTCCTAATGGCGTTGTCGGCAGCTTCTTCGTTGCACCACACGTCGATAGATCTTTGCAGCGTTAAGTCGCAATCGATCTGTTCATCCTCGATAACCTTCTTGATTGCCCACATATTGGCGATCTCGAACTCTGCTATCTCTGAGGCCAGCTCAACACCGTATCTATCGATATATGTGGGAATATGGCCGTACAGGTCAGGACGTAAATGTCCTCCGTTCCGTCCCGTTGCTCCAGAGCATGCTTCTCGGGCTTCGAGGATCGTAATTGAAGATATTTCTGGGAAGTCCCGTACGAGGTGATAAGCTGTTGCAGCGCCCGCATAGCCAGCTCCGATGATCACGACATCAGCGTGGCTCGGAATGGACTCGGTTGTCCGGTGGTTTTCCAGTCCCTGAGGCTCTCTGAACCAGAACGATTTCAATCCATTCTTGACAGGGAGATATTGTGACATGTCGTCGATATCATGCGGAAGTTCTGTCCCGGCTCGAGTGTTTTTGAATTTTGGAGTGTTTTTGGTAATGGAACCTCAGCTAAATAGTAATTGAGCAGCTCTGAGACTGTTTTATCTGGTCATCATACCCTGGGAGAAGAAGTGAAAAACGTAAATATCTCCTGATCAGTTGGTTCCGAGTCACTCTCTGGCGACTGTACCACGAGATGAACACCGTGAGGTGGTGAGCTTAGTCAGTCAGTCGGCGCGGGCCATTACGCAGGTTGCCTAACCGGCAAGTGGATTAGCCGGTTGTCTAGCCGGCTGTTGCAAGTGGCGCCGTTTCTTATCTTGGTGTCACTCGAATCTACATGGGTGATTGAAGGACAGACAAAGTTCCCGAGTAAAAGCAACCAGCACAAGAGATTAAATCAGGGCCGGATCTAAAGAGAAGAGATTCTAGAAACGACTTTGCTATTACTTACCGCTCGTACTGACCATTGCCCATTTCGCATTTTCAGTCATAATATCAACTTTTCATCAGCGAAAGACGTTGTCAATCGGGTGCCAATCCCTATACCTGGTACTATCCTCACGGCAGCTGTTTCACAATGCCAACCCAACAGAAACACGTCGTGTTCGATGTGGTGGGAACATGCGTTTCCTTTGACGCATACTATAACACTATCGACAGCGTCATCGGCGATAAGTTACGACGACATACCATCACTGCCAAACACTTCGGCTTTACGTGGCAGACAGTGGCAGAGCTTGAATTCACCTTCTTATCCATCTCTGAACGCTACAGGCCATATAAGGAGGTGATGCGAGCCATGTTCTATCGCTCGCTTTGGTTGGCGGGCGTAAGTGATCCACAAAGCTTCGCCACCGACGAGCAAAGAGAGAAATGTATTGAAGGATACTCTGCACTAGAATTACGACCAGGATGTCGAGAATGTTTCCAGGTTTTACGCGATGCCGGATTCACGGTATGGTGCTTCACCACCGGCGATGCTAAACGGGTTCGAGGATATTTCGAGCGTGCAGGAGTCGAAATGCCTCTTGAGAACTTCGTCACCTGTGATACTGGTGGTGTCGCAAAGCCGGCATTGGCTGCGTACAGATCTGTCCTAAATCAGCTGGGATCTGAAAGTGAGAGGTGGTTTGCCGCCGCCCATATGTGGGACGTCTCTGCAGCGGTCAAGGCTGGATTCACGGGAGCGTACTGCACTGTTTACGAGTTGGATCCATGCATGGATATCTTTGAGGACGAGATGCAAGTGGTGGAAGATTCGCTGCCTGATATGGCCAAAGCAATTGTGGCGGCTTCGGCACGCGGTATTGCATGCTTGAAATAATTATGCAGCACGAAGATCTTAAACGTGTAAGTCGTGTGGGGAGTGAGAATATAAGGCATTTATGGTACGGGTTTTCTGCTCAGACTTGGATACCTTGGAAAAGTTACATGATAAGATTCATTTTAAGAAAGCCGCTGAGACACCTTTTGATATGAATGTATACTGTTCATTATGTATTCTATAGTCGAGCCTGCAGCAGCGGAGGTACTCTTTTGTCCTCCTGCATTGTCGTCTGGTCCGAACCCCATACCCCTTTGAACTCTTTCTCTAACTCACTCTCGGAAGCGGACAGTCGCTCCCGTGTGGATTTGAACATGGTAGGCAAGCCTGTTTGCTCGTAGTCGATCCCTTCCACCACCATCCTGGCTAGGGCTCTACTTGCCAACAGAATATATGCCATTCCTCGGCCAGAGAAACCAGCAATCACATACTGGCCCGGGATATCTGGTACTGGCCCTATGTGAGGCATAAAGTCGGAAGTGTAACCCATAACTACGTTTAAAAACATGCGATTAGTATTGATCAGCTCTTACATTCTCCCAAAGAACTGATGACTTACCGCCGGTCCAGACTCGATCAGTGCTTGCCTCACTGTCCTCCCAACCTCTGAAATGCCTCTGCATATAGCCCTGAAAGTAGTTGTCTGAAGCTCTCGACATTCTCTCATCATCTCTGACGGAATCAAACCAGAGATCTCGATCGTGTAAAAATGTTTGTCGAGCTCCTCCAACCACTATACTTCCATCCGCTCGTGGGATCAGATAGTCATAATTAGCTCCGCCGAATCTCAGGCTGTATGTATTGGGAAGGTGAGGTGAATTGGCCCCTTTTGACGTTTTGATGTGGCTGCATACACCGCGAACAGGAACAATCTTACGACGATACTGCGGAAGTAGCGATGCAGTATAGCCGTTGGTGGCATAGATGATTTTCCGAGCCTTGAGATCGCCCCTAGAGGTTGAGATGGTCCAAAACCCTGCCTCATCCTGTGTCTTCGACACTCGATAGGCTGGAGTGTGCGCATGGGCTTGAAAATTGGGTCGCCGTAGAAGACGCTCTAGCAATCCTAGAACTAGTCGCTTTGGCCAAAGATGAGCTGCAGTGAAACTGAAACAACACTGCGCTCCTTTCACCCCGGAGATCTGTGACCGTGAACCCATCAGTAAAACTAACATCTCACAACAGCTATTCACCGTATAACTTACCCTTTCAGCATCCTCCTTCCCTGTGTAGGCTACATCCCTTAGATCGTAACTCCCACTTTGACGCAGCTTCAGATAAGCTTCATATGTCTTTCGTGCATGATCTCGATCCAAGTAAACATCCACAGCGCGGGTTAGGTGAAAGTCACAATCTAACGCCTCGGTTTCCACTAACTGCTTGACGGCCAGTACCTGAGAGCTTTCGAACTTCTGCAGTGCTGACGCCTGCTGTGCTCCATAGAGAGTTTCGTACTTTGTGGTGCTATAGTAAGTATCAGGTTTAATGTGCCCTCCATTCCGGCCAGTAGCGCCTGAGCAGAGTTCACGCGCCTCAAGCAACACGATCGACGGCTCGTTGTTGTAGCATTTGAGAATGTGATACGCTGTGGCGACCCCAGAGAATCCGGAACCTATAATTACGATATCGCATTCTGTTGGTAATGTCGCCTTTGATCCATGGTTATCCAGTGCGTGGGGTTGTGCCGTCCACACAGAGGGGATTGGGTTAGGAACAGGCAATTGCAGCGGCTTCATGGCTTGTTGACTTTCTGTCACTCTCTAGTAGAGAGACAATGAAACAGGAAGACGCTTGAAATTATGTTTTTGTAATGTCCTTGTGCTGATCCGGGCCGATTAGTTGCCTACTCAGGGGATTAAAGCCGGCCGGGCCGGAGGAGCAGTGGACTTGCGATGAAACATAGGCTTTTCTGAACCCCAAATGCCTTCGCTATTGCAGACGCCCTGTGGTCCGCACATCTCGGCCAGAGCGAGTCGCATCAACTTTGCCCTCTGAGCACAGCAGGACTAGCCGAGAGATGTTGCATGGCAGGCTTATTGACATTTTCTGGCGATGAGCGTCCGCAGCTGCGGCCACCTCTTTCTGGTCCTCGCCCCTCTACTTGGAACTCGGCGATGGAAAAAGAGCTACGCATGAAACACCGAGTTCTAGGTACTAGATGTGCCGAATGGAAGTGTTGTATACTTTAACCACCATTGCCAGTTCGTCCGCAGGCGCAATGGTCCTCAACGGTGTAGCGCGCCGATCCGGAATATTCTGAGCGTCGATGTCCGTTAGCACCTTCTTGAGGAATTGTCGGAGTCGATTTTGCAGTCATGTTTGAGAAACGGTGACAAGATAGATTCACCTTAAAGGCTGATTAAGTTCAGCAAAAAGTCTATTGAAAGTTTGCTGTCTGGTAAAATGGTCTGAGCAGCGATATGCGGACTCTGAAGCACGAGTCCGAGTTCATGCCCGACAAGGCTCCTCTCGCCCGTCAGCAATCATGTGCTTAAAGCAAGGAACCACGTATACCTGGGTGAAATATCCATTTCCCGGCTCCAGCGTTGACCGTTCAAGTTGTCATCAAAGTCGAGCCGACAATTGAAAGGACGCTGCCTCCGACCATGAAATGATATTCGAGCGTACTTGTGGAGATTCCAGTCGTAACGGCAGAGACGACTTTCCTGAGAAGTAGTGCCAGTAACAACAGTTCTGACCTTTGTGTGACTTTCCCTGCATGGCCTGGAACCGGAGAGAGAGCTAAAAGGCGTATTCGACAAGCACGGACAAGATCCTCAACGGTGCAAATCATCCAGCGAGTATGGTTCATTGCGAGATAAGTTTCCAAGAAAGCGTCGCTTTCATCTCCCAACCAAGCCTGAGATGCAAATAATACAGCAACAAGCACAACAGAAACGACAAACAACGCAATGATCGCTACATCGCTCCAGGCATACCGAACAGATTGTGGCCTAGGAGATCAGCGCAAAACCAACACGTCCGAAGTTCAGTTGTAACGTGCAGAAGGGCAGAAGGAAGCGCGCTCCCTTCCCAGGCTACATTGACAAAGCTCTTGAATAGGTCGGTGATGGCTGGGATCGCTGTGGCGATCATGATTCTGCCCGAGAGCAAATTGGCAATAATCTGGCCGAATGCAACGAGGAAGACAGCCAGAGAAATGCCGGCCATTACAGGAGTGACGACTTTCTTTAGGGTATATTTTTCCTGGCTTTATGGGCTGGCAGCTCTTTCTCTCGCTCGGGGCCAATTCCATGTACTTTCTTCTTCCGATGGCCATCCTCATGCTCAGGACTCGTTCCAGCTATGATTGCTTTGCTGTCCATGTCGTGAGGATGCGAGCGTTCGTACCGTGTGGATAGAAGGGAAGGTGTCGACTCGTTTGTGAGGCCTTTGGCAAAGTGACCAAACATCGCTCGTTTTGTCCCTGGACTGCCCGAGACAAGGCAGACCTGTCGACGGCGGCGTCGTGTCTGCCATTGTACTAGCAGAATTTGCGTTCTCTGCGCTGCTTGATCTTGTTCATCGAGCGCAGTTTGGGATGAATTCCAGATTAGCGTCCGAGCTTTAATTGCCCGACAGTTCGGCCAAGCGCGCTAAGCTGTCCGAGCTGTCATCGATGTTCGTCTCAGTCCCTCTCAGTCCCTCTGGGTAGTTACAGCTCGTTCTTATGGGATAAAGACATCGGCGTTCCTCACCTTGCGCAAGGGGAACGGATTCGCTGCCATAGATTGGAAACAGCTTGCTCCAACTGCAAGCGTGGCAACCATGGCCACTGCAACTATCGTGACGCCGCTGCGGCAGACAGGATCGAGCGACTCGAGAGGTAGGTCAGATTATGTGGAGGAGAACTGGCGGAGCTGGCAAAACTTAGGAGTCGATCCTAGAAGATTGAACCACAAGCGACCGACGTGAGGAACTAGTGGCTATATCCATACAACCTCTCGAGTACAGCACATCGCGACTCCGCCGCATTCTTCCGCACGGCCTTTGCGATGGTGATAAAAGGATGTTTCCAGGGCATTCACGCACAGATTTCAGTCTGAATCACATTGCTCGAGTCTGACTGTGCCAAATCCTCTGTTCCTGATTGAGGCATCGCGACAGGATGATCCCTTCAGAGCTCAGCGGGTGTGAGATTTGCTTTCTCGGGTCTCTGCGGCAAGTTCGAGTCTCTACCGCTGGTAAGCTTTCCACAGACCGGCGACGCTCATATGTCGCCGAGTTTGCCCTCTCAGCATGGAAGAACCGCCAGATGAAGCCAGATATCGTTACTTCTGTACCAACACCGGCATTTCTAACCAAGTTTGAAACAGAGCTTCCAGAGTTTGCCAACAGCTTATCAGAGGAGCCACCATGTTCCACGCCGCTAAACAAAGCTAGACTCGAAAATGACTTTCATGCTCTAGGTTAAGACCGCCTTTCAACTCGACCTTTCTGGGCGACTTTTGGGGCAGTCTTGGCTGAGCCGTTACCTCTAATGTCACAGCAATATCGTATCACATGTTTTTGCTTTTTAGCCAGCTCTCGAACCAAAACTCACCATGAGGTTCCATGAACTCAGAAAATAGGAATTTCTGGAGGATTTGTTTCATCGATTGCCAATCTACGGTCTGGGACGCGGAAGCCTCGATCGCAAGCATATCACCGAACCAGGTCTCGACCGGGTCGACTCTTTTGAGGAGTAAACGCTGCTCATAAAGGGTGCCAATATAGAAAATCCAAAGCCGAAGTTCTTGGAACAGGGTCCTTTCGAATGGTGTCATTGTCAACCGTACTAATTCGCAGATGCGCCGTAGATGAGGAAGGATGATGTGAGATGCCTCTCGTAAGTTAACGCCGTTAATGGACGTGACATCAATGAGCGACCTCGAGACGAGAACAATTGTTAGACAGGCGCCGGCGTAGAGATATTTTTGCCCACCCGTCGGTAAGGAAAATGGATTGCCACCATCGGTTGTGTCAAAGTACGAATCCATCAAGGTTAGCGTATCAAGAAAGTTTTGTATCACACAGAAGTAGGACACGTTAAACCTCTTTATGGGGTCCGCGCAGACCTCCGCGGGAAGGGGATTCGACATAAGAGTCGCCAGTCGCCGGGACCGGACTAGAACAGAGCGAAGAGGCTCATGGTTGATGATACAATCGGGGTACTTGTAATCAGCGGGTAGATACTCCAGATCAGGGGCTGCGAGTCGCTGCAGCCTAGCGATTATTTTAGAGCCGTGTGGACGAGGATCATAGCTGTCTCGTTTCATTGTCATGATGGTTGTGTCAACCGCCCAGAACATCATGCACAAGTACATGTAATATTTGAAGTCGACATCCTCATCGTTCAGTTCCGCGATAAAACGATATAGCATCTTTTCGTGGATCGCCGCCGCCGCGAAGTTTCGCGCGGTACTCTCAGCCCGATAAAGCCAGTACATCTGAAGAATGAGAAACTTCGAGGCTTTGTACGGAGCTCCCTGCGTGGCTGGGAACCGGGCAATCTCGTTCCTTAGCAGCAACATACTGTGCGACATCATTCTCATAGCTATTTCTCGGAAAAGCCGAGCTGCAGGAGGTGGCAAGAAGAGACACATGACCACCACATGTGACGATACAAGAGCCAGCGCTGCTCCCTGGTCTGTCAATGCAGCCGACGTGAGCTCCCAGTTCAAGACAGCACTGGGAGAAGACAGGATGCTCGAAGACTTCACCACCGTCGGCTGGGCGATTGGATGAGAGATGCGGTGGAAGAATGGTGTGAAAAACAGTCCCGGAATGCCTACATCACGGGCAAAGGCCAAGACCTGGTTAATGCGAGAAGTGATGCTGATGGCGTAACAATTGAAAGCGTCCGAATTACCACCTGGGGCGGTGCTGATCGGTTCTCCCCTCGATAGGACTTCCACAAGGCTGTCGAGATCAACGACTTCATCCTCGTCTTCCATCTCGGGAAGAGACGCCAGCAGCTGCCATACTGATGCATGTCCGCCAGTCACCGATGTTGGTTTCTTCGGATACAAAGCGGAAGATTCTGGGTTCAAGAGGATTGGCTTTTCAGCGCGACCGGAGCGTGTTTCTCCTGGCGGTACGTATCGGAGGTGTAGCGAAGCTTTTCGCATGTGGGTTACCGTGGCTGCATGTGAGCGTCGATTGGCGATTTCCAATTCATGTTCGCGTTGCGTTTGGCGCCGCTGTGGTCTTTGAGGCACAAATCTGAATATTGTCGGCCGTGAGGTTGTCATGGTGTTTTCTGACGGAGATAGATCACTCGCCACACCCGAATCATTGCCGAGGACAATAGCCAACAGCCACGGAACCTTGATAAGTGACACGCCCGGCAAGGTTCTAAGCTCTGCTTGTGTGTTCTGGCGACCCGGTAATTAGATGTAAAGGTGGAAAGGTAGAAAGATACCTGAGATTAAATACGGACGAGTAGAGCAGCACTAAGTCAGATTCCCGGACTGAGGGTTAGAGGAATTTGGAACCCACAAACCTTCATGCGAAAGGCTATTGAACATGGTCAGGTCGTGAGATGAGTCAGCGTGCATTTGGAGATACGAATTGGAAGCCGTTGTCGAAGCGAAATTGATGCAGCCGAAGCACTAGGTCCAGCACTGGTATACGCCTCTGTACGCTAGATCCCATTCCCGTTGAGTGTAACATCGCTTCGTCTCTGTATGCAGCTGTGCTGTCGCTGACAAGCTTTCGGGCCAAGGACAGATCTGAGATATTTTATGCCGAATAGCTCTGTTCACGGATCACACGTGCCGGGCATGTTTTTGTTCTAACTAGCTGCCATGCACCCACCCGTCGCGCATTCTTGGTTTAACGGGAGACTGTGAGATCTTTACCCCTCGTTGATTTGTGCTGCAGGCTGCGGTTGTTGGCCCTCCACCCTCTGGCAGAGGTTAACCGCGTCCACATCCTTCATTAGTCAGTGCCACAGGAGCGCCACATGAGTGCCACACGAAACTAGATTCAGCCTGTGATAAGGTCCTGGAGATCTACAGGAAATGCTTAGCCGACGTCTCGTGGCTATCCATAGTTTGCTGGCTACGTGGCAGTCTTCACTTTCATTGTAGGTCAAATAATGCGTGAATTCGATCAAATCAACTCTAGAATTATTTACTCCGAATTAGATCGTTATATAATGACGACCACTGCCAGAGTTATCGCTAGAATATATTCGAGTGTCCGTTGAGAATACCAGGTCGTCCGGGTGGCATCGGAAACAAGAACGGGAAACCCTACTGCCGGTATATCATCCACAGCACAAACACGGTGGCAGTTGTCGTCATCTTCTCTTTTTTCGAGGAGGCCTGTGTCTCGCCTGAATTTCCTCTTCGTTTCATCCGGTGTATACCCAGTGACTGGTCCGGAAGTATTGAAAACCACGTCGATCCAACGAATGTCAAGGTATGCAGCTGACCCTAGAGTCATGTTTCCTGCCCAAGTGCCACCGTTACCCCACATGTTGATAATCAGAACGCTTGGGAATCGTGGGACACCGTACTCCTTCTCGAACAGCCACTGACCGTTCGCATACCAGGAGCTCTTGGTCGGCGTCCAATCTAACCGATATGTCACCCAGTCGGTCCACACGGTGGGAGCTGGAAGCTCAACGTCGGACATAGCATTAGGGACATATACACCATCACTATCAAACACCGGGTGATTGGTAAGTCGGATATGATTGGATGGGTCGTTTGTTAAGATCTCAATGTCAGATTCTTGGGTGTCGTTAAGGTAAACGAAGATACCGGCCACAGACCCGGATGCTCCACGGATGCGAGCACGGAGTCGAATCGAGGCATGGAGGAGATTCCGTTGTTGGTACTGTATCTCCGCGGTGGAATAAAAGTTCCTGCTGCGGTAGGCACGCAGAGTTAAGTGTGTACTGGGCAATTCCTCGGGATTGCGTTGGATAAAGACATTTTGAGGAGACATCTGCATAGTGACAGGATAAACGGGAGGAGTGCTTTTGCGTCCCCAGGTTTGAATGCTCCAGTCTTTTGAGAAGGCATGAGACCTAATGTATCCTTGCTGGCTAGGCTCATCACCGCTGGACTGAGAATCTGTAACATTGGCAGGCTCGCTATCGTAGACACTGTCGGTTGAGACGTCTCCAAAGTCAAAAAATCGATGGTATTGGAAAAATGCCGACGAGCGGCCATTGGTGACATAGCAGTCACATTTGGGCGAGTTGTCGTGTAGGCTTTTCGCAGTAACGGAATTGGCGAACTTGCTGAGCACAGTATAAACTACTAAGGCAACAGTCACAAACCCCCTGGAAAGGACCATTTGCACGCGTCTGCGTGTCCACGGCTCGGAAACTGCTCAGGACGAGGAGGATGGCGCGTTCGGATGGAAATCTCCAACGAGGGGGTGAAACCTTTCCGCTGGGGCTTTGATTCGTTGATCTTTACGATCTGAGTATGATGAGATGCCTGATAATCTGCTTTGTTCCAATTCAGCTTTTGCCGGCGGTGGGATCTGGCGTATGTACTGCGGAACAGCTCGGCGTAAATTGCGCGGTCAAGAGATGCCTGCTGGAACCTGGCGTCGGCGGTTTGGATGGTCTGGATTACGCTTAGAGAACATGAATGAAAGACTGATGGCAGAATTCTTGTAGTTATGTGATATGAGATTGTTGATAATTCCTTCTGAGACAGCCAAGCCGGCACGAAGTAAATGCAAATTGCATTGATAAGGACAGATTAGCATACCAAGCCATGGCGATAACAAGCTTCAGCCACAATCAGTTAGGCGACCCACCTTGCCGTCAGAGTGGTTGATCTTGCAGGAGAGAAACAACAACAACAGATAAGTATGATATACAAACAAGTGTCACTACTTAGCCAATTTGTCCGTGATTCCGTCTACACGCTTCGCGTGGCTGCTCACTCCGCTCTAAGACATCCAGTCGTTCGGGACAAGGCTTCTGTTGCCCTTGTTTCTTCGATTTCCCACTTGTTAAGACCCATGCGTTCAGAGGCATCTGGTGGACCAGAGAATGCAACAAGTAGGAGACTTTGCAGGTAAAGCTTCATACATCACAAGGTCATGTTGAGTTGTTTCGCCAGTGCCAGCCTTCCATCAAAGCGACGGGCATCACCAGAGAAAAAACTTATCAATCACGCACGCCCGGTCGGCTGGTCAAGTCGCGAACTCTCGGCTTTGCGACGTGCGAACTCTTTCTCCGCCCGCCACACGAGAGGCGACTCCGTGGCAAAGAGGATATCGAGGTCTTCCAGATGGCGATTTGCGGTTTCTGCAACTTGCTATCAGCAATGGCTCAAGGGCCTTGGACGGGAGCAGCTTACCAACGTAGAAAAGATAAATTGGAATAAGCATAAGAACGTTGATAACGGCAAACGCCACAAATACCCAAAACCCAACCGCAGTGATGAGGTATGGGATGATCGTATTCACAACTCCGCCGGCAACCGAGAATGCGACCACCGCTAGCGCCGTACCCTTCGCTCGAGTGGCAAGTGGGAAGCATTCTGTTGGATACACCCAACTAAAGTCAATGCGTTAGCAGTCGTCATCTTTTACGACCGGATTGCCACTCACCAGGTAGTCAACCATGTGCTGCCGTAAATGAAGGTATAGATGTACAGAATTGCACATACTCCAGTGCCGAAACCGGCAGCCTTGTCCGTTCCTTGGTGGGTGAGCGTCATCTTGCTGAGCACGCCGCCTACAACAAGTACAGTGCCCATCATGGTACATCCAGAAAGCATGAGCTTTCTCCTGCCCACCCTATCGGCGAGGAAGACCGCCAATGCCAAGCTGGCGGTGTAGTTAAAGAAATTGCCACCGGCTAGCAGGGCAGGCTTGTTGCCCGTAAAGCCACTCAGGGCAAACATCTGTGGTGCATACGTGGCGATGAAGTCAATACCAGTGAGTTTCTGGAGGACTTGAATGCCCGCTCCCAGCAAGATGCGGCGACGATTGTGAAGATCATCTTTCCGGAATAGCATCGAGTAGTATGTGGTTGATGCAGCCTTCGCTTCAAGGCGGATAGTTTCCTTGATCTCTTCGATCTCTTGAAGAATGGCTTGGTGGTCCGGATTCGAGCGGCACTGTTCCAGGATTTCTTGTGCTTCGTCAACGCGACCGCTCCTTGCAAGGTGACGTGGGCTTTCAGGATAGAACGGTGTGATGATCATGATGACGATCAGAAAAACGACTTGGAAAGCGACAGGGAATCTCCATGCAAACGGAGCTGCGTGAGTCTTGACCAGGGCGTATTCCATCCAGAATGCTAGAGTGCTTCCGAGAAGAGCCATCGTGAACTCGGCAGCCACAAACGCGCCGCGGTACTTGGGGTCGGCGATTTCTGATGACCTATCGGAAATCCGTTAGAGCTCAGCCTCCCGAACGAAAGACAATTGGTCCATTACCAGATCGGAACAATCGTGTTGAGATGCCCGCATCCCACACCGCCTATCACACGACCGACCATCATCATGCTGACGTTTTGGGCGGCAGCTTGCAAAGCCGCGCCAACTAGGGCCCATACACAGCCCAGTTGGATGGTCTTGAGACGTCCAACCTTGTCTGCATAGATACCGACCAGCAAGCCACCGATGGCGAAACCTAAGAACCAGATGCTAACAATGCCGCCGATGAAAGCTGAGTCGCCAGAAGTTCCTCCTTCGAGACGCATGAGGTGCAGATAGTCCTTGTTCGAGTTGACTTGCGACATAACACTGGCGTCATAGCCAAAGAACATGATCGCTGTGCCCGCAAGGAGGAGTACTGCACACATCATGGGTGCTCCACGTATCCGTAGACACCGTGATTTTGAGTAGCCCCCAGGAATATATCTAGCCCATTGTGGTTCGGGTTGAATCACGTCAGGAGGAAGACGCTGCTCCAGCATCTCACATTGTACTTTTTCGGTGTCGGAAGTCGCTTGATGCTCGGCCATGGCGAGGTAAATGGGCATGCTCAAAGCATCGATACTTGGGAGACTCAATCTGGCGCGGATTGTCTAGGCCTTTTGTATGTCCTGATCTAAAGTTTATACGTGGCTCCTAGCCAAATAAGCTTTTGCTGTGCCATGGGGGTTTTCCACGGGGGAAGAAGAAATGGAGTTCAATCGTGGGGAGCGGATCAAATTCTACCGAGTGATGATCACTGCTAGAACCTCTATGGAGAGCAGAGATGGTCACTGGTTTCGGTAACTTCTCGACCGCGTTGTGGAGTATATACATCCAGAAAGAGTTACTCGGTGTAGCGGAAACCGAGTTAAAGCTTTCGTTCCAGTAAAACCACAAAGGATATTATAAATAGTTTCGAAGAGATATTCCGAAAGGTTAAATCAGTGGCCAGAAGGTCTAGATTAACTCTCCCATTATTAAATTTATGCTTTCACAGGCGGCACATCTTCTACCGAGTGCTTCTCCAACGTGTCCGGGTACAATGAACGAACACTCTTGGTGCCTTGATGTTGCCGTGAAAGACGGAGAAACGAGGTTGGATAGTCATGTAGTCTTGCCTCTTATTTTGTAAAGGAGCAACGTCAACGGTCTCCGACTGCAGAACTTTCGACCGTGGGGATTCTCTGAAACCGGACACCTGCCCAAACGATTGGACACTTCTCGAAAGCTTCTACCGTTCGTGCAGTACTCTCTACCGGGAGCTGGACGATCTCTCACGAATATAAGGCCTTAGGAGCAGACAGAATGCAGTCATCGGTTGAAACAAAGGACTGGTTTCTTAGCTCCACTGTTGGTGCAGAGAGGGTTCAGTGCCGGAATTCAAGAACTACATGCGGCTTGCTTTCTTACAACTGTTACACCACCTAGACAAGAGTATTTGACAGGCTTGGGAAGATTATCAAGGGACAACGAAGGCTGGTTGTTGCCCTCCTTGGCCATTGAAATCCCCTAGGTTACCACGTAGGCGTAACAAGACCAGTCTAGACATATCAGGATGTTTTCACATCTCGTTGCAGGTAGGATACCATTCTCGTCTTCTTACAGACACCCCACTACTGGAGTACGTTGTCCCGATGATCTTATTATGCTCTGGCTGACTTCGTCATCGCCCATCTAGCGTCATTCTTCTTTGATTCATAGAACAACGTACAATCCAGTACACGATCAACGTCGAAAACAGTCGCTTCGTTTCCTTGAGGAGCCGCCGGTGGTGGATTTGAAGTGTCCTAGCCCCCGGAGTTGGAGAAGTTCGGATGCCTCGACGAGGTGAGTTGTTCATTCCTATGGCGATCTCACCCCTGGGAACAGCGATGTCGAGCTCGGAAACTCGACACGAGGCCATTCTATTTCCGTCTTTGGGCCTGAACGGGGTGGTAGTCGGGCTGAGCTACGGATCCCCCCCGCCACAATCTGGGCTACGGCCCCGTCCCCAGCATTCGCCTATAGTCACCAGTTTTCCGCCTCTGCCCCAGTTTACAGAAGCAATAACCTAGCACCGATTCAAGTCTACCTACTGGTCACAAAAGTTCCCTTTCTCTAACGTAATTAGTCCTAATTCAGGTCTGGTTTCAAGGAAAAGCAGGAAATTCGCGTCATGCTGCTCCAAGATCTGCTGTCTCATCCAAAGGCTCTCATCAATCCCAGTGAAAGAGCATACTAAGTCATTCGAACCCTAAATCTTCGTGCTCTCTGCCCAGAAAAGTCATAGATCCAGGTCCTGCACTTGACGAGCAATACCCTCCTGTTATCGCGGGTGATGGAAGGTGTATGACAGGTCACCTTCGTCCGTTCAGGTAGTGTCTCGATTATGCCGCTGTTTCGAGCAGATCGAAAAGAGGCAAAGTTTTGATGCGCGGTGAATCGATCGACGCCAAATTCTTATTTCCCGCGCACCCTAGCGAGCCCGATTGTTACGTTTTGGCCCGGGCATTAAATCTTGACTGGAGATAGTACAGTTTGATTTGTCGGCAAGGCCCCCATGGTCGGGAATTTTGGTCAATTCCTTCAAGCACGGAGAACAACGCCTCTTCGCACCATGAATGTATATCGTGAGTAGATATATGAAGAGGTATAGCCTCATCGAGCAAGCTCATGATATCTTCACGCAAGGGAGCCCACGCGTCCGCAGTGCACCCGCCCGCCAGGCTGGCCCCTTGCAGATTCTGTTTGGTAGGCCTGTATGCCAACCGTCAATTGCTCTTTGCTAGCTACGAACGATCACTTGTGAGCAATTGGTCCTTACTGAGACGCTCCATCGCTGCGGGCCACCATCTTATAACTAATGCATCATGCGGCTTCTACGGCTTGATGCAGAAAACGACCTGTTCCTGACCGAGGATCTGCCCAAATCTCCGGGACCGTACGGCATCCTCTCGCACACATGGGGAGGGAAAGAAACAGAACTGATACTCAGTGACTTTCATGAAGAGACGGGCAAGATCGACAAGGGCCAGCCCGAGGATGGATACGAGAAGGGGATCTTTCTGCGCCAAGCAAGCCTGCGCTCATGGACTTGAATATTGCTGGGTAAACACGTGCTGCATCAGCAAATCCAGCAGCGCAGAACAGTGAGGCTATCATTTCCATGTACAGGTGGTATCAGCAGGCGGCGAGGTGCTATGTATACATGTCAGATGTGTCAGTGACGTCTGAATACGACATGTCGCAAGAATCTAAATGGAAACCGCAGTTTTGGAGAAGCAAGTGGTTCACGCGTAGCTAGACGCTGTAAGAGCTTATTGCTCCAACTCTTGTAGATTTCTTTTCGAAGGAAAAGATTTGTCTGGGCAACAAGACCACACTGGAGTCCGAGATTCATCGGATCACAAACATATCTGTGAAAGGCATTCGAGGAAATGTACGTCAATTTGATATTCAGGAGCGACTATGCTGGGACAGCAAACACAAAACAATACGTGAAGAGGACGCCGTGTACTGTCTTTCAGGACTTGTCGACGCTTTCATGCAACGTCTCTACGGCGAGGAGGATCATCGAGTATACAGTCGACTTCAGCAAGCGATTCAAGCATCTATCGCACTAAGAGCACTGTCAAAAGATGTACATCTACCTAATCAAGAGACACGAAGCTCTACGAGTGGTAATATGTGCGAGCACGGCTATCCCAGTTACTCGTATCGCTCCGATACTGCACAGAAGGAAGAGGAATTCAAAGTTAAGCAGGCTTATCAGATGGCAGATGATACTTCTGATCATGGTCAGATCTCCTCAAATCATTGTCGTATCCTGAGATGGAGTATCGACATAACGGGGTTGATTATATGCAAGATAACACGTGCAAATAGCTACTCGATCATGACATTATCGTACATGGAAGCGTGAAGCTAACACGGCTAATATACTGATGGTCTGCGGTAAACCAGGATCTGGAAAGTCCACAGCAATGAAAAGAGCTTACAGCATCGCAAGAAACGAAGCTCGCCTCAACGAGGTGGTAGTCGCATTCTTCTTCAATGCGCGAGGCGTCCCGATGGAGACCAGAGTGGAAGGCTTCTTCTATTCGGTGCTTCATCAACTGCTACAATGTCCTAGACTCAGCAGTGACGAGGGGTTAGAGGCCTGGAAGCGAAAGGAAACCTCGACAAGGTCTGGCTGGAAATGGACAGCAAAAGACCTTCAGAACATGTTCCTGGCGTCTACGTTGGGCTCGACTGTTAGTCTCATCAACGCTCGTCAAATGACAGTACATCCACGTCGATTTTACTTTTGTTTTCGACGTGGTATTGCTTTCCGCGTGGCTGCACGAAGGTTCCATAACACAGGAATCCTAAAAGTCAAATTCTCCGGCGCAGATCTGTAATGTTGGATCCAATTTGGGGAGCGATCGGCAAGATGCGCCGTGGGGAGGTCTCAGATGCCTGATCGGTGCAGCAGACTCCCCCAACAGTGCCTCCAGCAAAGAATCGCTTGTGTCCGGATGACATGGTGTTGCACCAGTTACTCAACGCTATAGAATAGTTTTTCGAATGGCTCGAAGTTGAAGAACGGGTCGTCGTAACTTTCGTAGTCGCTGATTACATCGCCAAAGCCGAGATGTCGAAGTACCTGTGTGCTTGATTGCGGAGTGCCGCCTGCCCAGCCCTCGAGCCACGGAGCCGCATTGTCCACTCCAACCGCGTCAAGTCCTGGTGGGTGGTCGTCTGTGTAACTTTGAGGCGTGTCAGTGGTGTAGAAAGCCCCGGAAGGGAAATTTGGCCCGATTGTTGTCTGGTTCTGGGCACTGCCATGGATTACGAGGATATCGTCCATGTAGTGCTGCACCGTCCGTTTGATTTCGGTCTCAACGCGGTCATGCCACTTCGCAATAGACTCCCTGAAGGCTTCAAGAGTTTCTCGATATAGGCCAGCTTGCGGACTTTGGGTCGCAATAGACTCAAGGACAGTATTCACCTGCTCGAAAGCCTCGTCTATGTCCTTTCGAGGCTCTCCAGCAAATTTGCTGAAGCCGAGTACGAGACCGGCTCCAAAGACCCATGCCTTGAGCAGACAGAGGTTTCCAAAGGAGTACCCATGCCGGTGTGCCGCCGCACATGTGGCTGCGGTACGCATTGCGGCACTGACACACAATTGAGCCATCTTGCTGATGGTGCTGTTTTTGATCGCCATGTCTGATGCCTCATCGGGGTTGGGAATCAGCTGATCGGGAGCTCTCCCTCGGAGCCGAGATAGTAGATAGGCTATCAAGAATGGGCGTGAAATGAGTATGACGGCGAAATAGTAGATACAAGACACGTGCAGCGCTCCAGCTAACTTCTGCCTTGCTGATAAATCTCCTTGGGAGATTGCGTCTTTGCCTGTTGGTGATGTGATACTTCGCAACGCATTTCTTGACACATTAGCATCACCTGTGAACGAGACTTTGCGCAAGCTGGTTGGAAGCGACTGGCTCCAGCTCTGCAACTTCTCAAGGAGACTCTCAGCTGTCGGTACGTGCAAAATTTTGCCGGAGCTGAGTTCGTCCACAATTTCTTCAAGTAGGGAGCAGCCTTTTACGATAGAGTTGAATGGCGTGAGATTGTCGTTGCCCAGGTATTCGAATGAGAGATGGGTCTGGCTGGAACTTTGTCGGATTGCTGGTAGGCTTTTTGGTTTCCCAAAGATGAAGCTCGAAAGAACGTCGACGTTGCGCAAGCTGTTCCAGATTCGTGCTCTACTGGCGGCAACATCAGTCTTGTGCAACATATCATGCAATTGAGATCGTACTTACTTCGAGGACGACTCGCTCTCGGAAGAATTGGAGTATGTTGAGGCACGGTGTAGGGATAACACACATGCGGCTTTCGCCGCCACACCCAGGTACATTGAGGCTGTATCTCTTTGACAGGCACCAATCATGTAGAACGCCAGCAATGTGAACAAACGAACCATAGAGAGGTTTTGTCTTCCAAGCATGGTCTTAAATGCTGCTTCACGGCCATTGCGGAAGTAATAAGTTGAATGTGCTCGGCAGGTGAAGGGCTCCCGAAGCTGAGCCCCGATAGCTAGGGCAACATCGGTAGCCGGGATCAAGTCGCCATCCAAGCCCCATCCCGGAGGATCATGTGCGTATACGTTGCTCCGATACATGTCAGCAAGCTCATCCGTTGAGAACAGTTCTAGGAGGCCGCTAGTCTGTTTAGTCAGCAGGGGGACAGTGAGTGGGTGGCAGGAGCTCACGGCTTCCAGATAGGCTCCCAAGAGCTCATCGCGGCTATGAGCCGGAACTGGATGGACAGCGTCTTGTACATCGTCTTGCACCATCTCATGTCTCGCTCCTTCCGTGAACGATGTCAAACCCACATATGGGCGGAGAGTCTCGCGCAAGTACTGCAAAAAGGAGTGAGACGATGTCTCGCTATCAGCAATGTGCCTATGAGAATTGTCCGGTTCCGGTTTGGCTGGCATCGCTTTAGCAGAGGCTGCATTGGGAAGTGCGGGAGTAGACACTGCTGTGGATGGATCTCCCTCAAGAACTATGCTGACAGGCGATCGCTCAGCTGTAACGCCAATAGTGGACCGATGGTGCTGCGCACTGGTGTCATATACGGGCCCGCGCAGCTCGGTCCTGTTAGTAGTGCGACGCCGTCCATCGACGCCTGAGATGCGACATAATGACTCTTTTCCTCTACCTATACAGGTAGAACACGGTATTGAGCCATTGCACCTTATCTTAGATGCTTTGCAAGACGCGCATGCCCGAGAAACCCGCCTTCGTTCCTCTGGTGGTGGCTTCGGGCGCGGCATTGACGAAGCGCGACTGGCTAAGCGGTCGCTAGGGCTTCTCACCTACTTCGACTGCGGGTGTGCGAGACTGCGCAATCAACAGAAGAAGCCATCTACCATAGAAAATGAAAGGATTAGAAGTGTGGCAGTTCCGTCGAGCTCAGCTGAACGCGGGGAGGTGGTTGGGATTAATTCGCCAATTCGCGGAATGCTTATCTGAAAGACCCACCAAGCGATATGGGGTTCGGCCTGTGGGACACGAACACGTCGCGTTTGTTATCACTAAAGAGTGCAAGGTACAATTTCCAGTAAGATCTCTGCCACGTAAAAAGCACCCCTTGCGAAACAGCTCGCACCATATGAATACTGATATGGTCATGGCTAGGTGACCTCAAGTTGCCGCAGCCACTTGCTGTTGGCGAGCAAAGCCCATCTCTACAGCCTCGTTAAAGTATTGCCCTACTGTCACTGGTGGACTGGAGAATGGTTAGTACAACTTAATCACATTTGACCATTTGAATTCCACGTACTACTTCTTCAAAGGACCCTGCAGAACGAAGTCTCGGCGGCATTGATTGAAGTAAGCGATCGAATACCGGGAAGGACTTTTGCCGACCTCCTTCGCCCGAACGCGGTGGAAGTTAGATTTCAGTCGATCGTCAGACCATGCCACTGCCAACTTATCAGTTTATGATCCATCGCAGGTCTCAGTAGTAGAAACTCACTCAGCATGTCGCCAATGTTGACTACGATCGGCCCAGTGTGAGCAGGCAGCGGTGTAAACTCATCACCCATGGCGAAACTCGAATGCGACTCCCTTCCAGGGCAGATTTCGAGGCCATCCTCGCCTTCCCGCTGGAATAAGAGTGTCAGGCAGCCAATATCTGTATGACTTCCAGCTCTCCAGGTGCCCACGGCGTTCTCGGAGGCCGGGTAGTGGATAAGGCGGAGCTGAGTCAAGCAATCCGGTTGAGCAGGGTCGTTAGCGATTTGGAAGTGATTTTCCGGGAATCCCAACGCTATGGCAAAGCACGAGACTGTGCATCATATTAGCGCCTTTTTGAAACAGACCCGGGATGACTTTGCGACTCACGAACGTTGTCTGAGATGGCCCTGCACTTGCTCATGAAGGCGTCCGTAGTCTCTCTGAAGTGAGGCACATCCTCATCGTCAGGCCAGTCAGAATTGCTCATCAACCACAGTGACTCTTTCTCATCATATGTACCTGTACTTGGACGGAACTGCGCCTGATCGTAGTCAATCATCTACACGAGCACCGCGGGCACGGCAAACCTGACATGCCTTGTACTCCCAGCCGTTGTTGGTCTGCGGGTCGTGTGGAGTCTTCCCTTTGACATCTGCAGGCAGCGCAAAGAACTGCCTCGAGATACTGAATTGGGACTCGATCTCTTTCTTCGTGATGCCATGGTCAACAAGCGTGAAGAAACCTGCATGTTCAGCAGCATCGACTAATTGCTTTGTTATATCACTCTTGCGCTTATCGAAGTCTATTTCATCAGCCTGGCTGGTCATCGTAAGTCAATGTTGTATAAGATACTTACCCGCAAGTGAAATCATAGGCACCAGTCTTTCGGTCATCGTCGACATTTGCTGTACAGTATGTTATGTTGATGTTGCTAAGTTTGGCAAGGATTGAGCACGGTGCTAAGCCGGGAATTCCATCTTATCTTATGATCGCTGTAGTGCGCCGGCAAGCTCTTACCGGCTACCATACTCCATGTTCACGCGGCCCTTGCACAGCCTGAAAGCTGTGGTCGAAGACACACGGCTGGGGGTGCTCGGAAATGGGACACCGCGTTTCGGAAATGTGGAGGAACATATCCACGATAACTTTATCGAGAGCTATCTCGTAGCGAGGCAAGTGGATGAGGGGAGATAGGGAAGCAATTGGGCTTTGTCGGATCGCAGATCGGATAACTCTTGCAGTAAGATAAGGCGGCTCGCTGACAACCAATTCCTGGCTTCAAGCAGAGAACTTCGGCCGACCATTAAGGGCAGATCATCGAACTTGATACGTGCATATCTTGGAGGCATATCAGGTCATCCCTTCAGCACTATCTGAAGAAATTATGTCCTTGAAAGGACCAACACATATTAGCAAAAGCTCAAACATGATTGAGAAGGTACGTTGAATAAGCTATGCGCGCTTGACCATAAATTAACAACTGATCGACAGCATGTCGACACCGAGGCACGCCAGGTCATTGACAGTGCCAAAACTGACAAGGCCTTGGAACTTCTGGCGAATAATCACATCGACTTCAATCCGGAGTCTGAAGAAGCACGGCGTCTGCTCCGCAAGATCGACTGGAGACTCATGCCAATGATTTTTACCGTGTATCTCTTTCAACTGATGGACAAAAACTCGCTTGCGTTTGCAGCAATTATGGGCATCAGGTAGATATTTCTTCGATCGATCGACTTTGTCCTAGCATCAATTAACTCGTGAGCAGGGAGGACGCAAACCTCACCCCAAGTCAATACTCCTGGCTTGGATCGATCGTCTACTTTGGCTATCTTGCAGGCGAAATCCCCGCCACTTTCTTGATGCAGCGATTTCCCCTCGCTCGTTATCTGGCAATCATGTGCATGATCTGGGGCATCATTGTGGCGATGCATGCCGTCTGCCACGATTTTGCTAGCCTTGCTGCGGTTCGCTTTCTCTTGGGCTTTGTCGAAGTCTGCACAGCGCCCGCAGTTATCATGATCACGGCTTCTTGGTACACTAAGACCGAGCAGGTGACTCGTGTCGCTATCTGGTATACGACGTCTGGATTTGCCGCAGTGTTTGGAGGCTTTTTCTCATGGTGCATCTATCAAGCGACTAGTTTTCGGTGGCAGGGGCTGTTCGTGCTCTATGGAGGCCTCACCCTCTTCACTGGTATCGTTGTGCTTTTATTCCTGCCAGCATCTCCCACGGATGCTAAATGGCTGACGAATCAACAGAAAGTCATGGCCCTGGAGCGTGTGCGGAGTAACAAGACCGGAACTGAGGTATGGAAGTTCAATGCGGCCCAGCTGAAGGAAGCGCTCTTGGACGTTCGATTCTACATGGTGTTTCTCCTCCTTGCCAGCGGAGGTGTGGCCAATGGAGGTGTCACTGCCTTTGGGCCGACTATCATCAAATCATTCGGCTTCAGTGTCTCACAAACGACCCTACTCAATATGGGTTCCGGCGGCGCCCAAGTTGCTGGAACAATCCTTGCGCTTTTTGTTGCGAAGAAAACCAGCGGTACCTTCGCAGGCGTCTATACGCTCGTGCTCGCTGTTGTGGGTACCGTTATGATGCTTGCGATGGCTCCCCAACACAACACTGCGCGCTACGGTGGTTTTATTCTGCTCATGCAATGTAAGTTGAGCCGCTACCTAAGCACTGTTCCGAGGTAAGAGCTGACATATACGAGTCCCGATCTATGTTCTCTTCGTCATCACATTCATGACTGGCGGGGTTGCTGGTTCGACAAAGAAGTTCGCCTTCACGGTAGCTTATCAATTTGGATATTCAGTGGTCGGTCGTGTCGGTAACTTGCAATTTCTCTGTGCTGATCAACTGTCCAGGGAAACATCGTCGGTCCTCAGACCTACCGTGGCTCTGATGCTCCAAATTATCCGATTGCCAAATACACGATGCTAGGGTTCTTGGTGCTCACAGCCCTAATGGTTGGTACCTATGGCTTACTACACAAATTGTGGAACAAGCGGAGAGACGCAAGAGCTCTTAGTGAGGGTAAGCCAGCTACGCATTTCGGTCCCGCGCATCGGGTTCCGAGACGCTCAAATGCTAACGAGTTCATGTGAACAGGTGAAGAGCCACGTATGGAAAACGAAGAATTTAGCGACTTGACGGACTTCCAGATCAAGAGCTTTCGCTATCCATTATGAACAGGAGGAAGTTGCACGAAAAGAATCGTATTAGTCAGGTAGTCGGACAGGAAGATCTCAATATCATACTGCTTAACACTGTTTTGTGGTCTATCTATAATACTTCGGAAATTCAGCTCCCTCATGATGATACGGTAGTGTTTCCTAGCGCAGTCTCATGTCATAGCAGACATGTTTCCCCAGAGCCAGATATTCCATGGTGATTGTATATACATACTGAGGCTTACGACGCGTATCAAGTGACACATCCGCGGGATTTGTTTCACGGTCTGCCGCCAAGTCCATCACATCAAGAGCAACGTGAGAAGCAAAGAGAAAAGTACGCAGTGGATTGGACGGATACACATGTTTCATCCGGAACTGGCAATTCTATAAACTAGGCTGAAGAGGTCGTTTGATGCTCTCGACGTTATTGCTGGGATGCTCCGGTCAGTACCAACCCTGGCAGGAGCGAAACACACTCACGAAGCTCCAGGTCCTGCAATATCCTGCCACTTCCCAACACATCCCCGAATGAATTCCAATAGACTGTCACTGAGGCTAGTATCTGTAGTTCCGATGCTCAAGACTACTGATAGATGATTATGTCGTCTACTGACTCGCATCAGTGGCAGACTTCCTTCGGGTTTACTGCGCTTCCTGTACGCCTCGAAGAAGCGTCCCGTCGCGTCGCTCGTCTCTGGGATTTCCCATTCGACTGTACCCAGATATACAGGCAGCTTCTGACTGTCAAGTGCTGGGCTACCCTCTTCTAGCCTCTCCAAAAGTCCCAGTGGCGATTTTGGATACCATATATCGTCGTTGTATGAGCCGTAATAGTTACGAAGGGCGTACTGGCGCCCAGGCTTGCGACTGTCCATCCAGAAAGGTACGTCAAGAAAGATGACCCCTGCTACTGGTGGCCAAACAGCCGTTGGATCGCCTGCGAAGCGGTCGGAGAGCTCAGAGTGGCGTTCTGTATCGCCTGCAGCGTAGAGATTCATCGCCAGATGTGCACCTCCAGATGAATGCCCAAAAAGAATGACCTTCTTCGGATCGCCAAATCCATACTCCACAGACGATATATTGTTGTACACCCACTCTCGAGCCAGCTGCATGTCGACGGCGGCATCAGGGTACTTCGCGCCAGGCACCAATTGATGGTTGACGCAGATAGTCACAATGCCGAGCGAGGCAAAGTAGTACCCGATATTGGCATAGACATTTTTGCTCCAAACCTTGTCGCCGGAGATGAACCCTCCCCCATGAACATAGAATAGAACGGGCCTTCCAGCATTAGGGCAAGGTAGTGTTTTTGGAGGCACATATACATCTAGGAGATTCCGAGACGCCGCCCCATATCGCCTGTCACTGATGACCTGGATATCACTTGATATAGTGTAGAGAGGCTCATACAACAATCGCCATTTCTGCATTCGTTCGCACGTCAGAGTTCGTGATTTCAGCATTCGTGCTGAGTACAACGCACCTCTTCATCGCCAGGTGAAAATTTGATCGTCTCCTTCACAATTTCCTTGATTACAGTGTCCATGGTTGACCCGCTCGTCCTGATTAGTCGCCCGGGGATGCACCAAGTAGGGCATCAGGAATTGGCAGGTGTGGTTTCAGGCCAAACCTGGACTAAGAGCCTGGTTGTGGCGAAGGGCGCTGATAGCCGTGGCCCGGTTATGTACCGGAAAAGTACCTCCGCATTTGGATTCTGCCGCTGAATGCTATCGGCAGAGCATTCTGGCTCCACGAAATTTGATGAGAGCTGTACGTGTGGTTTTGGAACCGATACGTGTGTTCCCGACCGGTCCAGGGAACGAACTCGGCCCGCGTATGCCGTACGCCGATGATGAGGACGATATGTCCCGGTGAGGAGATCCTGCCGTCTCAAGGCCATAGTCTCGCAAATGTCCCGCTTGGGAGACTACCACAGCCTCATTACCGTGCAAACCACCGTTCAAAGTAATAGTCTCAGATCTGAGCTCCGCGAGAGATCGTCCGCAGCGCTTAGTGAGACGAGAAACTACGATGGTTGCATCTTTGACAAGGTAAAGATATACGACTACTACCCTTTGCAGCTGTTAATATTGGGCAGATCAAATATTCGCCAGCATTCGTCGCGCCAAAGCTGCTGGCTCATCATCTCCGGGATTGTGTACGATGTGACTAATTTTGTCGATTCACATCCCGGGGGAGCATCACTAATACTCAAGTACGCTGGAAAAGATGCGACCCAAGCGTACGAGCCACTACATGCATCCGACACACTCGAAAAGCATTTGTCTGACGACCAGAGGCTCGGGTCGCTGGTTGAAGATGATTTCGGCTTACCCTCACACGGTGCTGCGCAAACAACCTTCTCGAAGTCCGTCACCACAGATAATGGGGTAGGCGAGATATCAACTGCTGTCGCTCGCCAGAGATGTCCCCGGCTATCTTCCATGATATCCCTTGCCGACTTTGCGCAAGCGGCAAAAGCAAAGCTTTCTGCGACATCGTACGCGTTCCTCAGCTCAGGCGCTGAGGACAACGTGTCACTCGACCGCAATCTCACCTCGTGGCGAGTGGTCCGTCTTCGACCTCGCATTCTGCGTCCAATGCCGAAGCCGCCAAATATTCAGCGGAGAATATTGGGCAACGACTTCTCTGTGCCTTTCGTTATTTGTCCTGCTGGTGGAGCTAAGCTATGCCATCCAGAAGGTGATACTCTGCTCACTAAGGCAGCTTTTCAGCAAGGCGCTCTTCAATGGGTGTGCAACAACGCTGGTAGGACTCAGAAAGCGGTTGCTGCGGCCCGAGGTCCCGGGCAGATACTCTACTGGCAAATTTATGCGATGAAGGATTTGAAAGTGACTGAGGACGAGATTCGAAGCGCCATTGCGCTGGGTTTTAAGGGCTTCGCATTGACCGTCGATGCCATTTGGGCTGGAAAGAGAGAACTGGATCTAAGAGCAAGACTGGCTGAGGACGATGATGATCACGAAGATACCCATGGAGATGTCCAAGATCAGAGCTTCATGATGGCGCCAAAAGTGAACAGACCGTGGGTTTCGCCTCGACCAACAGGTAAATCGCATTTCTAACTCTGCTAGTCCGGTCTACACCGAGTTCACCTTCGACACAGCCATCACGTGGTTGAAATCTCTGACTGATCTGCCAATCGTCATCAAGGGTGTGCAGACTTGGGAGGACGCGCTTCTCTGCCATCAGTACGGTGTGCATCCCTGGTTGAGCAACCATGGAGGTCGTCAGCTCGATTCGACTCCTTCTGGACTCGAGACTCTTCTCGATATTCACGAGCACTGTCCAGTGGTCTTGAGGGAGTGTCAAGTCCTAGTCGATGGCGGTGTTACACGCGGTGCTGATGTTGTCAAAGCTTTGGCCCTCGGCTGCAGAGCTGTCGGTATAGGCAGAGGTTTTCTGTACTCTATGGTCTTTGGCCTGCGTGGCATTGAGAAAGCTATGGAGATTCTAAAGCATGAGATCGAGACAACCTTGGCTCTGCTTGGTGTGATGAGTTTGGACGAGCTCGGACCTCAACATGTAAGTGATCCTCAACTCTGCAAAACCTTCGGACCATCCGAATTATAAAGCTTACTCATACGTTAGGTCGATATAAGAGGGTCATTTTGTGGGCGTGCGAAGCTCTAGATTTAGATGTGTACTGTATTTTCTTTATCTATCGATCAGTGCAGTGGGAAAACAGTCTTAAGCATTCCTTTCCCCAGTGTTGTTCGTCAGGTGTTATACTACCATCGCTCCACCTAGTCATGTTGCGAAAGCAATAGACCAGCAGGTTTGTATCGGATCTATACGCATTGATGTATCCTAGTGGTAAGAGATACTACTTCGTGCACAGCACTAGTCCTCAAACGTGTGATTAGCTTGCTGCAATGTACAAATTCTGATACAATAGCTATTGATCAGCGGCATTCTTTTCTAGTTTGCATAGACCGTCATGACGATCCACATGTGTGATGCAATCTTCAGTGGCCAAACTCCGTGTCGAGGTTGTCAGCGACATATTTAATGCCTGCAGCCCGATATGTGTCTGGCTGCACCGCCGTTGTCACACTCGTATTATCGGCCGCAAACAAAAGGATCTCGGGCTCATCGCCTGTGTACTCCGGCCACATTAGCTGGTCGTCTTCATTGAGGTCAGTGCAAGGTCCAAATTGAACTAGGGTACACGTACCTGCAAGATGATGATTGGGGTCCAGTGTAGCGACAAAGCTTATCCAAGCCTTCTGCATAGCTTTCGAGAGCTCAGCATATGTGCTGTTCATCTGACTGACAATCCAGTCACTACCGAAGACGAAAGGAAGCTCAGCGCCATGGTTTGAGCCTACCCACGGGCTGAGTGCTGGTTGATAAGAGTCGAACACGTAGCCGTACGTGCTTGTATTGGACGCGGCCCAGATCTCATTGGCTAGTCGCCGTGGAGCATGAATATTGACGTCGCCCTGGAAAGCTCCACTTCTCCGGAATTGATGGCCTAAGCCAGCTGGAGGTGTGCCGTTCACCTCCGGGCTTCCGATGCCAGGAATATCAGGATAGAGTGCCGCTAGAATAGCCGTGGCATTATCCGATACCTCCCAGGGACCGATAACAAGCTCGAGGAATTCCTCAGTGTTATTGATGCCCCGAGCTGCGAATGTCGCGCTCTCGTCCTTGTTCCCACCAAGCATGTAGGGAACATGGACAAATTTTCCTGCTTGCATCAGAGTTGTTGCGCTTTCTTCCACGAAATCTCCATCAATCACCTGTACAAACTTCGGTCCATCTTGAGAGTAAATCGAAGTCCGCGCAGGTACGACGTCGTTGTCGTTGAAGATATCGTATAACGTGGAGCTGTCCACAGTCCTCAGGCAGGCCAATGTATCCTGTTCTCCGGTGCACCCCGTGGCGTAAACAACCGCGTCATAGAATGGTTGCCACTCATCAGCTGTCTGGTATCGGTAGTAGGTTGATGGGGCTCCACTCTGACTGATCGCTGCGCGGAAGAGCTTATCATCACGACCACCGTAAGCGATGAGATGTGTTCCGACAGAGTTCCCGCCGGCGCTTTCTCCAAAGATTGTGACTTTAGATGGATCACCGCCGAAGGCCCCGATATCAACCTTGTGTCAGCTTTGCTTGGGTAGAGCGCAGAGTCTCCTTACTTTCCTGGATCCAGTGCAGGGCTAGTCGTTGGTCCTTGAAGCCAAGATTCGCAACCCCTTCATCTTTGATCTCTTTGCTCCACATATATCCCCAGCAGTGTAATCTATAGTTGATGCTGACAGCGATAACTGGCGTTCCCATTTCTTGTGATGTTTGAACGAAATTGGAGAGGTTATATGTTGGTAGCGAGTTTGAACCACTCACAAAGCCGCCGCCAAAGATCCAGACTAGAGGGCGTTAGATCAAGGTCGAGAATAGTGGAAGCAGCGCACCTGCAACAGCCAAAGCTGAATCGTTTGAAATACCAGTTGGTCGGACAATATTGAGATTAAGGCAATCCTCCGAGGCTCCTTCTGACTGATTCAGACCGAGGCAGCTTGGTCCATAGCTTACTGCGGATCGCACGTCGTCCCATGTAGTGTTCAGAGAGTGGGGGTTGCGAAGTCGTAAGTCTCCCAGAGGTGGCTGCACATATGGAATGCCTAGAAACTGTTCCTGCGAGAACTCGGGGCTGTAAAAGCCCTCGTAGGTGCCGTTGAGGACCTTCACGGTGGGAGCTCCCTGTGCTAATGCACTGGACACTAGCAGCAGAGCGATACCGCTGGAGAACATCGTGCTTGTAGAATTGGACAGCATCTTCCCAATGCTTGATGCATTCGCTCCTTGAGGAAAACTCTACTTATATACAGTGATGCACTGTTGATGAGGCACTGTATTGTGCATGGATACGTGAAAGTTATCTTTAACCTTAACTGCAATTATTAAGCATTTTCTGTCGATACAACGGCTTTCACTGAAAGCTAAAGTTAGTGTTACTTATCCGGACGAATGTTAATAGAGAAATAGGTACATTTCCGGTTCTTGTGAAAGGTTCGGAAATGTTCCCGAAAGTATCTTCTTTCTAGTGGGGTAACTAACAGGTGGTAACAGACCCGATTTACCACTTTAAAGGGTTGATGGCGACATCCTAGGCTTCTACAGCGATTATAGTGAGGTCTTCCAAGGGCAGTTCGAAGTCGTTTCTTCAACCTGAGCGTTATCTCTCATATCTTCATGAGCTTACTCTCGTTTTAAAGAAGCGAATCCTGTTACGACATAACCTAAACGACGACCGAGCTGAGCTAAGACGTAGTAGAGACAAAATGTAGATTAAGTACCAAGGACTACTACGTTAGGGAGGTCTCGAGATGTAGGTCTGGGGGTTTAGTCTTTAGTATAGGCAAACAGGTATGTCGTATAGATCTAAGAAGTATACCTCAATTTACCTTAGCAGAAGTCGTATAGGATGCGTATCACGATGCGCTTAAGGACCTAGGAAGTTTACATAAGGATGTGGGATGCGCGATGCGTATCCTACTATCGCTAGCTAGAGCACCATAGAGCATAGAGCATCACCCCTGGTGACGTGATCTTCCTTCCTTCTTTTGGCCATGCTCGGTCAAACTCCCTCCCCTCTAGGTTCGTGAGGACGCATGTAGGTCAACCCATAAGATGGAGATCCAATGTATCCCAGTTCCAGTCGTCTATCCGAGGTATAAGTAACTGTCCCGTGGTTGGTCGTGTAATCCTACCATGTTTGCGAGAATCAATTCATCTATCGCAACAATGGGACTGAGCAAAGGTGATGAGCATGGTGACGAGGTTGAGCAGTGATCAGGTCAGCCTAAGCAGTCAGCACCTTGCCTGATCCGATGTTGGGCCATGTTACGTGCAGCCTGAGTAGAGCAGCGAGACCCGATCCCTGGTCGGATGCCAAGACGATGTGCAGATTCGCCGCTGAATACCACCAGAGGAACGCGAACGCTGCAAACTCATGATATGGTGGGTGCTTTACACGAAGCGCTCTCTTTCCCTCTCCGAGCTCTGCGATGCTATGGCATTTAGAGAAAGATATTTAACCTATCAGCAATATAAAGATTCGGGGACTTTTGTTCGGCCTGCAGAAATGAAGAAACTGCTTGCCACGAGTACACGAGGCCTCGTCGAGGCCGCGGAAATTGGAAAGACCCAGTATACTCATTTCCAAGCGCAGACCTCCTATCGTGTGCAATTCATCCACGAATCGGTCCAAGAATATCTCCTGCACCAGCGAATTACCACTATTCAAAACTCCACCTCTATGTAATATGAGATCGGCGCCGCGAACAGTATCCTCGCGCTTTCATGTTTCAATTATATCAAGGCAGTGTGCGTCGAGACGGGCGTCATAGAGTCCATGGTGAAGCACTGAGAACTTAATCACTGTACAAGTTCGACTGAACATATGCGGGACTGGAGTTTCCTCGACTACGCGATTAGGTTCGGCTTCGATCATGCCGAGCTGGCAGAAGTTCGTAACTTTCCACAATCACAGATCTTCGAAAGTACCACAAGTGCACATTGTGCGACTGCCATCGCTCCGTGGTGGGATTCTTTCGCAAGCATCTTCAGAAGGATTCACTGGGGGAGATATTCGTGGCAGGAGAACAGACATCTTTGGAGCGAATTCATTACTACTCCACTGGCATTTGCATTATTGAGAGCACTGTGCGTGACTGCAACCCCAGGGAAGGAGAGGAACCTTCTTCTACTCTTGCGGGCAGGCGCCCATGTGGACTACGAAGAACCGTCGTTCGGAAGTCCATTGGACTTGTCGCTTGCTTCCAAACGAGTTAAGCTCGTCCCAATCTTATTGAGACATGGAGCCAAAGCACACAATGGTGATCGGAAGCGCAAGTCCACTTGTCGCTGCGACAAAGTATGGCTCCCTTGATAGCCTACATCTTCTGCTCAGGCACAGGGGCTCAGTCACTGAATACCAATTCAGCAGACTTAATGGAGTCACGTCTATCAAAATGCTGGGTACGCACGCATTGGCTGCTGCCGGAGGAAGGGGTGTTGCCTTCTTGGAAACACTACTTGCAGTGGCCGAACGTGGACGCCTTCCCTTTCGATATAACCGGACAGCACTTCTCCTCGCCATCTCATCAGAGAAAGCTCAAGCTTAACATGCGCATCTCCTCGAATCAACAACGGCGGGACAATTTAATGGTCGCGATCCGATCACCTTCAGCCTCAAAACGTTGACTGGCAAAAACATCCAAATAGGCATGTACGCAGATGCTTGATTAGCGATCTGAAGGACTTTTTACAGGCCAGGGAAGGTGCACCACTTTAATATATCTCTCTCTCAAACGGCGACCGAATACTTCACGACAATCGCAGGCTCTCTGACTACAACGTTGAAATAGGCGAAACTATCTATATGTCGTTGAGAATGCGCTGGGTCGGTCTGTCTGGAGGTTGAAGTGCTGGGAGCTGACTAAATGCTCAATATCTTTAAGCACAAGCACTCAATTGGCGCAAATTGCTTAGCAGAACACGCATTGCAGCAAAGGCGTCGAACAGGTTCTTGAATACCGCTTGAAGTGCACCCACAGTCTGCTGAATCAGGAGGATCTTTGCCGACGTCCAGGATGGGTTTCTATCAAGAGATATGATAGAACTTGCGTGCCAGCGTCCCCGTCTGCAACCTTGCAGTCACGTACCGAACCGAAGCGCAGCTCCTTGTGTATGATATTCAGGCTACACCATAAGAAAGGTCGCGGATCACTTGCTTCCTGCAGTCACCACTGAACTTTTCTCTATGGCATCGCGGGCTGAGACTTGAGCACTTCAGTAGCAGCAATTCGGCTGCACGAAATCGTGTTCAACACAGGAGTCTCGCGGCTTGTTGTCCACTACCGGATGCTCGATACTGCTGCGGTCCTTCTGATTGATATTGCACCAAGCAAAAACTCGCTGCGCAGTCCCAGCCAGAGAAATGCCGATTTTGACTTGTCAGAAGAGCTACCGACGTCCACAATCGAAGCCTGCTCCGTGTGATAATTTCCGAGTTGATACTGCAGAATCGCCGTACAGACAATGTAAGACTTCCAAGGGGCGCTCATCGAGCTTTTGGATGTCGAAGTCGTTCATCTAAGATCACAATCTCGTAATACATACTTTCACACTAGGCGAGCGCAATACTACTCACGACTGCAGCGCTGAACTAGCCACTGATTTAGTGCCAGTGGCCTTCTCGAGGCAGACCAAGTATCTGACTTGGGAGCCGGTATTGGCGGCTTGCTAGCTGCAGTTACCTTGAAGAGTGCTAATAGAGCAATCACTGTTCGCTCAAGAGCCAGGTGCAGCAGTGCAACTTGCTCCTAACGCTAATGGCATTCTTCCAGGTCAGCAGTCAACCGGATATACAGCATAGGCCTTAACGAGACACCAACATCGCACATGTAGTTTGCTCACGACCGAGTGGAGAGAGATAGCCTAAGTAGTGGTAGCCTGCGTATCTCAAAGGAGAAAGTCGGAGAAAATGAAATCAGTCCAGGCCTGTCACGAGACGCTGTGATTGGCTAGAATAGGCTTGTCTCGAGCACCTCAGTGTACAAAAGGCGAGATAAGGAAGCGTATCACTCAGCATAGTTGAGGGTACACTTCCGAGGTAACGAGATAGTACAAGAGGAGGTCCCCTCCGAAATAGACGCAGAACTTCCCCGCTCTTTGAGCGATGAGTCATTGTTACACACAGGACTGTTCAATAGACTACATTGCATTAACCACCTCTTTGCAGGGCTATTCACAGTGAAGGACCTGACAAGGCCAGTCCAGACCTGTATTCATGATGGCCAAATGTGACAGGTCATGCTAAGCTATCTACCGCTTGTTGGCGACTGCTAGTTAGACAGGTTTTACAACTCCTTGCATGGGTGGAAGATCATAAAAGCCCAATCTGATGACCTTGGTGTTCCCATGGTGCCCGCAATTGAATCAGCGGTGTTCGGTGCACACCGTAATATAATGTACTCATTACTGAATCTACCTCTGCTACCTGCTTTTTCTTAGGCGAATTCGTTATAGGATTTTGTATTTGACAGACTTTGACCGATGAAAAGCCTCCTGATTGGAGAGGGGTTCTTCTTGTGCTTGAGAGAGATGAGCCCTCTCTTCATTACCCAGCCTGGCTATACACAGCCACCTGATTGTGAATCGATGTCAACGTGTCAGGATGATTCCCCAGAGCTTACTCAGTGCCACCATCTCCTCTGTCGACTGCAGGGCTTCCGCTCGTTATCTAGCTTCACTATGGCGATTCTCTAGATTGTGCACTGAGCGTAATATGTTAGGAGGATTGTCGAAAAGCGATCTTTACAGCAAGAAACTCTGTTAAAACTAATTTCTTAAGTCTAACTTATAATAAACTTCACTATAGTCTCTTCCGCAATCGACCATAGGTTGTGGAATACAGGGCTTCCCGTCCGCTCAGCCGTACTTAAGCCACAAGCCGATCAGTTAGTACTACCGTGGGTGACCAGGTGGGAATCCTGATTGTTGATTGTTTTTACTTTTTGTTTGTCTTGTTGTCCTTTAACTATACAAGATATGTGTTCAGTAATCGATTATAGATTGTGAAGAAGGCTTGATGTCCGCTTCAGCTGCTGCATGGATCTTGAAAAGTTGTACATATTTTGAGATGACTAATCCACGTCGTCTTTGAGCCAATATCACTTCAGCAGATGACGTTAATCTAGTGCCGAGAGCATTTTACATAAGACTACTCTTGCATGTCCCACCGCCTCTTCCCTTAATTGTAGAGCCTCTGCTTGTTGCCCGGTATCGCTGAAGCTCATAAAACGCTTTGAGCTAGTTATATTGATCTCTTGATGAAGCTTGACCGAATGGATTTTTTCGCCGAATGCTCAGACATCCCGATATCACTGGCCCTCCAATCCCTTGGGCAGGCGTTAGCTGAGGTTTGAGGGAGACAGATCGCTCCCTTCCTTCGCCTAGTCAAAACCTTCGCTTCCACTGGCTTTAGAAACAATCCAATGAACTCAAGGATGTTTAGCCGTTCCAAGGATAGGATTTTACCTCCGCAATGGTGGCTAATGGAGCTTGCCTGGTGTTCTCAGAACGCGTTGAATATTCTTCTGCACGAGAGACTCCATCCACTCCCTCCCGGTCTGGGAATGCTGAAGTTCTTTCATGCTGGGCGCTTCAGGTTCGCCGACTTCTCGGCAGTACAGTCCTTCAGCGCAGGCTTCAATAGCTTGCCCAGTGTATCCCAGACTTTCGTCTGTCAGCTCATCAAAGGCCTTCATCACAACAGACATTTCTGTCCGGAGCCTTTCTGGGAACCGCTGGGAAAGGCTCGGATCAAGGTTAGTGACAACTAAAGCCGGGCAAACGGCATTGATGGTGATGTTGTGGCAAGCCGCTGCAGGCGCCAACGACCGCACCAGACCGATCACTCCGTGCTTTGCTGCTGTATACTGAGGTATCCCCGGATTGGGATAAAGGCCTGCTGCGCTGGAAGTGGCAACAATCTTGCCTCCTGGGACGGGGTTTTGGGCAGCGTAGTGTGCAAACAGCTTGATCCCAAAATACACTGCCGATAAGTTGACGTCAAAAGTCGACATGTCCGGTTTCGTTGGTGCTGTTGAAGGGTCAATGGTGCCGAATATGTCATCCCTATCGTCAATGCCAGCGTTAAGAGCGGCGAAATCTAGTTTTCCATGCCATTTGAAGGCTTTAGAGAAGAGCCTCGCCTGTTCATTGAAACTGCTGACATCTGTCCTGACATAAAGCGTCCGTTCGGTAGGAAGACCTGCATCCTCCTGAGGAGGTGTGATGTCGGCGATTACCACATTCCACGCCTTGGTCAGTAGGTGCTTGGTCAAGGCCAAGCCAATACCTGAGGATCCGCCGGTCACCAACGCAACTTTGGACATTTCCGGAAACACAGCGATTTGATCTGAATTAAAATCGCAGGAATGAACAGCGGACCAGTATAGGGGTGGACGAGGAAAATGCCAGAAAAATATGACGGCTTTTGTTGACTATGCTTGTTTCTCGAGTTAGAGGCCTCGCAGAGCTCTTCCCAACTATTATAGTCAGACCATTCTATCCTTTCATCAACTGTTCCAGACCGGCATAATACTGTATCACCCCCTTTGCCTCGGCTTGTGCTCGACTTAACCCCACTTCTTCACAATACCTCATTCATTATGGATAACTTATTTTTACCAGAGGCCGTTGGTGAACCGAAGACCGCATACAGAAGAGCTCTAGACATCGGGAACCCGTCACCCCACACCCCATTTCCCCAGGCGGTGGAAGCCAATAGGATTGTGCATCGGACCTTATCCGAAACCTACTGATGAAATCCGTCTCTAGGGTGACTCACCAAGTGCATGTCTGGAAAGGGGCGTTTAGCTACGATTCTCTCGTCATGGTGGCTAATGGTCTACAATAAAACACGCTGACCCAGCGGCATTTGACGAGAGAATCGATACCCTAACTGCGCTAATCATATTCTCGATCTCCGAGTACATATGCCGACTGACCTGCCAAAACCCCGAGCTTAGTTGGAATCGACCGATCGGAAATGGTATCGATCTTTTGGACACGCTGAATTGTTTCTTGCCTCCCGATAAAGCATGGAAAGTTCCCGATAGCAGGTCCTTTCCTATATCTGCGCATTTCGTAATTGGGCATCCAAAATCTGACTTCAGAGGCATAACAGTTGAGCATCGCTGTCAATTGCTGGTCTTTTAACTACTGAACCTGCTCTCTCGTGGCTCGATTGGCATTAATCACCAGAAGAACACCAGTTTCTTGAGATTCCCTTTCCTGCTTCAAAACATGGCTAGTATCAAATTGGATGGAGCTATTTTGACGAAACTTGACTCTAAAGTAGTCGTCCTGACGGGTATGTTGACCTCGATATGCCAAACCCGATGGCATTGGAACGTATTTTGCTGACGCCATGACAAAGGAGGGAGCAGTGGTATTGGCGCAGCTACCGTGCAGGCTTTTCTATCCAGAGGTTGTCGGGTTGTGTTTGGCGACATTGACAAGGCCGCAGGCCAGCTGAAAGTGAGCCAACTAACAACCAGAGACAAATCAATTGTCAATCAACTGAAGTTTGTGCCAACTGATGTAACAAACTATGACGACGTTTATCATTTGTTCCAAGTTGCTTACGAGACTTTCGGCCGCGTCGATGTGGCAGCAAATATCGCCGGTATTGTAGAGACACCAGGCTGGTTCGATCCTGCAGAGACCATGGAGGGTGCAAAAAGGGTAAAGGAGACCGATCTTGGTCAGAAAATAGTCACTTTACAAGGCTAATGACTGAATGAAATAGAAACCGTCCACGATAGTGATTGACGTTAATCTAAACGGCTCTCTCTATTTCTCTCGCATTGCCAGCGCATTTCTGAGGCAGGGCCAAGAGTCCACCGATGACAAAAGTCTTATCTTGATATCCTCAGTTGCTGGGTTCAAGGCACACTCTGGAATATTCCTGTATCAGGTGGGAATGCCTCTATCCTTTCGCTACGCATTTCCATCAATATGCTGATTCCCTTTCCTCAGGCAGCAAAGCATGGAGTTATAGGATTGATGCGAAGTCTGCGCTCCTTTAAGCCAATAGCTTCGAAAATTCGCATTAATTGCGTTTGTCCCTCCATGACCCTCACTGGTATGGTTGAAGGAATAAAAGAGGCCTGGACAAGCGCTGGCTTACCAATAAATACACCTGAAGATGTCGCAAGGATGATCGTACACATCGCCGCCGATTCCGAATTGTCTGGAGGCGCAGTCTACGTGGAAGGAGGTAACGGATGGGAGATTGAGCAAAGATTGGACAAAACACAACCACTCTGGCTGGGTGAAAGACTCAGCAAGCAACTTAACCAATCAGTTATAGCACTCAGTACAGTAAGTCCTGACTCTGAATAGATTTACAATCCCATTGAACAGTAAAGGGATTAAGCTGGCAATATTCCTAAGCCGGAAATAGCACCTAATGGAGCTGGATCGACTCTAAAAGGGCCCTATGTACTACAGGGGAACAAATTACTTAATATTTTTATCGCAAAATACGACTATCTCAATCTCAATATCTCCCAAGTGTCATCAAGCCTCATAGGAAAAATGGTGCTCGGCTCATGGTTCCTGAACCTGCTCCGTCTTGAGAGGCACATGGCTATATAGGGAAATTCGGCTACAGGTAATTTCGAGAAAGCCACCTAACTAACCTAACCTTTAATGGTAATATCTTAAACCGCTACCAGCCACCCTGAACCAGCCACCCTGGGCCCGGCCGCTTTTTTGGATCAATAGGCCCAACCCACCCCGAAACTGACTGCTCGCATAGGCCTGGGCTAAATCATGTGCGACTGGAAGGGCCTTTATGGCCTCCTCCAGCGCCCACGCTGGGCTTGCATCCCTCGTGGACTTTACCATCCCGTCGCCCGCAAGCCAATGTCAAATGCAGTATGAATTCTTCCAGTCTCCGAAGTGAACTGATCCTGCCAATCTAAATGCCATATTTCGATCTTGGCCACGGAGGTCCATCACCAAGCACTGCCTCGAAGGAAAGAAGGTTCACAAGATGGCAACATGCTCCTTCCAAGGAAACGGCGATATGTATGGCCTAGGCATTCGACTCGGTTTCTACATACAATGGTTCAGCAGCATTTTCGCTCGATGGCTTGTACCAACGAGACACAGACGACCTAAAGCCGAAGACCCGATGAAGGAAGAAGCATGGGGTCTAAGCTTCTCCAACAACATCTTCTCTGCCGCCACGTTTACCGCCCTGGTCATTCTGATATCGAATGATGTAGAAAGCCTACAAATTGTCGAGATCTATATCGTGCTACTGCTTACGTTCGGCTATTCGCTGTTTCTGATTCCAATATATCTTTGGAGGATGTGTACAGGAAACAACCCGGCCTGGGATCCAACACGATGGCCTGTGACAACACCGAGCCCCGTGGAGAGTGTTCTCAGATTTCTCTTGATCAGTGCAGTGGCAGCGTTCCAAATTTGGTTTTGGGGCGCCAGAGTACCCCAGCTCGACGGGCTGCATTGCAGTGAATATGGATATTTGATGACCAAGGTTCGCCTCAATCTGCCTGCCATGCGAGTCATCAATCTCCTCCTTTACATTGCTGTCTTGATCTTCTGCCTGTATTTTCTCTTCAGATGGATACCCGGGCCAATGCCGGAGGATCCCCAAGCGAAGAAGAGGAGAAAGCAAGAGGCACGAGACAAGTATTCGTTCATAAGGTGTGTTCCCCAGTCCTGACCTAGTTTTCCTTCCTTCGTCACACTGACGAATTGGTTTAGGCGCCGTCGTAAGATCCTACTTCAGAACATTGGGATCGTTCTCAGTCTTGTTGTTGCTGTGACTGTTGTAGCTGCTACGGAGTTGACCATTAAATGGAATCATATTCAAGGTGTCAATTCTCTGGCGTCAGCCGGACAATCCATCCCTTTCGCCATCGGAGTCGCACTATTTATCCGCATCTGGTACGTTTACCTCTTCAAAGAGCCAGATCCAGAGGGTCAGGAGCACAGAAAACCCCAAGATGGCGACAGCGATGACAGTAGCTGGTCACCTGCAAGCTCGAGAGACGTGCCGGAAATGAAGGTGGCGTTGAGTGATACTGATTCCCGGTCCCCTGGAAGTTCAAGAAACATTCAGACGGCCAGGCCAGGGGCTCAGTCTCCTCGGCGCCCGCCTCCCGCTCGGCAGCGCCGGCGCAGGAACACCTGATGGGTACTGAGCTTGCCAGAAAGCCATCGCCGGATGCGAACTTATCATAGAAATACTAGATACTTGTGTCGAATGTTGAGGTTGGGAGAGTCCAGGGCAATCACCGATAGCGAACAAGTACTCCGTAGCAATAAAGCCTTCAATCGTAGCGAATGAGCTCTCGAAGACAGCTGTTTTCTGATATATGGTTTAAGCTGCGCCATGAGGAAGAGAAAAGCATATCAATAAATGTCTATACACTGCCGATTAATTAGGGTTGTTCCTAAGTATAAAACAGGGCCTCGACCTAGTCATCGCGATCAACGCCGCTGCGGAAAGAAAAGGTCTCCTCAATCTCAAATAGGCGCTGACAAATTCTAAGATGCATTCGGATTGCTAAAATGGCTGAGTGGGATTTTCCACCGGCAGTGATGCCTCTCCGTGGGAGTGGATACCAGATCCGGCGGGAAAAGCAACACCTATACTCGGGCGTTATCTAATACGAATGACCACTCCACTCGAGAAGGCTCAGAAGCAAGCTCACTATTTCCCCTTCCCCCAAGTCCTGTTCCTTTTCCCAAGGAGCGAGGCCTGTTCTGCAGATATATAACATGGCGGCTGAAGAAGAATCGAAAACCGTTCTCGTCACAGGAGCGAATGGAGTCATTGGCTCTGCGGTATGCAGAGCCTTTTCGCACGCCGGATGGAAGACCTATGGTCTCCTTCGCAGCCAGACCTCGTTGCCCGATCTCGTTCGCGAAGAGATCATCCCCGTCGTCGGGTCTGCGGCTGATACATCGGCGTGGATATCTAGACTACCAGCGATTGACGTGATAGTATCCTGCTCAGAGGACATCAGCAACTACGAATCGCATTTCAACGACGTGCTGTCCATGATCATGCAAATCAGCCAGCTGTCCCGGGAGCAAAGAGGTCACAACAAGACGCGGCCTCTTGTAATCTTCAGCAGCGGATGCAAGGACTATGGAACGACGCTGCGCCACGGCGACCCGGCTCTTGCACCGCACACCGAAGACAGCCCGCTGAATTCACCTGCGATGCTCCAGAAACGCACACAATGTTCCCTCAGTATGTTCAACCACGCCGTTGATTTCGACGCCGTGGTAACAAGGCCGACCACCGTTTTCGGCCGGAGTGGAAGCTGGTACGCCGTCATTTTCCAACTCGCCGAGGCAGCAGAGGCGGCAGGCCAATCCGAGTTGACGATCCACTCAACGCCAAACTCGATTCTGCACGGGACGCACGTTGATGATGTCGCTGTCGCGTACCTTGCCATCGCTGAGGCACCCCGTGACACCGTTGCCGGGCAGGTGTACAATATCTCGGCGCATCGGTATGAGACTCTCGAAGAGATCGCACGGGTGGTCGAGACAAACCACAACATCAAGGTTGTCTTCTCTGATCCCGGACCAGCTGATCAGCATAAATTTGGTGTCAATTCGGTCTTCAACTTCCCACAGTGGGTTGACTCGACTAAGATCAGAAGACAGCTTGGCTGGACAGATCGAAAGCCTCTGTTCCACGTAGGTTACGACGTGTATCGAAAAGCATTCGAGCAGGCTAAGAAAGATGGGAGTGATCAGTACTGGAGGAACAATGGCTATGTGGAATTGTTGAGGGATGAAAGGTATCATTTTCGAGAAGGCAAATAGAGACCACTAAGAATGATTCTCCCAGGACCAGTGGTATTTACGGTAGCATGGGTCATGTTGTAGCATTGACATACTCAAGTTTGTCATCAGTTCCCAGCTAACCCTGGTTTAAGAAAATTGAAAGGATTCATCCCACATCCAAGCTTGACCGAGATCACCCAAGTCACCGAGGAAGCTGCTGTCGAAAAAGGAAGCCCCATTAGCGGCTGGATCTGAAATTGACCAAGGCATCTCAAGATTTTCACCAATTCTGCACAAGTCCATATTGGCCGGGTCGTTACTATCGTCAAGTCTACTGTTCAGTTCCTGCGTTTCTATCGCGCCATCGTTCGACTGACCGGCTTGCGGTTGGTAATCGGGATGGCAGACAGACTTTGGGAGAGAATTGCTGTTGGATGTGGCTGATTGACAATAATCTTCCATGATGGTCGAAGTGCCAAAAATGTCTAGACTGTCCCCTAGCGTATTGCCGTCATGATGGAATGTTTCCTGCGTATTTGAACGGGAAGTATCAGCGCCTGAGTGGCGTAAAGCTTGACTGTTCGGCTGAGCAATCCCCGTCGAAGGTGTGCTTTCGTCGGACGTGAGCAATTTTAGTTCTTCGCCAAGGACAAGGCGAAGTAATCGTTCTAGGATGCGTCCAGTCTGGTCTGATATGGTCGTTTGATACCCTAAGAGCTTGGGCGTCTTTATGAGGCGGCCAATGGCACGCTTCGCCTCTTGGGCCTGGCTAGAAAATGGCTTGGAAAGAGCAAAGATGCCCAGCATGACTCCGGCCGTGAATGTTTGAATACCTGCGTAACTGGCCGCGTGGAAATTCCGGACCTGTTTCAGTATGGACGGATACTCGTCGATACAGGCTGTGCGCAATGCAGATTTCCAGCACAAATCTTTGCTCACACCCCAGAAATTTGCATCTTGATCGAGGTGTGCTTCTCGCAACGGTTGCGCTGTGTTAGGGCGAGGGCCCAGCAGGAGCACGCCGTTGTAAACGAGAAGTGGTCGGTGTAAAATCAATTGGATATTGTCATACGATAACTGCAGGGCAAGGGCTTGTAATTGAAAGATCTTAGTGACTGGATTGGTCCTCTTGTCGGTTTGGTGGCCGCTGGAAACTAACAACTTCGGTCGCAATTCCGGTGGCACGCTTGCCTCCCACTCGAGCAATTGCTGGTTGATCTGTTGGACGCGCTTTACAAGTGTATGCACAGGCTGCCCATTGTGAAAGTAAATTTCTCCCATGATGGGTTCTGCGATGCGATAAAGTCGGAATTTGAAGCGTTGGTATGAAAGCGTTGTCACCGCACATGAAGAGCCGTCTGCGGTCTGTTCACAAGAGTTGAAGCCCGGGCAGCTGTCTAATGTATCATCGATATTCTCCGGCAAGTTGACCTGGCATTTCGTACTTTGCAGAATATTGGTCGTGCCGTAAGTCATGGCACCGTATCTGTAAGAAAGGGATCAGTAAAGATTTCCCAAATAGCGTTGAAAGAAGTGTGCAGACCCATCAACTACATATAAAGCCCACCAAACACGCCGCCGAACCTCTCTTTCCACCTTGTCAATGTGTGACGGCCAGTCACTCTCCTGATGGATTTTCATTTTCTGGGCTATCCTGATAGCTGCGCTGTTCATTGCCAGGCATCTATTTGGGCTCCCATGGTAGAAGTAGAAGGAGCTGAGGAGCACACAAACTTGAAGAGCTCCGATGTCGTCCTGATCGAGGACTGCAAGAAACTTCCACTCGACTATGCGCAGTAGTCGTGATTGTAAGAGCTGTAGATTTACTCCTGCCCGCAAGAAGAGGGAGGCCTCTTCCTCTCTGGTATATTTAGTGGCAATGAGAAGGATTACCAGGATCAGAATCAATGTCGACAGTCTGTGCTCGCCAATGCTCCCGGTCCTGAGCACATTGTCCAGTTCGACACGGAGTGTAGGTTCATGGAATACCATCATAAACCAATGTACCGAGTCAATGAAGGTGGTGAACAGCATCATAGTGGCTTCACGTGCTGGGAGATCACATTCGATGAGCTCTGAGACAGGAATGACCTTTTCACGAATAGTCGTAGACGACAACTGGTCAGGTGTCGCATCCGGTATGGCGTCTGAATCCGTCAGGATACCACCTTCGGTATCAAGGCCGCGAAACAGCTTGATTGGACTCCTGCATCAGCGTGAACATTATCGTACAGGGATTGGCGTCCTACCTGGTCTGCGAGGCCATACGTGGATGGCCTGTCCTGGCTCAGCTTCGGCATTTGTGCAGAGGTGGACTTCGAAACGGCGTTCCGGGATGTTTGGGAAGGGGTAAAAAGTATCGCCCCGGCGCGAAAGCCCCCCTTTTCGGGTATCCCAAGCACCTCTGCGTGGTGTTCTGCGCCTCGAGAAGGACTGTCTTCTGAGCGAGTCTTCGTTGTATCGACCGTATCGCGTCGTTTCCGCTTTCTGGAGGACTGATGGTTGGTGATGTCTACATCCCAAAGGAAAGCGCAACAAGTCAACAGGACTGTTTGCCTTTTTGGCAATTCGCCTTCTTCACACTCGGTGCCAGACCGGACACACAGTGCGCAGGGCCGCTCATTGTCGCACTAAACATTTTAGCCGATGGGTGATATTTGGGCCATCTCAGATGAATGGTTTGGACGAAAGGATAATTCGCCTTACCCTCAGCTTTTGTCGACGACATCTCACACAAGCATAAAGCGCGTTGCTTCCAGGTAGTCTTTTTCTGCGTGTTGGGTGATCCATACTTACCGAGAGTACAGGATTCGACAGTCTAAAGTCTGAGTTTTAGGCTTGTGATTATTTTGCGGCCAAAAGATGCAAAGCCGACTGCCAAGAGGTAACGCCCGAGGCGCTAACTGGTTCGAGGGACCCTGTACGAGCCCGGTGCGCCCTCAAAGTCTATATAGTATGACAGCCGCCGGGATGCAGTGGTAGACTGACAAGGTCTCTTTCAATAATTACAGGCTCACAACAGCTTTGCCACGCGGCAGGACAACTGGTGGAGGGGCACCGGGCTGGTAGAGCTGAAACGGAGTGCCCAAATCATCTCGACCGGACATTGCCGACCTTTGGTAGTTCTCGGGTTGGGAGGGGCCATGCTAGTGGGATGTTGCTGACGAGTGTCCCTTGGACATGCGTATTTGGCTTGCAGGGCTCATTTTACTTGCGATCGTGCCATCTTCCCATCCATTCCTGGCATTCCTGGCAAGCCTACATATATGCCTCGCCTAAGAAACATGTAGACATGCTCGACATCGATCAGATTACTCTCCTAGGCACATCCTCTGCTCTATCCGCACCCAGCCCACCCTCAGGCGGGGTCCAAGTTTATTCCGGTGGAAAATCAATCGGTCTTGTGAGATTGGGGCTCGGACTGATGGGGCAAACCTGAACAAGAATCGGTATGCAGACTATGGTCGTGGCCTCGACCGATCTTACTTCTTGCCCAGGGTCGCCTCCTGATTGTACACGATCGGTTTTGCAGACGCCGGTCGGCACCACGAAGAACGAACAGTTCCCTGCCCAAACAGGTGTGTAGGACTACCAGCCGTTGTTACTGTCGCATGCTAAAACGCTTGTACATCTCGGCCTGAAAGATCTCATACATCTTGACCGACATTGCATCTCCAGGGGGAATCAGCTGGCTGGCATACAACCCGCAAAGTCCTGTCTTCCTGTCAATCCACCACTTCAAATTTGGGTACCCACCCCAACTCATGCTACCACTCTTCCGGCCAGTTTGAATGTCTTCCAAAATGAGCATTCCGGCAAGCCCGTGGTCAACGGATACACATTGAGGCACGCCGAAGCCAGTGCTGGTCTCCTTGGCCGCGACAAGATCACATAAGGCTTTCGCAGAATTGGAAGTCAGCTGAGGCCGAAACATTTCATCCACAGTCTGGCCTTGAAGTAAGCGACCATCATTGGCAAGGATGGACTTCATAATCTTGAGATAATCTAGCGCCGTCGAATATATCCCAACGCCACCAAGTTCATGATGAATGGGATCGGGGACGACCCGCTCCGTGGTCCAATCAATTTTGCTGCTAGATAAGCGAACGCTCATGCAAGAGAGTCTTGCTTGGATATCGGGGCGTTGCTCCAGATGAAAAGTCATGTCCTTGACGCCTACAGGATCCCACACGTGTTGTTGCAAGTAGGACTGAAGATTGGTGCCGACAATCCGTTCAATGAGGATACCTGCCCACTCGATGCCAGTGCCATACACCCAAGACTCGCCTGGCTCGTGAAGAAGCGGCATAAAATAGTTTTTCTCAAACTCAGATGCTGGAAGCGCTGTTGATTTGTTTTGATATGCACGCCAGCGTATCAATAGTGGATTCGAGAAAGCATAACCCAAACCCGTACTATGTGTCAAAAGTCCACTTTGGTAAACATTAGTACTGGCTTGCTGCGGTAAGGGAGTCCTTCTCTCATACCGGAGCGTGACTGTGTTCTGGCATTTCCCCAGTATTGGCCTGCCCAAGCTTTCATCGAACCCCCTGAGGATGTCGATATCTTTAATCTCCGGGAGAATTGATGTCACGTCATCGTCGAGTTTGACCAGGCCTTTTTCAACGCACTGCAACGCGGCAATGGAAGTCACTAGCTTTGAACATGATGCTATCCAAAAAGTTGACTCCAGGGTGAGGTCACTCTCGGAAGAGGCACGGCCAAAAGCTTGTTGATATTGAAAGGTGTCTGAGCTGTGTCAGCCTGGACATCGGGGTATGGGAGATTTGAGAATACCATCAGCACTGGCGGCGACCAGAACAGCTCCTCGGATGTCACTATTGCTGCAAGCTGTCTCAAATAGTTCCTCCATCCTTGAAGTTGTTCAGTAAGAACGGCGGTCGCACACGGACGGTATAGCATGCTATGGACATAACAATGAGAAGTTGAGAATGTAGCAACACGGAGCATAATGATAAGCAAACTTGCGGGGAAATTAGTCACCCGGCAAGATGCAACATGTGTGGTCATGGCGTTTTGACTGTATTTGTTGCCGAGGCAAACCTTAGCAGAAGACCTGCACAGGTCTAATAATACTCACTCAGTAGGCCATATCCGATGAAAACGACTCGGGATGGCTAGGCGCGTCAGTGGGGCCTACAATAGTCTAGAAGTAGATCTGAATGTCCGTCACTAGCTCGGAAAAGATAATGAAGATCGGAAAGCCAACTTGATTTCCCACCGGGAATTCGGTCAATGTCTCGTCTTAACAACAACGAACTTTGTTCCTCCGACGTCGAGGTACACATGGAGGCCAATCACACCCACAGATAGTACAACAGGTTGGTGTAATTTAGATCCATACCACGCTAGAATGACGAGCGACAGGAGAAGGCGAGCATCCGTGGAGCATTTCCTTCCCCTCCACAACTCCAGCTTTTTCCCCGGACAAGTAACACCCGCACCTCCGCCTGGGGTCTTTAACGAGGTAATACAACTTGCTATAGCTTTGAAGGGGAACAGCCGTGTGAGACCTGGTCGGGCAGTGTGTCTCTTGAGATGGGGTATATATATGCCTTCACGTTTCGACCTGCCTTGACAACTTCCTCGGTGTAATTCTCACAGACCAAAGACCGCTTTTCAAACATGGTTGATGAGAGACTTTCTCGTGCCGGCTTTGCTGGTCAGCACCAATTCAATTGGCGTAACCTGCGTCTTTGTATTCTAGTGTCGATGGGCGCCCTTGCATTTGGATATGGAATCTCAATCATCGGCACGACGCTCGGTGAGCCTGGCTTCTCTCTCTACATGGGCCTGGTGGACTCGACCACTGGCGAGCCGACGCACAACGCGGCTGGTCTCATCGGAGCCATAACCGGGACCTTCTATGTACCGACTTATTTTCAACTCTTGAAGAAACACCACTGACACTCAGCAGGCGGGATCATGTTGTGGGTTGCTTCTGAGCGCCTTTGTGATGGACAGGTGGGGGAGGAAAGCGGGAGTTATCTACGCGGCAGTTGTCAGTATTGTCGGCACCGTTGGGGTGACCGCTGCCCAAAATGTCGCAATGTTCATCGTCTTCCGCTTTGTTTGCGGTCTTGGGATCAACGCTTTCTTGGGCGTGACCGGGGTTCTTACCTCGGAAATTGCCCCCCCAGCACTGCGAGGGTTCTTCGTAGGCATGGTCGGCGGCGGCATTCTCGTGGGGTATTCCATCGCTTCCTTAATGGGCCTGGCCTGCTTCTACATCCACAGCCCCAGCGCACAATGGCGGCTGCCGCTGGGCTTGGGGTTGGTCTTCCAGGTCTTCATGTTGTGCGTCCTTCCCTGGCTGCCAGAATCGCCTCGTTGGCTCTTGATGGTCGGTCGTGACGTCGAAGCTAAAGCAATCATCTACGACATCCATAAAAGCTCAAAAGACCACAGTCAGACATTCGCCGAGCGCGAGTTCTACCAGATGGAACGCCAGATTGAACTGGACAAGAGATTAAAGGCAAGCTTCGTCGAAATGTTTACACGGCCGTCGTACCGCAAGCGAACAATCATTGCACTCAGCTTCGGCTTCTTCAACCAGAGCACTGGCATCCTTGTCGTGGGCAGTTATGGCACCCTCATCTACAAGAGCCTGGGATTCGGAGCAAGGGATGTGCTCTGCTTTCAGGCTGGGTGGATTATGACGGGTATCCCTTTCAATTTCCTCGGTGAGTTCAAGGCTTGCAGATGGCAGGAGCCAGCTAACCATATTGGATAGGCGCTTGGCTCTCAGACCGCTGGGGCCGGAAGCCAATGTTCATCCTTGGTCTTGCTGGGTGCGCGTTCAGTCTGGCCCTGGAGGCTGGGATTGTGGCGACCTATGTAACCCCGGAGAAGCTCATCTATCCCAATCAGGCAGCCCTTGGTGTCGCCGTCGCTGCACTGTAGGTGACCCTATAAGTGTCAGTACCTGAGTTCGGGAGAACTAACTTGTGCTCCGTAGTTATCTGATGATGGCATTCTTTGGATTGACCTTGGATGTTGTCGGCACCCCCTTCATCAACGAGGTTTTCCCAAACCATCTTCGATCCAAGGGTTACAGCCTTACGTTGGCCATTATGACTTGCACCACACTGGTATTGACCACTGTCAGCCTTATACCGAGGCGCGCTTACTGACGGACAAACAACAGATCTACACCGAAGTTGGCCCTACAGCTTTAGCCCACGTAGGTTGGAAGTTCTATCTTCTCTTCATCTGCTGCTGCGTTGTCGGCTGCTTCTGGATCTACTTCACTTTTCCAGAGACGAAGGGTGTACCACTTGAGGAAATTGCAGCTCTGTTCGGGGATGCGGACGACGTCGCGGTCTACTCAGCGAATATCGAGACGGGAATCGAGATGGGTGGGAAGACTGACGTCGTCCATTTGGAGATGGATTCGTAGAGCATGGCCAAAAGCTCAGAATGGTTACATTGATTCCATGTAAGAGGTAACAGCATTCTCTTGCTCTGGGACCTTATCTTAGAGGTGCATCGTGGGTGGTGAGGTTGTGTTTTTGTAAAGTCCCGGCTTTCAGAAAAAGTTGTTCCGAGGAAGAAGATATCTTGTGATACGTTCAGATATTCAGCAGCTCCCGTCATCATCCGAGGCCAACTTTTTTTCTGGTCGAGAAAATCGACAAATCCTGTTGGTCCGGACCTACCTTTGTTAATAATGACAGCATAGACTGATCGATCTAAAGATGTTCTCAGGCCTCAAAACAGTCCGGCTTGGACTACTTTGTATTCTTCGGCAGCTTCCAGGTGTTCATGAATAAGTGCAGCTCGACCAAGGCAAGGCTGATTTAAGCACTGGTGGTTTCTCGTTGGTCGGATTATGAGGTCTCCGGTGGGAAATTGCAAAATCGGACGTGTATATGGGAAAAGAAGATACAATACCAGTGTTTTGCTGGTAATGAAGATATATCCATCTCTTGCCTTCTGGAATACTAAAGAATACATGTAAACGCAGACCCCTCGCGTTCGCCTCACTAATGCTTTAGGCATTTCACCCTTGCTTGTGTATGTCTTACTCCTTCTCGGTGCGGCTGTTCTCCACCGTCAGGTCCCCAGAAAGAATTCTCGCAGAACTCCTTAAACTATTTCTGTGATCAATTTGCCTGTATTCCCGCCTTCGAATAGCTTCAGCCATGTCTCGGGTATGTCTTCAAACCGAGAGGGAACCACCTGCTCGCATTCCCGGACCTTGATCTTGCCGTCTTCGATAGCTTTGACAAGGATCTCAATGGTTCCTTGAGCCTTGTCAAGGTAGTCGATGACGATAAAACCTCTGATGGACAACCGCATGTGGATGATGTCCATGTAATCTGTCAGAAGGCAGTAGTAACATGTCAGTCGTCCCGCCGGAGCAGGCTAGATGTACATACAACAAGACATGGGTGGTTCGTACTTTGCAACTTTATCCCTCCGCCGGAGTTGTAGCCCGCGATACCGCCACAGGCCACGACTGTGCCATTCTGCTTCAATCTTGTCAACATAAAGTCGAGAATGTTGCCCTGCATCACAGAATGGAATTAGTCAGGTATGTAGATGAAAATCAGTGAAACCACGAGAACGCTGCCCACTCACGCCGACATTGTCATAAAACACATCAACGAAACCCTTAGTGGCGGTCGCCAGCTCGTCATAAAATTCTGCATGTTTGTAATTGAGACACGTGTCTGCCCCGAGACTCTCTATCCATCGACACTTTTCTTCGGAGCCGGCAATGCCTATGACCTCGCTGCACCCAAGAAGCTTGGGAACGGGAAGTCAGCACAGACTTCCCCTCAGTAACTTCAGACTATGCCGTACGTGCTTAGCAATCTGTACGACCATGCTGCCGGTCGCGCCAGCAGCACCGCTTACAACAATCCGTTGACCGGCCTTGACTTGTCCGATCTCGACGAGGCCGTAGTATGCCGTGATGCCGTTACCCCCGAGAGCGCCCAGATAGTTGGTAACGCTTACTACTTGAGGGGTTGGAGTGGTCCTCGGAGTGCAGTCCCCTGCGTTTAGGACGACGTACTCATTCCACCCGAGAGCGGCTTGCACAATGGTTCCTGGCTTTAGGTGACTGGCTTTAGACTCTGTAACCTTACCTACCCCAAAAGCACGCATGGGCGTGTTGAGCTGCACGGGTGGAACGTAGGAACGGTCAAGAGGGACATCTTCGAGCCAGCCTCTCTGCGCGGGGTCGTTGGATAGGTAAAGCGTTCTCACGAGTACTTGATTGTCCTTGAGACTAGGAAGCTTAGTCGTGGTGAGCTCAAAGGTAGGTTGTGGGCCAGAAGACGTGGGTAGTCCGTTAGGCCGGTTCCGGAAGATCCAGGAGCGCGAGATGTCCGACATGGCAACGAATTCAGGGCAAGCAAGTGTAATACCACAAGTAGGGTGCTTCGTTGGACAGGAAGCTCTGCTTTACCTATATAGGCCCTTCGTATGACTGTCGCTGCCACATTCCAGAATCCAGAAATCTTATTACTAAGTCACGAAGAAGGTCCAACCCGTGACCCTACTCCGAACTCCGTCCATTTCCACCGGAGAAACACATCGATGTTTGACGTGCGTAGCGTAACAGCGAACGTAGTGTATGCCGTGATCCGAGACAATGCATCCCAAGCTTTTGATTGATTTTTGCTCTGTCATTGACACATCCCAGACAGGTAGCGCTAGGTTAGCATGCGAAAGGTGAGCTGTCAGCTGCGCCCCTTGTTGTCCTGTATCGTTGCTTGACTAGGATTTCCGAATAGCTGGTTAAACCTTAAGTGGGAATAGATAGTAGAATTATGGTTTTAGACCCTACCTATAGCCAGGTATATATGAATATAACCACTTTTACTAATTCCGTTCATTGTCCTTCAGGACATTAACTCCAGTAAAGTCAGTCAGATTCAAAGCATCGCCTTCTCACCTTGGGACCCCACAAATGAGGCCGGTTTAATATAGTGATGTCGCAAAGCGCTTTGTCCCTGGACGCTCTGGACTCATCTAGTACTGAGCCGACTAATATTCCATCCTGCCACTCCAGAGGATTGATGCGAACGAGCGTCGCTGAGTAGATGCCGGCTTTGAACCAGAAAGTCATCGATTTGTGTCGTTTACTGGATGGTCGACTGGCGAGTATGATACCACGAACCACAGGGTTGGGCCCCGTTGAGGCAAGAGTGCGACTCTCCCCATATGGCATTCCGTCAGTTGGGTTTCCAATCATCAGCAATGGGAGGAAGATAACGCGGCAAGACTTCCCGAGAGGTTCATTGACGTAGTCAATGTTCCGTACAGCGCTGACACCATTGGTCAGTGTGGTGTCAAACTCGTATTGGGGGCCATTGGTGGATATTGTCATCAAGCCAGTATCGTTGGGCCGAATATCATGAATCGGAGCGCCGTAGGGAATATGCATCACACCATCGCGGTGAATGTGCCACGCAGACGTTGCATATCCTGAGTAGCTTGATAAAGTGAAGTCAGTGGGCAAGAAGGACCTGGTCGCGGTGGACGGCAGCATGCTGGTCAGGAGGTTAGAAAGGGTGCCGCGAACGTAATCCGCCGAATCGTTGTGGATATTGTCATAAGCCAGGAAAGGAAGGTTGTCGCTGAACAAAGGAGATGACCGGTCCCTCGACTCCGACATGGATCTCCAAGAATGGGACGCATAGAAGTACATGGAACTCTCAAACGCCATCAATGTCTGCTGGAGCCATTTCGGCAACACGCCAGGGGTCAAGCTTTCGTCGGGATTGAGCTCCGGAGGGAGTCGAGTTATCTTGAGAGCAGCCAAGATTGCTTCCGCTCTCGGCTTGGTTGTATGACGATTTGCTCCGGCGACGATTATAGCCGAACGTGAGGCTTGGATCGAAATATTGAGACAGACCTCCCCGAAGCCCCAGTCTAACCAGCGTTTCAAGCTTTTGGAGCCGAGGATTTCATCGAATTGCTTATGTTGTAGCAGCTCGGGGAGGTCTCGAACCTCTTGATCCTGACCCATCATCACCTGCATAACCTTCACGTCTCTCACCCTTTGTTCTGCAGCGATTCTCTTTTCGTCCGTAACTCCTGCCTCCCAGGATGCCTGTGCTTGTGCCTGTTCAGTAAGAAGCCTGTCCATTATTCGTATCACTGTGCGATAGGCGTCATCCGAGCTTAAAAGCGGATAGTCGCGGACAATTTCGAGTTTCCAGATCTGCCGACGAAATTGGAACGACCAGTTCATAAGTTCAAGTGCCCTGGCAAACAGAAGAGTTGTGAGTGTTAATCCATTTACGGAGCAGAAGTTACCCGATCTTGTCATCCAAATTTGCGCTGGAGCCAACACCATTTCTTGAAGCGCCCAGAGGGACGTGAACCAAGGGTCTAGCCTCAGCTTTCCGTCCAGTCTCACTTGGATATGGGGTGGGAGCCTCTCAAGGCCTTGCAGTTGACTATCCCTGCGATTGTCGGAGGAACTTAAAACCAACGACCATAGTAAGTCGTCCCCGAAACTTGTCATAACATGAGCAAGCTCGTCATCGGAGTCAAGAGTCCAGAGAGAACCTAAGCATGCCTTGGCATTTCCGAAGATCGAAGCTTGCTTAGCAATCTCCTCCGCTTTTTGGTCCCCGTCGTCTTGATTGATACACAACACGTCGACCCAGAAATATCGGCTTGCAGGGATAGAGGCTAAAATTCTCTTGAGCTGGTCGAGCATACCTGGGAATACGTCCGATTTGATGATCGGAACTCTCCAGGGAGTCCCATCCACCGGATCATATCGTTCTTTATATCTTCCCCAAGTGTATGAAACAGCAATATAGCCTTCTTGAAGGCGCTCTGGGGTTGCCAACACGGTTTCGGAAACCTCGCTGTCCCAAAGGCAATTAGGTGACCCAGTTTGCTGCGGTCCAAGCCATGGATAGTTTCCGCTATGTTGAATTTTTGTCGGAAGTATCGTCAGCTCGGCCGGCGATCGCATTTTCACGACCCAGTTCAGGTCCACATTGAAAGTTTGCCGCTCAGGTTGGTTTGCCGGGGAGCTAGGCGGCGCTGGCTCACTGGAAATTCCTTGGTTGGGAGCTTCAGAAGTAATCCATCCCGCTAAGCCAAGGTCAACTGCGATGCCAATGATGAACCTTAAGTCCAGGAGATCTGAACAGTCGCTATTGAGTCCTCCTGACTCAATGGCTCTTTGCTTCGTAAGCACGAAAAGTTCTAAAAGCGAAATTTCTTCGGAGTCTTTAGCTACAGGAGCAGTGTCCTCGTTCAGTCTATTTTCCGACACCATTGGACTTGAGTTTTGGATGAGCGTTGGAAGGTCCTGCTACTCACATTGCGTCGACTGTTGGGACGGAAACCATGAAAAAAGATTGGGCGAGTGAATGTGTGTGCGGTCATTGGATGCATCCATCTAGACAAGCAATTGTCAAGTTGAAAACGCTTCTACAAGCGACATTTGAGGAGTGTAATTATAAGAGTGAAGTTTGCAAGAAAATAGAAGTCCGCCTTCAAAACCACGTGGCTCAGCATTGTGCCCTTCCGTCGGAGGAGACGGTCTCACTTGTCAGGTAGAGTGAGCGGGTAGATCAATCAATCCTGAGGGAGCCAAATCCTGGGGAACCAACCTGGGGACTCCAATTCAGTGTGCTTTGATAGCTCGCCCCGATCACATCCGCTACCAGGAGGCTCTTTGTTCTCGTACGGGACGTCTCCCAAAGTGCCTTCCTGACCCCAGCGTTGAGGCTGAAACTCTGCCATGGTAGATGAGCCATTTTTGCCACTGGTTGCTGCAAGTTCAGAGACCAAATGCGGCTGCCTTTTATTTACGAGCCCTCGGCCTCCCGCATTTGTGTAACAGTGAGGCCACTTGAGATGCCAAGACGGGTGAAGCTGGCCATGAGACGAGGACGGCCGAGCCCGGAGGGATCGTCCGAGGCTCGACAGTGGTGGGGATGGAACTCTGTCCAAGTAATTCGCCCAAGATGCCAGCTGAATCGACACCGAAAGAGCTGAACTGCGCATGCCCTGCTTTCTGCCCGTCTTCCTTCCCACAAGACTCAAGCAAGCATGTGTTAGTGAGTCAGACCATGGCATCGTTACTGCTACACTTCTAGTTCCCATTCCTCGGCCTCGATGGACTAGCTACTGAATCTCCCTGTTATGCAACACTCAGTTCTAGGCAATGTCGGGGGGCTAAACAGGATGTATTGACGAGTCTGACCTCCAGGACTAGGAGGTCGCGGTTCTATCTATTTATATAGCAAAGGAGCGAAAATTTCTTCATCCTGCTGGAGGAGGTTCTCTCCCGGGCATCGGCGGCGGCCGAGGACGTCGTCGTCGTCGGAGGCCGACGTCCTTGCATTGGCGAGGTCCTGTTCCTCCATCCTGAGGACTATGAAATGGCAAGAATGAGTGAATTCATGGTGTTGCAAGGTTTGCAATAAGGAGTGTGAGGGCGTCGGCGTTCCGCCGGAGGCGCTAAGACGCTAGGCGTGAGTATTTGGCTTGTAAAGACAGTGCTGACAGCGCCCGCAACTCAGCCTAGTTCAACACTCCCGCTTGACTTGGACGTCGATATGTCTGATTCGTCGTCTGCACTCAGCTGGTTGATCTCTGTTCAGGATGCGACCGAGCCTGCCGTGCGCGGGATGAGTTCACTACCCCGTATCCGTGCCGTCTTTGCACCCGCCGTGATTGGAGTTTTGTGCCGATGCAATCAGCCTTGGTGTTTTGGCATTCACACTGCATGTCTGCGATTCTGCCTTCCTTCGTAATTGGCATTAAGCCTTCGTGTCTGCGATCCCTCGTGGTGGTTTTCAGCTCTAAATACCAATGAGGCCTAAGTTGTCTATTCTGCACAAGGATCTCGCCAGCCCATCGTCCACAGCAGCACAACATCCATCTCAGTCCCAGAACTTCTATCATGTACAGTATCCTCATTATGAACTCCAAACTATCCCCCTGGCCTCCCCCTCAATCCCTCTTGCCAAGCAAGGGCCAGCCACGGCATGCATGATGATTTGCGTGACAGAGCTGTGGGAGACGTGTTGCTGCAAGAATAGGGCGCAGGCTAGGCTTCTTTGGTAGGACTTTGGCCAAATTCGCCGGCACTACAAGACATCGCATCCAGTGGTCATTCCACAATGTCTTCCCAATTCATTCTTTCCAAAAGCTCAGTCGCGCAATTTGCATCATAGCAAGAACTCTTAGTTACTCCCACCTCTTGAATAGTTTTTGATTAATTGAGGAAGCATGTCTATTATAATTGGCGCCCTTGCTTCTATCATCGGCTACTTGGGGGCCGAACTGCCTCTGAAGCTTTCTTTGAACGCCTTCTGTGGCCTGAACGTTTCTACAACGATACATCGATATGGGCGCTCACAAAATTGGCCATCTTCATGCCGATGACAGGCCCTCTCCATGGCGCTGCCTTGGAAACTCTGGACACGTTCCGATCCAATGGGTTGTACCTCGGGCTGCGCCGAGGAGTCATGCTGGGATCGACCTTTCTACGGGACACCGAGGCGAAGAACAGGCGGATATTGAGCGTGGCCACCATTGAAGAGGAAAAAGAGTGCAGAAACGGAATTTGGATTCGGGTTCTGCGCGAAGCAAAGTACGTGGATCGGAAGGCAGGCACTTTGCAAAGGGACTCTGAAACAACGGCTGTTGACAACAGGCCACCTTACCGTGCCATGCAGTTAGTACACCACTTGAAATTGAAGTACGCAGATAATGCTGAAGGAACTGGAGCCACTGTGGTGTCGGAGGGATCGGTTTCCTGGAGAGCGATCTTGGGAATTTTTGTCAGCGAACTGTCGTCAATTGCGATAGCCATCACAGCAGCCGTGGCGAAGCCCTTCAAAACCTGGTGGCTGGCTGTGTACCTATGTGTTCCGTTGCTTCTCAAATTGATCTCGCTTCTCGTGAGCGTTCGACGGACTACTATCCACCAGGAGAAGATTCCTGCTGCAAGCTCTTCAGCTCCTAAGGACGACTTATATGAGATCTTGGATGGCAACCACAGCTTCGGGTTGATTGAAAGTCCAGAGATCACACTCAGGCAGTTCTTTCGGCACTACGGCCATCCCATAAGAGATAGCGGCGTCGCCGGCCGACGCGACCGCGCACGGGAAGTTCACTCAATGGCACTTGTCTATCTTTTTGTCCTTTACTTCCCGGCAGGCCTCATCAGTTCTCTGTGGATGCCCTCGAATGTCCAACTTTTATGGTTGAGCTTCCAAGTCTACATGATATTAGTCATGCATATTGTCCGCATTTGTGGGTGGGAGCATTGTGGTCAAACTGAAGGAAGGATTGCTCGGCTACTGCAGGGAAATAGAAAAGTCTTCCTGCAGGCAAAGAAACCAGCCAAGTATGGAGTCATAGTTACTTTTGGAGACTATCGACCATCCCAATGTTGCAGAAGCGAAGAAAGAAGTGAAGAGAATTATCGATGAACATTTTGCCACGGCGGCTGGGATATCAAAAGGCCAGAGCAGTCAATCGTCAGTTGGTGGAGGAGGGACAGGAACGTCATCCACCTTGGTTGTAAAGTGATAGCGTTTGTTTCAAGGCCGGTACAGAGGAGAAAACCTCCCGAGCGAGAAATAAGAGAGAAGAGAGTGTAGTATGGGGAAGCCGGTTCTGCAAACACTGTACCTAGATTATATTATGATCACTTTGTTGGAAATGCTTATCGTCGTGGGAAATCAAGCGTAGTGCAGCTAAGCAGGCGGGGCCGCCTAGGCTTGTAGAGTTCTTTTGATTCCATCATCATTTGATTAGATCATCCCACAATCACCCAATCAGAAATAATTTGGAGTTTATAATATAGAGCTTACTTCTAGGATATACTTCGCCTAAAAGGGCAACTTTTGATTACTTTAATAACTTTATAATTTGGCTCCCTTCAAGGCTTTCCTTGACCCAAGATAGTAATTCCTGATTGCCTCAACAATGATTTGTTATAGGAATGCGTTTATCTAGACTGTATCGTTAAAGTCGTAACCCAGTATGAGAAGCTATAAAGCACGAAAATCCTGAGGATACAAAATGCACTATCTAGATTTTTTCAACTTCAAGCTAGATACAATGCATTTATCACTGGTTTTATTGGTACTTGGTGAAGCTGGGTTCACTCTTGCCAGTCCCCTGGCAAAACGCAGCCTCCGGTCACGTCAGTCCTTCCCGTCAGAGTTCAACCCTGATCCTCAGTCTGGATTCGACGACCCAACCATTGATATTGCCGATCCATCCTTTGCCACTGCAATTGAGGCTGGATATCAAGGGCCCTTCGCTTCCTACGAACAGCATGAGCTCGTTGGGCCGGTAGATCTTCTCCGAAACGGCCATGTAAACTATGGGGTGAACCCGAACTTCACACTTCCGCTCTATCAAGGACTCTCGGCGGCGAATACCACATATTGGTGGATTGTGACAGATACATCAGATGAGGGCAATGGAAAACAGCTGGGAGTCAACTTCGCTCCTAAACTTCGATTTGCTGCTCAAGGCCAGACCGTTGGTGGGCTGAAAGCTGCTGAACAGCTTGAAATCGTGAACAATACCATTAGCGGGCGAGAGGGAATGGTTGACTTTTCACCAGTCCGCTCAATAGTCCCTGGCGATCAGTCCCCATTTCCTCCAAAATCAGTCCAACCTGGAAGTGTTGGGGACAGCAAGTACACGCCACTCATCCAGTTAGTCAATGCCGGATATGAAGTGTGGAATGCACCTGTGAGATCTTCGAGCATGATCCGAGCATGATCCTTGGAAATTGTCAACTAACTGTGTCCAGATCATCGCCGGAGATGTGGATGAGGATTATTTAAATCAGGTGAGCTATTGAGACCGTCTAGTATTTTGGTTGCTAAGGGAGAGAAAGTTCTGTGACGGAATTCCAGACAACCTCCTCGAGGAGTTCCGCAGCAAAGTCCATGATCAAGTCCTCTCAATCTGTCCTCGTGACGAGGTCGTAACATTGGCAACGATCCGTGGTTTCTCATTTTCCAAATCCGTTCTGTATCTCATCGCTGACGGGTCGGACCCATTACCTGCGACACTTGATGGTGGCACATATGCTCCTCGCCTTGCAGCGGTTAAAACTGGTGACGATGATGCACTATTCAGTGGCATTGAGCGATCCTTCGTGAATACAAACGGATACACTAATCGCGACATATCACCCGGGGCACCAAATAACGAGACCCACCATCCATGGCGACAAGGCCTGAACAGTGCTATCCTTGGAGATGGCAACCCGTTAAATATTCTTGGAGCAATTCCTACCGTTGCATATGGTAAACCCCCTCTATGAAATCACTGGTCTTCTCCAGCTGACATGACTGATAGATTACTCGCCTCTCTGGGACTTCAATCTGTTCACCTGGACGAACTACAGCATCGAAAATGGTATCCGCACCCGATTGACGGGGGAATTCGAGGTCTTGGGAATGGCAGCTGCAGGTTATGTCACTAACCCAGATGGTACGCCATTAAGTGATGCCGGAATTGTGAATAATTGTCCAGTTGTACACAGATTCCTGTAACAAGGGGTACAACCAGTCTTCCATTAATGGCGCCTTGCACTACTTACTACGGCTATTTACACAAACCACGGCTTTTGTTCCATTTCAAGAAGCTGTGGACGCAAACGCTTCGAAAGCTTGATCCAAGTTCTCACAAAACCGAGAATCGCAATCCTCAAATGGTCCTACACTCAAACTAAACGCAAATTTCGCTTCAAACACGCCTTGTGAAGGAGATTCTATCTTGTAGAGGATATATTGTCTTTGCCAAGGCGTCACATACTGTATCAGCCGAGACTATCAAGTAGACAGAGAAATCTAGAAGAGGGGAGAAGCACAGCATTGTCAGAATTATACTGGGCCGTAAAACCACGTACGCTATGCTCGACTAGGTAGTTCGGCGTGGCCTATCTGAGCTGGGCTCTACTGGTCCAGGTCTTGACCCTCAGCCTTGTAGAGACTTTCCGGGACTTCAGCTATTTTGCCTTTAACTGTGACCTATCAGCATAAATTTATACAGGAGGAAAGGTTGAAGAGCTTAACAATAATCTTAGTCACCCAACATGGCACCCTGGTTTTCTACTAGTTATCGCTCTACGTAAAAAGTAACGTCCATATATTTACATAGTAAAAGTAAATACACTATTCTGGAGCTCACACAAAGTTTAACACTACACCAATATGCACGCAACTGAACCTAATCGACAGCAAACCCAGAAGTATAGTTCGAAAAAGCAGGATCCTTGCGATAACTGCGGTCGCAGAATATTGTGCTGTGTGCGTGACTTGGAGCGCAACTATATTGTTCATTAAAGCATGGGCTCAATTGTACCTTTAACTTCGGGATCCATAGCGCGACACACTTCTGCTCTCGCCGTGCAGTCATCATTTGATTCAATAGCGAACATTGTTATTCAGTCTATCGCGTCTTAGGCCTAGTTCGTAATGTACACACTCTAGTCTTGTTATGTTGGCCCAACTTGGTTGTACATGGACTAACTCGGATCAACCTGGACCAACTCGGACCGGCTCGGGGCAAAAAAGCCGGAGGTAGACCAGCCACTTCGGGAATTTATACTCAGGTTGTATGTCTATTGAGTCGACAACAGACTTCATGGCGCGCAATATTCATACGGCCGTAATAATAAGTCCGCGAAATGCTAAGAAGGCTAGTCTACTATGCGGGCTAACTAGCTCTCCCGATATCCTTGGGGATTCTGTACTGGGAGCACCCCCTAGATACAGTAGGAATACTCCAACCCCCTATCGTTTCGAGACGTTACTAAAAACTTTATTCAGTAGCGACCCAGCTTCGTAGGTGGCTCTTCAGCTCATCCACAGATTGTCCCGCAGAGAGCCCTGGTGCGAGAGAGACTCCTCATCCACCTGTGCCGAGCCGACGTCCGCCGGATAAGAAGAGGCATTCCATGTAGTAGAAGTATTCTGGAGTTCTATCTAGTACTTTTTACACCAGCGTGTCCTGCGCTGCCCAAGGCGGGACAGCTATGGAAGTAACCACAAATTTTCGTCTGCAGTCGTGCGGCCACTTTTCAATTGCTGGTTCGAGTTCTGTGCGGCACCGCCGAGTTAAGTGTATTTAATCTTCTTTCAGTCTGCCCAAGAATTCCATACCTTTCAGAAGGATGTCCACGACCCAAGACCATCAAAACCACAGCACATCTTAATCCGGTTGACAGACGCCAAAACTCATGGCAAAAATTCTTGCAGTATTCGGAGCCACAGGCACTCAAGGGGGCTCGGTGATCAGCAACGTCTTGAGCGACCCCGAACTCTCCCAAAGATACAAGCTTCGCGCTATTACTCGCGACAACAATTCATCCAAGGCCCAGGCGCTGAAGAAGCGACAAGTCGAAGTCGTTACAGACGACTCATCAAACCCAGCCTCGATTGAGAGCGCGCTGACGGGGGCCGACTTCGTCTTTCTTATGTCTACACCCAGCTGGGGTCCGAATGCGGTAGAGGACGAATTTAATACCATTAAATCCATTGCTGACATCGCCGTACGACAAGGACTCGAATACATTATCTTCAGCACGTTGCCGTCGTGCTCTCAAATGTCCCAGGGCAAGTACACTGCAGTCACCGCCTTCGACGCGAAAGCCCAGGGCGAAGAATATATCAAGTCACTTCCTATCAAGAGTGCATTTTGGTGCGGCGCCTTCTTCATGGAGAACTTTGTGACCCAGCCATTCCTGGGCCCCAACCTGAACGGCGACGGCACCTTTACCCTAGCTCGAAATGCACCAGCGACACTTAAGCTCCCCTATATCGATGCTGCAGATGACGCTGGCAAGTTCGTCAACGCCATTCTGGCGGAGCCCGACAAGTACGCTGGCCAAACCCTCTGCGCTGCAGCGGGCTTTTACAGCCTAGCGGAAATAGCTAGTTTGTTGTCCAAGGCCTCAGGGAAGCAGGTAACCTTCAAACAAGTGTCGTACGACGAATTCAAGGCCTCAATTCCATTCATGGGCGACCTTTTCGCTCAAGGGTTTGCTTACCTGATCGACCATGGCTACTTCGGACCGGGAGGCGAGGACAAGGTGAGATGGGCAGTCAAGAACATTCGCGGCAAGCTCACCACCCTCCCGGAATACTTTGAGAAGCATCCTATATCACTCTAGTTGGTGCGATTGATCCCAATTGCCGACCATAAATGTCAGCCAAGAATCTAGGGACCTACCTTCACAAACCCTATTTTGAAAAGCCTAGTGCCCCAACTAACGCCGACACCCCGACGCTCCTGAATTGCCTTTACAGATTTTACTTACACCTTCAATTCACTCCTTCTCACCATATTTGGCTATATCATTAACCTCACTATGGAGGATTGAATCTCACCGACGATCGATAGTTAGCTTGGCACAGATGAATTCCTTGCGGCGCCCGGTGGGGCGACAAGAACCCCTTTCATCGGGCAAGAAAATTTTCGCTCCTTAGGCATATAAACTCAATAGAAACCGGCCTTCTACTTCTCGAGGTCAGACTCGTCAATCCATCCTATTTGACCCCCTGGACATCCATTAATCGTTGATTTCGCATGACATAGAGACCCTACTTTAAGAATTTCGTACATTACTTTATAGTTTGGCCGAGCTAGCTTAAGTAGATATCTGCTTACTGAGCGAATTGATCACTGTATGGAGTATGTGAGGATGAACACCGCCTGATGTGGTCGCTTTGAGGGGCGAGAACGCGTTACATTGCATTCCAAAAAAGTCCCTGCAGGACCTGACGCGGGATGCGCACTAAAACTAACGTCCAGTATAATTCAGCTTCCACCTCAGTAGCGTCCGGATCTATTGCCTCATACAGCGTTTGCGGTAAACTTAGGCTCCGTTTTGCAAGGAAATCTTACCTTAAGCGCTAGGCATCATCTTCATGGCTAGGCATCATCTTTATCGCTAGGCACCATCTTCATCGCTAGGCATCATCTTCATCGCTAGGCATCCGCGATCGTTGTATGGCACTCTGAATTCACTTATTGCAAGGTGTCTCTGTTCCCACAAAGATATATAATGGCCCATGAGCTCACTAATTAAACAAAGCAGACACTGTAAATTTAGAGCAGAAGAGGACTTTTCAAAGTGCCGGGATTAAAGATGGCAAACACGACACTCAACGCCGCAGATAGCCTATTCGGCCCTGTTGTCAAACCGATCTCGGGGACGTTTTTCGACTTTACGCGACTTTTTGAGGAGTCCATATTTTCCATCGGGCCTTCAGCTGCGTTGATGCTCATCGCTCCGGTACGGATATGGTACCTCCGCAAGACACCGAGAAAGGTGGTTCGGGACCGCCTGGCTTTGAGCAAACTTGTGGGGTTTCCCTTCTCATCGGTACAGTGCAGTGAGATGTGCTGACTGAGAGCCATCAGGTTCTTCTGGCTACACTCCTTGTTCTCGAAGTCATTAACCTTGGGATGTGGGCAGCACCATCAGCTCAGTCTCTACGGACCCGTGCGTCCATTCCTGCCGCGAGTCTGTCCTTTGCAGCGACCTTAGGTCTAGCATGCCTTTCGTATACTGAACATATGAGATCGATTACGCCGAGTCTAATCATCAATTTGTATTTGCTCTTAACCCTGCCCCTGGACTTTGCACAAGTGAGATCCTTGTGGCTGCGAGGTGCCGACTCTGCGGTCACACCGATCTTCACAAGTGTCACCTCCATCAAAGCATGTTTACTCCTTGTGGAGGCTATCGAGAAAGCAAGCCTGCTGCTACCACCTTTTAAAAGTTCCTCACCAGAGTCCACAAGTGGCATATATTCCCGAGCGCTTTTCTGGTGGCTGAACCCCCTATTCCTGCTGGGTTACAAGACGATACTCTCGGACGACAATCTGTTTGTAACAGACCCAAAACTGATGTCTAAATCGGTTTTCCATCGATTTCAACGACACTGGGCTAAGTGTATTTTTTGTGCATTTTACAGTCACGGTCATTGCTGACATGGCACCTTAGATCAGGCTACAGGTGGAAAAGGGTCCTTGCGCACCGCCCTAGCTAGAACAATGCTCCTGCCATTCTCGACAGCCATTTTGCCGCGATTGCTGGTGGTACTATTCAGATTCATGCAACCATTTCTCATACGTGATGTATCAAGGTTTGTCGCCGAGCCTGTGACGAGTCACTCAACGTCCCAAGGATGGGCCCTGGCTGCAGCATATGGATTGGTATATCTCGGCTTAGCGGTAAGGAGCCTCATGATGCTCTGTATGTTGCCGGAGAGAATAAGAGATCATAGCAACATTTTCATTGCAGTTGGTGACTGACGGCGACCAGATATCTCAAGCCATCTACTACCATCAGACATACAGAATGGTTACCATGACGCGTGGGGCGCTGGTCGCAGCCATCTATGCAAAGGCAATCGAGCTTCCAACCACGTAAGCAGATACCCCCCTGAGGAATTCCTAGGAGCGCATCTTCTAATTGTGGTTATTAGTGCTCTCGACGAATCTGCCCCTGTGACGCTAATGTCCACTGATGTCCAGCGAGTGTGCGATTCTCTCGCTCAACTTCACGAAACATGGGCCAGCATTATTGAGGTCGCGCTAGGTATCTGGCTCCTTACGAGAGAGATCGGCTTCTCTGTGTTCGGGCCTGTGGTGATCACCGTGGTGTCTGTCTTGGCCACTGTGGCAGTATCGAAGCGTATGCCTACCGCGCAAAAGCTGTGGCTCAAGTCCATCCAGACTCGTATCGGTGTGACTTCCAAGATGCTGCAATCAATGAAAGGGGTCAAAATGCTGGGTCTGACTCCATACATGTCCACTCTCATCCAAAGTCTACGGGAGCACGAGATCCTTTTATCACTCAAATCTCGGAGATTACAAGCGACTTGCATTGTCCTTGCCAATGTCGCTCAAGCTATCGCTCCAGGAGTAGCGTTTATTCTGTATGTCGTAATTCCCCGAAACGGGGACCAAACGCTCGATGTTGCCCAGGCATATACTTCTTTATCCTTGATCGCATTGATTACGAGGCCCGTGGCCTCGTTGATCTTCGCGGCGCCTCCGCTGAGGGCATCACTTGGATGCATAGAGCGGATCCAGTCCTTTCTATTCTCCCGGACTCGAACCGACAATCGACTCATCACGAAATCCAGTCCAGCGAAGGATAACAGAAAATCATCCAGAACTTCTGGACAAGCCATGGAACTGCAACCTGTGACTCCAACAGTTGATCCCTCACGGAACCGTCAAGCGCCAATTCGCTTGCTGAACGCCACCTTTGCATGGAGCGCCACACACTCACCAGTTGTGGAAGATATTTCATTTGAACTTCCTCCAGGTAGCCTGACTTTTCTTCTGGGGCCTGTGGGATGTGGGAAGTCAAGCTTACTTAAGGGCATACTGGGCGAGATTCCATCGAGCAAAGGGTTCGTATACCTGGAATCCCCGGAGACTGCTTTCGTGCAGCAAACTCCCTGGATTCAAGACAAGACCTTTCGTGACAACATCCTTGGCACATCGCCGTTCGACGCCAAGTGGTACCGTGCAGTCATTACAGCATGTGCCTTGGATGATGACATTGCCGAATTTCTCAAGGGGGATCTAACAGTCGTTGGCGCCGCGGGTCACGGCTTGTCAGGTGGGCAGAGGCTTCGTTTGGTGAGATTCCTCTCTGATACTCACCTGGTGAAAGAAAGCCATGTTTCTCGTCTTATGACGCTGATTCTTTCCATAGGCGCTGGCTCGTGCAATTTACCCTCGGCCCAGTACTTTGATTCTCGACGACACATTCAGTGGCTTAGACGCCGAGAGCGAAGGCACGATCTTCAGGAGCCTCTTGGGAAAGGGAGGTCTCTTACGACAGTTAGGTACAACCATTTTGTTGGCGACACACGCAGCCCATCGACTATCATACGCAGATTATATAATCGTGCTGTCTGCGCAAGGAACCATCTCTGAAGAAGGGACGTTCTCTGAGCTGATGAGCAGTGAAGGCTATATTTCAATATTGGCGGCGAGACACAAGCCTGAGGTTGAAAGTGTCACTCTTGAAAACAAAATTCTCTCACGAAATTCGAAACCTGCCAACGAAAATCGTGGTGATTATTCTCAGGAGATGGTGCCGACGTTAGGCGATATCCAAGTGTACAAATACTATTTTGGGGCCATTGGATGGCTCAACACTGCTGCTTTTGTCTGTTTGATCATGTCATTCGCATTTTTCTCGCGATTTCCAGGTAATGCTGCTCCAGTCCCGCTGAACTTCATTGACTAATGACCTCCAGATGCTTGGATGAAATTCTGGACCTCGGCTGTCGCAACGCATGGCAACTCTATCAGCGGAAAGTACGTTACTGTTTATTTTTCCATCGGAGTCATGGCTCTGGTTAGTGTTCTTGGGGTCGCATTCCACGTATACTCCAAAATGGTACCGGCATCTGCGAGATATCTGCACCTCACTCTGCTGTCAACAGTCATGGCCGCACCGCTGTCCTTCTTCACGTCCGTTCAGACTGGTCAAATACTGAACAGATTCAGTCAGGATCTTGGACTTGTGGACAATGAGCTCCCTTCGGCCTTGATTCAAGTGAGCGGCCCGTTCTTCTTGTGTCTAGTGCAGATCATCTTCATTTGCCTCTCGGCGGCTTACTTTGTGACAATATTGCCGCTGGTGCTGCTAGTATTGTACTTCCTGCAAAAGTACTATCTGCGCACTTCACGCCAGATAAGGCTGCTCGACCTGGAAGCGAAGGCACCCTTGTACTCCCATTTCTTGGAAACGCTCCAGGGTCTAGTGACGATCCGAGCTTTCGGATGGGCGAAGGAGTTCGAAGAGCAGAACATGGATCTGTTGGACAAGTCACAGAAACCATTCTATCTCCTATTCTGTATCCAACGCTGGCTGAGCCTTGTCCTTGATATCATTGTTGCTGCTCTTGCAGTGATCTTGATGATCATTGTTGTTGAGCTGCGCGACAAACTAGATCCAGCTCTAGTGGCGCTGGCACTGTTAAACATCATGTCATTCAACAGCAACCTCACCGCTATCATCCAGATGTGGACAGGCTTAGAGACGTCCATGGGGGCGATCTCACGCTTGAAGACCTTTAACCAGAGTACCTCTTCCGAGGATCGGGCGGAAGAATGCTCCCCTCTGCCTGAAACTTGGCCAAGCGGCGGCCATGTCGAATTTTCCGGGCTGTCAGCTACCTATGCGCACGAACTGCCAAATGTCATTAAAGATATCGATTTGACCATAGCACCCGGCGAGAGGTTGGGTATTTGTGGCACGTCCGGCTCCGGGAAGTCCTCATTGATCACCTCCTTGTTCCGCATGCTTGAAATCACTAATGGAACCATATACATTGACGGTATTGACCTGTCCACAATTTCCCGCCAGCGCATCCGTGAGCGTCTGAACGCTATTCCACAGGATCCTTTCTTCCTCAAGGGTACCATTCGGCAGAATATCGACCCCTTCGGTAAGGTCACTGACGAAGCAATCGAACTTGTGCTCTGCAAGGTTGGCCTTTGGGCTACTGTCAGTACGGCACCATATGGTCTCGACAGTGAGATGGAAGCTGAAGAGTTACTTTCTCACGGCCAGAGGCAACTCTTCTGCCTTGCACGCGCCATGCTCAACCCATCCAAGATTGTGGTCCTTGACGAGGTCACCGCTAGCGTCGATCTGCAAACGGACAGGCTGATGCAAGAAATTATTCGCGAGAGCTTTGCGGGCCGCACACTGATTATTGTGGCGCATCGCTTGCAAACGCTCATTGATTGTGATCGCATTGTGGTAATGCAGTTTGGCAGGATTGCCGAGGTAGGAGCTCCAGACACGTTGTTGGCAACGCCGAACGGCTATTTTAGGCACCTATGGAATACATAGGGACAGGGAAGTTTTTGGCCCAATTCAAGCTACAACTGGGTTACACGAAGTGATTACTCCGTCCTCCAGTACGACTCTTCTTGGACTCCGGACAGGGTCCCTTTCGCTGGTGTTGGGATAGGTGATAGATATCGACAATTAGCATAGTGAAAAGTGCACAGGCCGAGGCGAGCAGCTCTGTTATCCGATAATGTAGACTGTTTCCGAAGTTTGGAAAAGTTTTTGTTCGTTTATGGTGGGGTTGAAACTGGGGTGCATTATTCAAAACGGCATGGGATGCTGATCCCGCCGGATAAGTGGATATCCGAGACAAACCATGTGTGGGCTGACGCTCAGCTAAGCGAACATTCTCACAGTTGAGACCCTCCAATCGCTGATTATCTGTGCAGATCGATAACTGGGCACCTAACAGAATGGTCAAGTTTTCCATCCCACACCATGTTGGTTTCAGCACTGACCTCGTCTCACCTACCTCCCTGTCAATGGTCAGTCACACGAGACCAGTCTTAGCACAGCCTACATCACCGATCCTGAAGAGCCCTCTTGTCGGGGAACTTCTCTCTACAAGTGCCTTGATAGACAGCTAGAAATGTGTCGACGAAGGCTAGTTAACAGCGAAGTTTCTGGCTATCTTTGTTTTGGTGGCCTGGAAACTGACCCTAGGCGGTGCCCAGGATACTGCGCAAAGTCGTTATACCATTGTCATAGACTCGTGCTTGTATAGTTTGAAGTCGCTCCGTAAGTTGGATATTGGTTAATTAGTATCAATATATTCTCATATATTGCCTCTATCCCACAGGGAGGTGGTGAAGTCCACTGCCTAAGCCGGCTATCGAGAACCAAAATCAAGCTCTGCTTGCAGAGAGAGATTTTGGTATACCACATAGTGCACCGATCGAGCTATATGCAGCTGCTGAAGCACGTTCAGTGAGGCGCAGACCTTCCCCTCCGCACTAGTCTCAGCTCCCACGATTCTGTGACGACCCCTGCCTAAGCGAGTGAGAACGATATTTGTTCGCTCTCGTCAAGCCTTAAGGCTATATCTGGTCCTCTGTGCTTCGTTCGGTTACTATGTTCTGCAGATTGCTCAATGAATGAGGACCAAAGAGCCAATATATGATCAAAGCATATAAAATTTGGACTTCTATCTCGCTTCGCTATAGCAGCAGCAAGAATAACGTTTGCTTCGAACCTGAGGAGACATCAAAGCCCTAATATTCTTGACCAGACTCCAGTATGACCATTTCTCTACATCGTAAGAACTGCCTCTCTGGGTACTATCTGTGAATACTAACAAAGTGTGCAGTCCCTCCAGAGGTCCTCGCCACATGGCCAACACCGAACTATATCAACCCTCCGACTAGAGGCCCTGGGCTGGAGGTAGTTTCCATTCTCTTCAGCATCGTAGGTCTTGCAGTTGTGGCTACCCGAATATATTCGCGGTTGCTGATCACTCGAGCTCCGGGGTGGGATGATTTCCTGATCGTCGTGGGACTCGCCTTCAGTATCGCCGCGTCTGTTATGACCACTATCGGCAACAAATTGTATTTCAGTGGGCGGCATATCTGGGATGTCCCTCCATCCACATTCACGCCACTGCGACTGAATGTCTGGATTACCGAATGGCTAGTGGTTCTTGCCGGGACCGCCATCAAAATCAGCGTTCTCCTGTTCTATCGTCGTTTAAGCGTCAAGTTCCCCAGGGGATTTCTGATTGCCACATGGGTTGGAATTGTGTACATGATTTTATATGTGCTTGCATTCACACTCACACTGCTGCTTATCTGCCGACCAACTGATTCATATTGGAATTCCTTTACACCGAACTGGGCTGCGACTCACAAGTTTCATTGCGCAGACCAGAGTGTCTCTATTCCTTCGGCCGTCGGGTTGAGTGTATTGGGTGATTTTTACACAACCATCCTGCCACTTCTGCTCATTTATAGGTTGAAGCTGCCACTGAAACAGAAGCTTGCCTTGTACAGCTTGTTTGCGCTAGGCTTTTTGGCATGCATTTTTGGCGTGATCAGGCTTGTACTGCTAAACAAGCTGCTCAACGACACCTTCGACTTCACATGGCTACTATGGGAGATGTGGATTTGGTCCGTGGTCGAGCTATACGTGGCAATTTTCGCGGCCAGCGCTCCGGCACTCAAACCTTTCTTGCAGAGATTCTTGAGCATCTCGACGAATGGCATTGCAAGGATTTCTAGACAACTCCATGTTGACAAAGGGTTACCAGTACCCACTTTCCGCTTTGGATCGCATTCATTAAGCAATATGACTGGCTCGTCTGAGGCGGATGTTGAGAGCGTCGGCGGGGCCAATATTGGCGGCGAAAGGGGGGTGCGTGGAAGAGGTTTTTGGAGAGATCAGGGACACCGCATTATCCACCACTTTCACAAAAGGCCAAGTCAAGGCCACCAGATCACCTCAGCCCATGTCACAGAACAGAACTCAGCCTCTGCCTTCCACCGACCAAGTTCAAAGCCCGAGAATTGGTCTTCTAAAGTTACGACATTGGACAAGCCTCTGCCGCTTCCACCGACCAGTAAAACTTGACTGTTTGTGCCGTCACAGGCATCGCAACAAACGATCCACATTGGTTTCCAAGCCCATGAGACATCCACAACCTCATTTCAGTACGGAAAACATCAATTTGAGTAGACCCCAGTTTGAAGCCCAGATAGATGGATCATTAAGGCAGATAGATATAGCTATCTCCTTTCCACTGCCGAGAACAATATGATCTCATTGATTTTGCGTGGAAGCCGGTTATACATGCCCCTATGTTGCTTACTGATAGAGCAGTACACTCCCAGCTTACAGGGGCTCTGAGATACATGTCTCGAGGGTCAAGTATGACAGTGGTGGAAGTGTGGAAAGTTACGTACTGTTTTAACCCCGTTGATTCTGCCATAATCCATCTTAGGTCTTCCCCTGCGACCCGTCCGGCCCTACAATACTGCTTGGTGGTTTCCGTTTGGTGTCACAACTGTCCAAGTCACTCACCTTTACCGTGGGAGCAGATTTGCCTGCATACGCACAAAATGGCATAGCAATCGCTTATAAATATCCTTAAAGCACTATCAACAATTCTCTGTCTGAAATTTTACTGAGCAACGCTTGCAACATCGTTGCAACGATTCAGTACTGGTCATGGATAATGCCATCGCGTGGAGCAGATCCATTCTGCTGTGGGTATGTAAAACGCTTGTGTTCTTTCCACCATAATACTCTGCAAATATACGCAGGTGATTTGTGAATCGTCTTAAAGCCATGGGCCCAACTGGACATGAACCCGTCTCTCTGAAGTTCCTCGGCTACCTCCGCGCTCACGCAAAGGGATCGCTTAGCATTGTTCTCAGTCAGAACTCGCTAAGGGATGTACACGATCAGAGTGTCCTTAGTCTGCCTTGCCCATGATCTCATCTACTGGTATAGGGAACTCTGCTTTCTCCTCCCTACTTGATCTGAGTCAATGTGGTTGGCGACACCGCTGTTGGCCGTCTCTGCGTAATTACTCCGAGTGACCTTTATCGCATTAGTTCGTGCTGTGGCTCACTATAATCCCAGAGTATTCAAGCGTGAAAACCTTTCACCCGGTGTCCTTTTAGGCCTATCTGGCTACCTATCTGGATACCCAGTATTCAGCCGCTTTCGGACGAAACGTAGTGGAGTATATAGTTGCTGAGAAATATTTAGTGTTTATCCACGAACGAGGCCTACCCGCCTGCCCGATGAAACCCATCGATGGGTTCCGTGATTTGCGGTACGATGGGTTCCGAGCGCCCGTTTTGCGCGCGTCCCCCTCGGAACCCACCGAATTTTCGCGCGGTTTTTTCGGCCGCTCGCTTGATTAAATCATCCTCGATCGATCCTCCGCTCTCTTTTATAAGAAATCTCGAGATAATCAAGAAATAAGATCTTAACCCTAAAAAATATAATCATTAACCCTATTTAGTCATTTTTCGTCATTTATTTCATGAATTTTGCTTCGATTTAATCGAGATTAAATAAACCCATTAAAATCAACCCTAATCTTAACCCTAAGATTAAAAAAAAATAGATTCTCTCTTTTCTAGAGGGCTCACTGCTAATTATAATGTCCTCGATCTTGTTTATTTCGCTCCTCAAAATGCTCAATAATAGAGATATTTTCGAAGTCGATTTTTTCGGCCCAATTAATCAGCTATTCCCTTGGCTATCTACATATTAAGTTTTGTCTAAATCGAGCGTGAGGTCGTCATGATAAAGCGAATTATCGTTTTCTTAGCAGATAAGTGGTTAAATTAATAGCCCCATCTAGACTAACTATCTTCTTATCTCCAGATTATATTGTAGTGAGTCGGGAGGTGTGTGTCCCTCTCTAGGGAGGTGGCTAGGATACAGTGGGCCCTGGGCTAAGCAAGCGTGCATCTAGGTCAAGGGGCCTAGGCAAGTGTTTCTTTTCCTCTTTTTCTTCAGGCAGACATGCAGACTAGACAGAGAATAGGCATGAGTAGCCATGAACATCAGCAAGCAAGTACACACACATATGTAATATATACACATAGAATCGATTAAGAACAAAGACCGTGTACAGAGTGATACACAGCGACAGCGAAGTCTTAACCAAGTCTATAGTGTTCTCTATAGACTCTAGGTGTAGCGCGCGCTTCGGCGCACTATTAAGTGTGGTCTAGAGCAAACAATCAAGTGCTGTAAAAGAAAGAAGAAGTGTTTCACGAGCGTCTCTCAGTTCCCAACTTATATTACAAGATTGACTATAGCCCTATATATCTAGTGCTTTCCCCTTTACTTCTATTATATTAATGCCTTTAATAAGAACCTTCGCTATTTTACGCGGCGACAGTATAAACTTATTCTGGGCTTAATCAGTATAACCTTAAGTGGGAATGAGAAGATAATAAGAAGAATAAAGCAAAGAAATATAAAATGAGAAGAAAAAAAAAAGAGTATTAAATGAAAGTAAAGATCGAGATAAACTAAGTAAAATATATAGATTCAGTAGAAGAGCGATTAAAAGACACTAAGTCTCGCGTCTTTAATAGTAAGCGATTTAAGAGTAAGTGTAAATAGAGAGGTTAAAGGAAGCGATAGACTTTAAGTGGTAAGGAGCTCACTATAGATATATTATTAGCTATTATCACTATTTATACTATACTTAGTAATGTGAGTAAAAAATAAGAGAATAAAAGCGAACCATTTAGAGAGGATATGAGAATATCAAGAGAAGAAAGAAAACAAGACTTATAAGTTCTAGGCTTAAGCTATTAACTAAGAAAGGAAAGGTGTTAGGAGATTCTTGGGACTATCGAAAATTGGAGTTAATAGAAAAGGCGGTGAATAGTCTATTAGCGAGATATAGAACCTTATTCTGGGGTCTAGTGATAGTATTATTACTATAGATAATAGTAATGATAGAGAAAAAGATAAAAGCGCTTATTAAAGAGTAAATAGAGATATAAGGTTTAGAGACCTTATAGTATAATTCTATATAGTCAGGAAAGCGAAGTTTATCGATATTAATAGTAACTCGAACACTATCTTTCTCAGTGATATTTATCGAGGTTTTAGTTATATTAAGCGAGTCAGTGGCGATATCGATTTCTTTTAAGTCCTTTATGGCGTTAATACTAATTACTTAACTGTATTAACTATCTATATTCTCAGGACCTAGAATCGCTAGAGCTTTAGAATTTACAGAGAAAGATATAACAAGATTCTTGAGGATGTTTAATGAGCTAATAAAAGAATATAAAGTGATAGAGAAAGAGCGTTATATAAAGATATCATGATATTATAATAACAATACTCGAGACCTTATGAAAGGCTTTCTAAAGTATTAAGAGAAGAACTGAAGCAGGTTAAAAACTATTATATAAGAAGAATGGCGAAGTCAAGATATTAATCATTAGAAGTATATCTTAATATATTTATTAGCTCTTTTCAAGGTTAAGAGAGAGACAAATAAATAGATACTTCGATATTATTGTTAATATTATACTGTTACTAAAGTGATTATAACTAAAGAAGAGGTTAGTGAATATAAAGTAACGACGATATTTCTTAATGATCTTATATCTCGATAGCGAGAATAGATTCTTAAAAAGATAGACACTAATCTAGATAATATAAACACCTTTATATTCTAAAAGATATATTAAGTGGCTATTAAGATTTTATAGACTTTAAGTGTTTAAGAGTGTTTTAATAATCGCTATTAAAGAGACTTTATATAGCTAGTAGAGAGACTATTAAAATCTGCCCCTTAAGAACACTTTAAAAATATTAGATCTTGTATATCTTGTGAGAGAAGTAAGAATATAAATATAAAGACGCTATCTCTTATAACTCATAATAATATAGCTACGCTAATGGACCAGTTTTCGTAAATGATTCTTCTAATTAAGGCTCTCTTAAAGTAATAAGAGAAGAACACCTAGGTAATGAAGATATAATATCTCTTTAATGGTGAGACTAGTCTTCGATATCTAGCGCGAAAAGAAGATCTAAACTAACGCTCAGCACTTAGTAGATATTTCTACTATAAGGGGGTATATATAATGTCTCGAGCTAATCGACTTGTTTATAAAGCGGCTTTAGATCATGTCATGAAGAGATATATTAAGTCGTTTAATAGAAGAACTTACTGGAAACCTGCTTACAGGGATATATCTCATGTTGTGAGAGCATTAATAGCCTTTAATAAGATCACTGTAAAGTAGATTAATTAAGTGGTGCGGGCTGCTTATTAAAAGAAAACTAGTTAGGAATCTTTATAAGCGTTAAAGATCGAACACATCGAGATTAGGCTACAAGAGTGGGATAATAAAGAATTAGTAAAGACTATTATGATAGAGTTAGAGTATAAAGCATTAATTATAGCTCTTGATAAAGAAAGAGGTTATTCTTGTCGCTCGAGTAATTAGTTATATCATACTTAGAGACTTTAAGGGGTTACACAAAACCGATAAGCCATTAAGTCTAGTCTTGTAATCTTATGTATATATCATGAAGAGAAGTATATTTTATAATAGTTAAGCGAGTAAATTAAGAGCTAACTAAAAGATATATAGACTAAGGCGAAAGTCTAGAGTAGCTAAGACACACTTATAAATAAGTCTAAATCTATCATGAGTGCCGCAGAAGAGGAAGTTATAGCAAGTCCCTCTTTTATTCTCAGAAAAAAAAGAAAGAAGCCTCTAGGGATTACCTTAAAGAAGGCCACTATAAGCTAAAAACAGCCCACTTTGCGCGATATAGTATAGAAGATTTTAAGCACAAGAATTCTCGATACCACGCTGCGAGATTAGTTAAGTCTATTAAGACCACTTCGTTAGGAGTTACTGGGAGATCGTAACTAGATAGTATTAAGTGAAGAACAAGAGATAGAAATTGCTATCTTGTCTTCAAAAGCTATAGCAAGAGCGCTAGTTACCCTTAATACGGATATATTGTAGTCAAGTATAGAAGGGAGTTCTATCGTGAATATAATTTATTTAGTAGGCTTATTAAGAGTAAAGAAGTTTATTTCTTATCTTCTCTCTAAATGTATT